GGATGAGCAAGGAAAAGAACTTTGTAAAGCTGGAAGAAATCAGAAACTGCTTCAGCCGTCTAGGTGAGAGGTGAGGGGAGCTTGAAATAAGGCCACATGGGAATGGGGAGAGTGAAGGTGCAGAGTACTTAAGGACCAGGATGCTGAAGAGCTGGCCCTGAGAGAGGCAGAGTGGGATGCCCTGGTAAGCTGCTTGTAGTTCTGGTAGTGTTGTTAGCAAGATAGGGCATAAAGAGGAGGAACGGGTTACAGAAGTAAGAGTATACATTCCATTTTGAGCAGGACGTTTGAAAATCCTGTCAACAGTGGCATGGTGGTGTGCAGCAAGCAGTCGAAAATGCAGTCTGATGTCTCACTAAGAGAAGGTAGACCTAGTAGTCAGCAGTCTGCAGTTACCAATGGGACATGTCCTGGAAGACCCATCTCAGAATAGTCCTTTCTCTGAATCTTACATTCCAAGTCTTGAAAATAAATATTGCCAAATGACTTTTTTTTAGATTTATATATTTATTTGAAAGGCAAAGTTAGAGAGAGAGAGAGACAGATCTTTTATCTGTTGGTTCACTCCCCAAATTGCCGCAACAGCCAGGGCTGGGCCAGATCCAAAGCCAGGAGCCAGGAACAACTTCTGGATCTCTCATGTGGGTACAAGGGCCCAAGCACTCGGGCCATCCTCCGCTGCTTTCCCAGGCCATAGCAAGGAGCTGGATCAAAAGTGGAGCAGTTAGGACTCCAAACGGTGCCCAAATAGGACGTTAGCACCACAGGAGGCAGCTTTACCACTGCACCACAGTGCCAGCCCCTTTCCCAGTGATTTTTAAGCAGGCATTTGTCTTGATGGACATTATCACCGTGATCACATCTGTTATGTAGCATCCACACAGCTGTGGTCCTCGATCAGGCTCTTTGTTGAGCTTGGAGGGGGAATCTCATCTCCTTCAGCGTTGAGTTCAGGAGCTTGGCCCATGCAAGTCATTCTACCAGTGAGAGGGCTTCATTCAAGAAAGAGGGTAGAAACCTTATAGAGAGGCCTGAAGAAGCTCTCTGGACATCTCAGGAAAATATTCTTTTAATGAAGAGCAAGGCCTCTGTTTGCCACTGTACACATACAGAAGACTTAGACTGGCTACAGCTCTGTTGCTACAGCCTCAGACTAAAACTGACAGTCGGGGAAGGACACAGCTGAGAGAATTGTAGAGAAATGACACAGAAATACTGAACGCACTGCCGCTGCATCTGTTTATGTCTGCTGTTCTGTGTTATTTTCAGAGAAGTGTGTGTGTGTTGTATATGAGTCGCAGTGTTACTCTATAATGGCGTTGGAGCTAGCCTGATGTTAAATGGTAACTCGTGTGGGGTGTGTGTTTTTGCATATTGAAAGGCAGAGGGAGATCTTCCATCCACTGATTGATTCCCCAAATGCCCACAACAGCTGAGGCTAGAACCAGGCATTCTGACACAGGCATTTGACATCCCAGGTGGCATATTCGATGCCAGATGCGCAACCCATTTTCTAAAAACTGAAAGTACTGTGAGCACAATGTCTTGTAACAGATACAGGAGGAAGACAAGAGAAGAATAAGGAGTTAACTTGTGAAGTACCAGGGCATGAGAAAGAATGAGAACAATATTAAGTTCTCGTAGGAATCAGACATGAAATGATACATTACAGATGTTTGTTACTCATAATGGTGTCTCCACTTTTACTGTAATACAGTACACAGTTTTTTATGTGACATAGGAGGAGTAGGAGGAAGCTACATGAAGTAACACAGTTTTTACAGTATTGCTGTAGGCAAAGACCTCCACGGTCCCTCAACTTACGTGTAGTCCTGGCTTCAGCAGTTACAGGGGCCATTTCATGCTAGCTCTAACTGCCTCCTCACCCAGACACTTTGAAAGGAAATGATCGACATCACATTTCACCCTGAAATATTTCAATTTTTTTTTTTTATAAAGCAGCTTTGATGAGGTATAAGTGATACACTGTGAATGGCATGTTTTAAAGTGCATGGTTTCATTTGTGGCATATATCACTGGAACCTTCAGCGCGGCTCAGATTGTGGATATTTTGACCACCCCTGAAAGTTCTTCAGGTGTCTGTGTGGGAACCCTTCCCCTGGGAACCGCCGATGGCTTTCTGTCAGCATACATTAGTTTGCATTGGAGTCAGAGTATGTACCTTTTTGTATTGCTGTGTCTTTGACTCTACTTCATTATTCTGAGACTCACCCAAGACGTCTTTGTTTATAACAGTGTTATCCTACCCCAAAATAATCATCTAATACCCAGTTTTAAAATTTCTCCATTGACAAAAAAGTGTATATGTAAGGTTGGTTTGTCCATATCGGGATACAAACAGTGTTCACAGTATAGCAACTCCTTTTAAAGTAGCCCTGTCATTTCCTTCTCCGCGGGCCTGCTCTAAATGATTACTTCATTATCTTTAATAATGTGCTTGTTGAAACGCATGCAGATATGTTGTGGAAGAGATGGTTTGTTTAATTGCCTCCACATCAGCACAACCACTCATGTCTGCATACCCTAGTTCTTGACCTTGGGCAGAGTAAAAGTTAGTATTTTAAGGATGGCAGAATTTGAAGTTGGACAGTGTTAAAGGTCCCCCTTAGTGAGTACAGCGCGTTTCCAGGAAGCTCAGTGGCTGTGCTGCTGACAGCAGTGCCAAGTGCACCATTTCCTGTTTTTCTCTGCAGAGGCCTGACGCTGGGATTCCCCTGGTTTGCACATGATGTAAATCGTGTGTCTGTCTTGAATTCTAAATGTAACACACGTGTGCACACACAGTCATTTCTTAAATGTCCATAGTGTGCCTGGAAACAGGTTTGCGTATGTTAGTATTCACTTATTCTGAGTGTCCGTCTTTGGTTCTTTAGGAGTGTTGTGACAGATGTCACAAGAACCCCTTGACCTGTGACCTGCCTTCTCTGGAACCTTTTACCACTGGCAATCCTTTTTCTTTACCTCTTTCCCTGGATATTTCCCATCAGAAACAGGAGGTCAAGTCTCCCCATCGTAAAGGGAAACCATTGCCTTCACTCCCTGTTCTCTCTTCAGCTGCTGCTCTTCTTCCTGTCCAGAGGTGGACTTCCCTCTAGAGTTGTCTAGATACTCTTGGGTCTTCCTGCTTGATGGACTTGGGGCTCACTGAGGTACCCTTTGAGTCCATGTGTGAAACCAGTGAAAGGCCTGTCTCTTGTTGGTTCTCTGCTTCTCCACTCTGTTGCCTGCTCCCTCTGTGACACACCTTTGAACCTCCTCCTGACTTTCAGGCTGTCTATGGGGCCTCCTTTGGAGAGTTAATTCTCCACTCAACCTTTGAAATGTGGACTCCTTTCCCATTTAATCTCTTTGAGAACCCTGCTTCCCTATATCCACCTTGCCCTCTTGGGAACATCTCTCGCATGTCTTTAAATTCAGTGTGTCTTAAACAGAATCATCTGCCTAGAACCTGGTGTTGTTCTGGTGTTGTTAGTCCAGGGTTCTTCACTTTCTCTACTCAGATCTCAAGGACTGTACACACCCCTCAACTCTTGCTGCCCTGTCAGTTCCCAAATGCAGCCAGTGAACAGATAGTGATTTTAGTCACTAAACACCTCTTTTATTTATTTATTTATTTATTTTGGCAGGCAGAGTGGACAGTGAGAGAGACAGAAAGGTCTTCCTTTGCCGTTGGTTCACCCTCCAATGGCCGCCACGGCCGGTGCGCTGCGACTGGCACACTGCTGATCCGATGGCAGGAGCCAGGTGCTTCTCCTGGTCTCCCATGGGGTGCAGGGCCCAAGCACTTGGACCATCCTCCACTGCACTCCCTGGCCACAGCAGAGAGCTGGCCTGGAAGAGGGGCAACCGGGACAGAATCCAGCGCCCCGTCCGGGACTAGAACCCGGTGTGCCGGCGCCTCAAGGTGGAAGATTAGCCAGTGAGCCATGGCGCCAGCCTAAACACCTCTTCAGTTTCATCCACTTCTTTACCTCTCTGCTGTTGAATCAAAGTAATCAATTGCCTTTTACCATCATGACCATAGCAACAACAATAACTGTGTTAACTACAATGGCTTCACCTTTTGATCGCCTCCAACCTGCATTCCACCTTTAGCTTGTGTGGTTTTATAGAATTCTGCCATGTGGGATTGTCTTGATAAGATTTGAGGGTTTGTGAACACGCCAATAGATGTGCACATTAGAATTTTATGTTTAAAAGCTGCTTTACACAAATTTATAACTTGCCTTGGTTTTGAGACAAGCTGCTGTTTCAGTAGCAGTGTACTGTTGAGGAAGGGAAACTGGGAGGTAGAGTTGGTTTCAGGACACTAATCTGGCTATGCCTGGGCCCTCTCCCAAATAGAATATTGTCTCTCAGGGGTCATGGGACACTCGGGATGGTCCAAGATATTAACGTGTATCTGTGGAAAAATCTCACATGCTTAGTGAACAGCAGGGTCAGGAGGTGCGTTCAGTGAGGTGCATGGACATATTGGTGGGAAAGGGACTGCTGGTTGCTGAAGTCACTGGGAAACAGGGAACGAGCACCCTGAGAAAGTCACCCAGAATTTCTGAGAGTCAAACCCCAGGCTGGGTGAGTTTGAACAGAGTTCCCATCATAGCCAGGAAAGAGCAGCAAACAACAGTGAACACATTAGGGCCAGATCGCACAGTCTCCACAGGACAGCATAGCAGATGGACCTGGAGGTAGTTGGGTATAAAGTCAGCTTGTGATCAGTGTGCTTTTTTACTAACAATGGAGACTAATGATCATTTTATACTTGTGTCCTTAAAAAAAAAAAAGGAAATCTTAAATGGTTGTACAAATATGTGGGTTATCATAAGATGTCATTGTGTTAGTCCAAGAGTTAGATATTTTTGTGTCCTTGATCAATTTATTGTACTATTAAGCAAAGTCATTTATGCACAGTTTATAAATCTGTCAGAGTAACTTTTTTGTCAGATCATTTTCTCAACACATTGTTCCCCACATTTTAGAAAAGGCGACGACGGATCGACCGAAGTATGATTGGAGAGCCAACCAACTTTGTACACACGGCTCACGTAGGATCAGGAGACCTGTTCAGTGGGATGAATTCAGTGAGTATGCTGATGCTCATGCACCGAGAGCCTTGAGGCACAGAGTAGGAAGCCTGTTTGTGGAGACACAGTGCGGAATGGCTGTGTAGACATTGAATAGAAATACAGACAGTGAGCCCAGGAGAGAAAAAATGAAAAACCTCATCACTCCTACTTTGCCAACTTATGTATTTAGTTTTGGTACTAAATTCTTCAGGCCTTCTCTTGAATAAATTATTTAAAACTTAAAAGGATGAATTCAGAATGGAGGTTGATAGTTCCATTGATTCTCATGCCTTCACCAAAAAGGAACAAGAGATGAGCCTTTTAATAATGTTGGACTTTTGCCAGGCAGCTGACTTTTTTTTCTTTATATATTTATGTATTTTGGCCATGTGGCTCAGTGGGTTAAAGCTGTGGCCTGCAGCATCAGCTTCCCATAAGGGTGCTAGATCAAGACCTGCTGCTCCACTTGTGGTCCAGCTCCCTGCTAATGTGCCTGGGAAAGCAATACCCACTTGGGAGACCCAGAAGAAGCTCCTGGCTGGCCCAGCCCTAGCTGTTGCGGCCATTTGGGGAGTGGACCAGAGGATGGAATAACTCTCTCCTCTCTCTGTTTCTCTTTCTCTGACTGTAAGTTGCCTTTCAAATAAATAATCTTTAAAAAAGTATTTATTTGTTTGAAAGAGACAGAGACAGTTGTCTATTGGGGTTCACTCCCCAGGTGGCTATAACAAGCAGTGCTGGGCCAGGCTGGAGCCAGGAGCATTTTATGTGGGTCTCCCATGTGGGTGGCAAAAGTGCAGACATGTAGGCTGTTTTCCAGGCCATTTGCAGGAAGCTGGATTGGAAATGGAGCAGCCCAGACATGAGCTGGTGTTGTAGGCAGTGACTTTACCTGCTGTGCCACAAGACCAGCCCCACAGCTGATTTTACAAACATTTTTACTGCATTCCATTCATAACATATTACCTTCTACCTAACATTAGAGTATTTATTGTTTACCAGTTTACTCTGAGTTCTCATATATGTCTCTTAGAGCAAGGCAGCAAAATTTGATGTTTTGGGCAGTAAAATTTGAAAAATTAAAAATATAGACAATCTGATATTTGTTGTAATTAGAGATTTCAGTGAATTGTGCAAGGATTTAGAGTTATTTAGCAAAACTGTTGTAATCCCTACCATTTAAGAGAAAATCAGAATGCAGTATTAGAAGCCACAAATGAGGGTTCTCATTGGGTGTTGCCTCACTTTTGCCCTTAAGGAAGCCACAGGCATACGGCCCTCTTTCCCCCTTGCCTAAAGTGAATGGGTCCTTGGTGATCCCTAGTGTTCAGAACCAGAAAGCCAAGAAGCCTTTGAAACACAAATTATGACCCACACTGACCAGGCAGCCTTGGCCCCAGACAGCGCAGGAGAACAGGGACTTTTAAAATAGGTAGGTGAGTATCCTGGATACCGCCAACAGAGTTGTCCCCCCAGTTCCTAGGTAAGCAAAGGAATGACATTGTGGCTTCCTGGAAAGGAAACAGCTTGTTTGTTCTAAATCTGTAGGAAGAGTACTTTGTTTCACTTGACTGCTTTTGTGTAAACTGGTTTCGATAGCTTCGTTTTCTGGATCACAGAGTGAAAAGATCACACAGGACCGTATTACTCGAATCACTGTGGTTATTATAATACAAGGGGGCTTCAAGAAGTTAATGGGACAAGCACATATTATGAAAAACCATGCACCGATTTAAAATGTGTTTTGCACACGTTTTTTCATGAACTTCTGAAGTTCTTAGGGGTGTATAATTAGAATGAATTGTTTCAAATTTGTTTTGTTGAATTTTAATTTCTTAGCAGCAGATACTTTCTTCTTCAGATTTTTAAAAGTATACAGGAAGAATTAAGTTTAGTTTGGATGTTAAGTAGCAATTTACATCTTGCTCATGTACATGTGAATTACTCCTCCTCTGCATCGTGTCTCAGTGAAAGGCTCTCAGTCGTATGCATAACTCCTTTGCCTGCCTTACACTAGGGGAGAACTGTGAGACTGTTGACCAGCAAGAAGGGGCTTGTGCTCCGAGTCTCCAGGAAGCCTTCTCTTGACTTTTTAGGAAGTTATGTCATTGTTTCCAGACTAATATGTCTCCCAAAGGTATTTCGTCTGCTGGTCCACTCCCCAAATGGCCTCAATGGCTGGAGCTGGACCAATCTGAAGCCAGGAGTTTCTTCCGGGTGTCCCACACCGTTGTAGGGGCCCAAGCTCTGGAGCTGTCCTCTGCAGGCCATTAACAGAGTTGGATTGGAGGAAGAGCAGCCAGGACACAAACCAGTGTCCACATGGAATGAAGCAGGTGCCCCAGGTGGAGGCTCTGGCCTACTACGCCACAGCGCTGCCCCCCAGTCGTTTTGTAGTAGTCAGTTCATGTATGAATTGGTGGTCTGCTAAGCAATACTCGGCATTTTCCCCCGTCTCCACCACCTGAGCTGAGTTGAGGCTGTTGTGGAGGGAACTGCTGAGTCAGTTGAGTCTGCTAAAAGTCTCAATCCTACTCGCAGAAGCCTAACTCATACAATTAGGTTCTCCTATGCAGTAATAACCACAAATAGATATGCTATTTATCTAAAGAAGTAATTTCTGTTAAGTTTTTATATGCTAAGGACTGAGCAGCTAGTATTATGGACATGACTCGATGCACAGAAGATAGCTTTGCTTAAGCTGTATTATTAGATGGTCAGAAGACTTGTAATTCCACCCCTCCCCCCACCAAATACATTGTTCTCCCAAGACAACTCAGAATACTATATATCCACAGTCACAGTGAGATAATGAGTCTCAACACTGAAAGATTAGAGGAAGAATACTTCAGTTTTTAGAATGGCATAAAACCAGAGATCCTGTTTTTTAAAAACAAGCCTGAGGGGCTGGTGCCATGGGTTAATCCTGCACTTGCTGCGCTGGCATCTCATATGGGTGCCGGTTGATGACCCAAGTGCTTGGGTCCCTGCAGCCACATGGCAGACCTAGAGGAAGCTCCTGGCTTCAGATCAGCACAGTTCCAGCTGTTGCGGCCATTTGGGGAGTGAACCGATGGAGGGAGGACCTTTCTGTCTGTCCCTCTCACTGTCTGTAACTCTACCTCTCAAATAAAATCTATTAAAAAAAAAAAAACAGGCTTATAGATTTCAGGTATTTTTCTTGTATATTAGATGTCCCACTGCATTTTATATTTTGCTAGTATCTTCTGTTAGCACATATTTAACCTGCCTTATTGCAACACAAACGCAGGCAGGCATTTTCCTTCTTTAAACGTAATGCACTCCCTTAGGGTCACCAAGAAGCAGGCATGGCCTGCTTTGTATCACAGGAAGTGCTCATTTAGTGTTGATGAGTGGACTGTGGAGTGTGCTGGCCTGGGAGCTGAGGCCACGCATTACTCCCCCAGAGTGACGGCTCCTGCTCCGTGGTGCTCGTCGCTTCCGAGACGCTACTGCTAGTCACTGCTTTCCAGCTGTCTAGCTGGACTCCTTGATTCTGCTTCCAGATGACTTTGTCAAAGTGAGCAGATAAGAAGCCTGCTATGCAAAGAGGACAAATAGTTCGCCTACTTACAACAGTGTTAACAAACTTGGACTGTGATCTGTCTTTGGATTCTTGGACTTGAATTTTTTTGGTAACTTTGTGAGGCTGTATTAATTAAGATGGTAAGACTTACGTTTGCTGGTCCAGTTTCTGTTCGTTCTGATTTTATTCTAAGTAATTAAGGTATCAACTATGAGATGTCTTAAGTTGATTGCAGTTATTTAAAGTGACCAGTCTCATCATTTGCCTTTTAAACTGGAAATCTGTTTATGGGATTATTACTGTTTCCCAAAGTTGTCCTTCTGAAAACACCAGCTAAGACGGTACCAGAAGGATCACTTCAGTTGTACGGAACCTTGCACCTCATTTTCATTTGCTTTATTTTTAGGTTAGCTCCATTCAGAACCAAATGCAGTCCAAGGGCGGCTATGGCGGGGGCATGTCTGCCAACGTGCAGATGCAGCTGGTGGACACGAAGGCAGGATAGCCGTGCTTCCCTCCCCGTGAGTACCTGGGGCGGATGAGGCCCCCGCATAGGCGCCACCAGCCTTCATGGAGCGCTGGGGAAGGCAAAAATATTTTAGTTGGCTGAGTGTGTTTCAAGGGAATGTCCTAGGTAGTTACAGGAGTTGGCGTGTCAGTGTTAAATTGTGTTTTTTAACGAAGTTGAAAACCTTTGAGATGTCCGGAAGGGGAGGTGGCTTTGCTTTCTGTGTCCTTTAAACAGCAGTGCAGTTATGACTGGGAACACGGGCACTGTCTCATGAGTAGTTCTGTAGTTAACAGCGTACTATTTAGAACTCTTACATTACAAATTAAAAGGCTACTTTCTAAAATGATAAACCCTGAGAATATGAAAGTAATTTGATTTTTTTTCTTTTGGTTTGTAGGTTATTGTGAATTTCTATATTTTTTGTCCACTATTCTCTAAATTTGGTCTTGTGATTGCATTTCTCTTATTTTTAATTACAAACAAGAAGTGTGATGACAGCTTGTTCACCTCCTTGTGATTCCTCCGCTGAGATGTTACTGTTTTGCTTCAAGAAGATTCTGTCAGCCGAGCCCTGCATTCCCTTCAGCTGCCGTGCATGCCTTTGGACTCCTGGACAGAGCTCTGGGGTTGTAGCTGGATTTCCCAGTTTAATCAGTGTGGATCTGACCGCAGCATGATTTTTCTTTGTGAATGCGAACACCATTTTGTAGTTCTTCTCCATTTTAAACATTGTTCTTTCACTTCCACCCCCTCTGCCTTAGCATTTTCCCAGTAAGCAGGGACACACTGTTATTTGCTAACTTGTCACCACGGATGCATACTTGCAAGGGGTGGGACCCACAGGCGTGACCTTTTTATCTGAAACGTCGACAGACTAGGGCTGTGTGTGCTTTCTGCAGGCGCTTCGCTGGGAGCCCTCAGGATGCAGCGCTGAAGGGTCCTCGCTGCTCTGGGTTAGTGATGCTGCTGCTGCTACAGCACCTCGCAGCCCAGTGTGGAGGCGCAGCGTGGCGTCTGGTTGGAATTGCAGTAAAAGCAACGCTAGCGTTCTGACAGCATTCGTCTGTTGTAAATGGTCAGGGTATTTATCTGAGCGCCAGGACCTGTGAATGCGAAAAGGTGTGGTTCTGTATCTGCGTGTGGGGCAGTCTGCTCCGCCAGTCTGATTCTGAGCATCTTCACTGCTCTGTGTACGCGTCTCCCTTTACCTGTTCAGTTACGTTTAATACGACGCTGTCCAGTGTGTGGCGCTGTGGCCAGTGCACTCCGCCAGGCCTCTCTGAAGTGTACATGTTTTGCAGGCCATGGAAGTCGGCAAGAACAGCACACTGACCTGGCTGAACCACTGCCAGGGAAAACAGCCTTGGCTCAGGTTCCAAAATATATTTATCCTTTGCTGATTTTGTGTATTTCAGATACTTCTGTAAATGTTTCTTTTTCTACACCAGAGTATTGTTACGCCCCAGTCAGTGGTTTGTGTTCTGCTTAAACCCCAGGTCCGATTTAGGCCTATCCCACGGTATTTGGTAGGATTAACGTTTCATGCAGTGCTATTGAGGAACCGTTGCCCTCTGCTTTCACTTACCTTAGTCCCAGGTGCTGGCGAAACGCTGCCTGAGCGGAGTGTCAGGTTGACGCAGGCAAAACATGAATGCATTTCTCCTCCGCATCTTCCCAGAGTAGAGCACCAGCGTACTCCATCCTTGTGTTTTGCCATGTTGAGCCTTCCTACCTGCCAGTTCCAAGCACAGAGAAACAATCTGTCAAGGCAAAACATTGGACTCTTCAGAAATAAGCAGTTTAACAACTTCTAAACCTCACTTCCTCTGCTGTCATTAATTCATGGTGCATCCTGGGATCTGCCCAGCTGCACTGCTGGTGTGAGCTCTCTGACAGATGAGGGTTTTTGGCATTATGAGCACTGAAATGATTGTCTACTTCAGTTGTGACTTGTTGTGCCTGTCATTTTGCTCCTGAAACAAGAGGATCAGGAGCCGTTGTCCTTCGCCCAGCTCCTGGTTTATTTTATTCTTTATTCTCATCGCTATGTTTGCGGCTTCTCCAAGGAGCAGTGCGTGCCGGCAGCGCAAGAGTGTTTCACGGTGAACCCTGGGCTGGGCGCTTCAGCCTTTTGCTGTGGTGCAGCTGCCGTAACCCCACAGGCCCAGGGACGACCCCTGTAGAGCAGCCCGTGCCATTATTCAGGGAGGCGGCTAACCCCGTTCACACGTGGGGCCATGGTTCCCAGGAGGCATTGCTCCCTTTAGCAACACCTCTCTGAATCGAAGATAATTTAATCAACGGAGGTCCGGCTCGAGGTTCACGACGCTGTCAGTACTTTGCTAACAGCTGCTCAGGCGAGGGGAGCGGGACGAAGAGTGATCCCACGGATTGGGGCAGCATCCGCTTTCACTCGTGTTACTAAATTATAGCAGTTTCATTAGAGAACAAGTTTGCCTTGATTTTGTTTAAAATGACTTCTGCTTAGCACCCAGAAGATAAAATTGACATATTTTTATAATATAAGCATACTTTTTTTGTACATTGTGTTCATTCTTGAATAAAGTGAGTTCAGTGTTGGCTTATAGATATTAAAAGAAAGTATTGATTTTGATTCAATAAATGTTTTCTTCCAATCCTGTTTTGTTTTCTTTTCTCTGAATAATCTTCCATTTCTGTTTAAGGGATCCACATATAGCACCTTTTCAGCATGCTTTTCATGTTAAAAGAGGGTTTCAATTTAATATGTACTTAGAGAGGTTTGATTCATGCCTGGGTTTTTTATTTTTCTTTAACCTGTTAAATTACTTTTGTATTCAGCAGATTCAGGGTGACTCCCTTACAGAGTGATTTTACACCCCAAGGAACATGTGGCACTGTCAGTAGACATTTCTGGTTGTCACAGCTTGAGGAAGGGGAGCCGTGGGCTGCTACGCATCATGTGATTCCAGGACAGCCCCATGGCTAAGACGTCACAGCTAACCAAGGGTTAGAAGAACATCTGCTGTCGGCACTCCCACCTCGCACAGACCACAGACCTCACTGCACAGGGCCATGCGCATGGGTCCGTGAGAAAATTAGGGAAGAGAGTTTCGGGAAGTTCCGGTGACTTCTGTCCTCACTCCCTGTCAAAGACTCTACAAGGAAACTGGCTTAAAATCCGTTGTTGACAATGATTTCTAACGATCCTAGTAAGGATCTGCAGTTAGGCTGATGCTGGGGCTGTCCACAGGTGCAAGTCCCAGTCCCAGCTTCCCAGGGACTCAGGTTCCCGGCTTGGCCACGCCTGAATGCTGTGCACAGCTTGGGAGTAAACCGCTGGGTGGGAGGTCTTTGGCAGCCTTTCAAAGCTACAGAAATGGACCTGTATTCTGAGTTTCTGCTTTTGAAGGACATACACAAAGACACATCCATGAAAGTGTAGTCGAAGGCCGGAGCCGCGGCTCACTAGGCTAATCCTCTGCCTAGCGACACTGGCATACCGGGTTCTAGTCCCGGTCGGGGCACCGGATTCTGTCCCAGTTGCCCCTCTTCCAGGCCAGCTCTCTGCTGTGGCCAGGGAGTGCAGTGGAGGAAGGCCCAAGTCCTTGGGCCCTGCACCCCATGGGAGACCAGGAGAAGTACCTGGCTCCTGCCTTCGGATAAGCGCGGTGCGCTGGCCGTGGCGGCCATTGGAGGGTGAACCAACGGCAAAGGAAGACCTTTCTCTCTCTCTCACTGTCCACTCTGCCTGTCAAAAAGAAAAAAAAAGTGTAGTCAAAGTGCCTACAAGTGATACGCCCTCTACTGAATGCTTTGGTCACCTGGGAAGAAACGGAATGAAATTCTACCCTGTGTTGTCTCCAAGGTGGTCCAGTGAAGACAACGACAACCATTGGATATCGCCTTTATCTGACGGTTCATGTTTTTCCCTTGAACTGTTTTTCTGTTCCAGGTTATGCTTTTTTTTGTTTGTTTTTAAATAATCCTGTCCCTCAGGTGTCTGCAGCCCCTGGGCCTCTTGTGACCTAAAGCATCATCCTGTTCATTCCTGTCCTGGCCTTCGTTAGGCCTGCCCGGGACAAAAAAAAATCTTAGCATTTACTGGAAGCATTTACTGTCGTCTCTGAAGACGACAGTCAGGTGTTTAATCGGTGACCTTAGGAGCAAGTGTGCAGAATGCGATCCTGGTGCCTTTCGTCACGGGAGGAGGGAGTGCTCAGCTCCACGCCCATCTTCGTTCTCACGTGAACTCCGCTCCAGTGCTGCTTAGGGCTTTCGCAGCTCACTGGGGCTCACTGTTCAGCATTTCAGGCACGTAACTGCTGAGAGCCCGCCCTGGTCCAGCAAGCATTGCTAGATAGGTACTAGATAGATACCTCCTTCAGAATCTCTAGTACCTCCCCTGCCTTCAGTTATCTAAGCCTATGTGGCCTCCACGTGGCCGTGTGTGTCTCCAGCGCGTGCGCTCTGCCTCTGGGCTGCACGTCCCCAGTCTCCCGCCTGCTGCCACGCCCCTGAGCAGTGTGCCCTGTCTGCCAGCACCACTGCTGCTGTTTCTTTCTTTAAAAACCAGTGTTGCACGTTTCACTCATGTCTCAGCAGGGGTACAGACTGTTAGACTACTTTTTGTCAAGGCCATAAACATTTTACCCTGTAAACAGTTTTCACAAGCGTGTGGAGGTTTGACCTCCGATTGTTGCTGCTGAGTTCTGTCCAGGAGACAGGCGTTCCTCTGTGGCTGCAGCCACATCTTCCCTGCACCACACGCACCTTCGCTCACGGGGCTCCACAGGTCAGCCGCTCCTGCAAACCGCAAACAAGCAAACAGTCCGTTCTCCTCTCTCCAACCTGTATTCTGAAGGGACAAATGTGATCCGGTAGCTGAGGAAGAAACCATCCTGTAAGTAATGAGGGATGGGAGGGACAAGGGCCAGAGGGTTCGGGGCCAGACCAAGAAAAGAAAGCAAGGAAAATGCTTCCAGGAGGGTGGGGGGAGGGGAAGGCATTTGGCAGAGCAGCAGGGCTGCGGCTTGCCTGTTACGGAGTACCCAGTTCGAATCCCAGCTCTGCTTTTGATCCAGCGTCTTGCTAAATGCACACCCCGGGAAGGCCTTGCACTACTGCCGGCCACAGAGGGCCCCAGAGTGGAACTCCTGGCCCTTGGTTTTGGCAGGGCCCAGCCCCGGCAGTTCAGGGCAGTTGCAGAGTCAAGCAGCAGAGGGGAAACCTCTGCCATTCAATAGGGTGACGTAAGCGCTTAATGATCTCCTTTATGTCTGCATTTTTCATTTACCAGCCTTCAGCGGGCCTTTCACCCTAAAGACGCCCGGGGCTGGCGCAGGTAAAGCCACTGCCTGCGGCGCCAACATCCCACAAGGGTGCCGGTTTGGATCCCGGCTGCTCCACTTCCGATCCAGCTCCCTGCTGATGGCCTGGGGAAGCGGTGAACCATGGCCCAAGTGCTTCAGGGACCCCTGCACCCACGTAGGAGACCCACAAGCTCCTGGCTCCTGGGTTTGGACCAGCCCAGTCCTGGCCATTGCAGCCCTCTGCGGAGAGACCGAGCAGAATGAGGATCTCTAACTCCGCCTTTCAGATAAATAAATCTTTAAAAAAAAAAAAAAGCCTTGGTTGTTCAGCTTTGGAAATTTCTCTGGTTATTCCCTTATCCTCTGAGGATTGCCTGGTTTCTCGGCAGTAACTCTGTGGTCTGGGACAAATGGAACAGTTGTACAAATCTGAGAATTTCTCACAACTAGAATTCTGTGCACAGCTGTACTCAACTGAGATGTCAAAACAAAGAGGAATCAAAGACTTGCTTTTTCACAACCCCTTCCTGGAAACACTTCATCTGCTTTGCAAGACTGAGAACAGAGGGCGTGAACTTGCAGGATTTCCAGGTCTGAAACAGGACCAGGAGAGGTCCTCCCCACAGCTGAGTGAGGAGTGCTTTTGGAAAAGCTGTCTATGAGAAGCATGCTCAGGTGGGTCACACCCGCATGAGTCTGTCTGGTGTTGCGGTAGCAATGCCTGCCGCTGGCTACTTGCCGCCGAAATGTGTATTTAGCTTCTTACCCTTTTGGAGGTACAAGAGCATGGTGCTGGCATCCTGAGCAGGGTCTCCAGCCATGTCACAACCACACGGCGGTGAAGCCCAAAGGCAACTGGCCATGTGTAGAAGGGGCCAAAGGGAGCTGCCTGGCCTATGACAACCTCTCCCAACTATGCTTGTGACCAAAATTAATCCCATCCAAAGGTGGGGCACACTAGGCACTGCCTCTGAAAGGTTCTGCCACCTCCACACCACCAGGGGGCACAAGAAAGCAACCTGCCCAGCACTTCCCTGAGCAGGACACTCACACTGACCGAACTAGCACAACTGCACGGGAAGATCTCAGCATCCAAAAAATTTTTCTTGAGCATTCTGTGCACAGTTCATAACGTCTTAGGCTTATTTAGCTTACTGTGTTTAATTACTGTGTTTTACCTTTGTCTATGTTTAAGCATTTGGAAATACAGTGATGAACAAAACAGCCTGCTTTACCCTCCAGGAACTTGATTGCCAGTGTGGGTGCAGACAGACAGACTTTAAAACAAGTAAGTAAGTGGGTTACAGAAGTGCTCTGGACAAACAGCTGGAGGTGCAGGAGAGAGATTCACACCGTGAAGATCTCAGTAACTGAATGAACACATCTTACTGCTACCAAATACAAAAAGACAATTCAGGGTATTCTTGCATAAACCAGAAACATATGCAAAGGGCTAGCACTTTCCAACCCTGGATGGCTAAATCCCAAGGGCCTACAACAGGCTTGGCTGGGCAGGAGGCACTTAACAAACGTGCCGCATGGAGAATTGTTTGACCAGCACAATTGCTGAGAAAAATACTTGAATTTCTTTAACAGCTCACCTGGCAGGGGTGCTACTGTCCAGAGTCCTCATCAGCTGGCCCAGCTCCAGGGGGTAATTCAAAGCATCCAGGTACAACATGCATATACCCTTTAATGAAATGAATTACACTTTAGAAAACAAGTTCAGAAGTTGTACAGAAGAGAAGGAGAACTAAGTGTTACTCTCCCTTGTGTATGTTGTTGGAGCTCACGAATTCTCTGTATACACGTGCTTAGAATATTCCCAACAGGGGCGGGCACGTTGTCCTACTGGTTATGATGGCACCCCTCATCCGAGTGCTCGGGTCTAATCCTCGGCTCTGGGTCCTGACTCCCAACGTAAACCGTGGGGAGCGCAGTGGGGGCTTCAATGACTGAGTTTCTGTCACTTGCATGGGAGGCCTGCTTCAGCCTGGCCCAGGTGTGGCTTTTGCGTGCTCTTGGGGAGTGAATCAGCTGACAGCTCGCTCCCTTTCTCCTTGCTCCTCCATTTAAAATATAAAATTTTAACAAATAAGAAATATGACAATACAACAAGAATGAGAGGGAAGAAGGCCAAGTCTATAAAACCTCATCTTTGGATATGTGAAACTGTGAACAAAGCTGGTGAATCAAGAAATCAAAGTGTGCCTCTTTGATGCAGAGTGAGGAGGGTACCCCAGGGAAGACTCTGAAACACATACACTACCGTGGTTATCCTTCGGTGGCAGCAATGGGGTTGTCATATGCAGTTACTGAGAGAAGAAAAAAAAATTTAACAAGTTTGCCATTTAAGAGACTTCTGGGACACAATCAAGCCAACCAATATACACATTACAGGGATTCAAGAAAGAAAAGAGGGACAAGAGCCTAGTTTCAAAGAATACTGGCTGTAAGCTTCCCAGATTTGAGGAAAGAAGTGAATATATAAATACAAATATATAAATACAAATCAGTGAGCTCCAAGTAGGATCCAATGAAAGAAACCCATCGCTCAAACACAGGGAATCTTGAAAACAACCAGAGGAAAAACAATGCAAAAATTCTCAAGAAAATACTAAATTGACTAGAACCAGTAGATGGGAGATACTTTCCCCTCTGTCTCCCACTACTTTCCAATAAATAAATTGGAAAGAAAAAACTAAATACGTTTCAGCAACACATTAAAAGGAATAAACCATACCAAGTGGAGTTTATCCCAGCAATGCAAAGATGGTTCAACGTATGAAAACTACCCAGCAGACCAAGTATACAAAACAGAAAACGCACACTATCAACTCAGTTGATAGAAAGTGTTTGCCAGCGCCACGGCTCACTAGGCTAATCCTCCGCCTTGCGGCGCCGGCACACCGGGTTCTAGTCCCGGTCGGGGCGCCGGATTCTGTCCTGGTTGCCCCTCTTCCAGGCCAGCTCTCTGCTGTGGCCAGGGAGTGCAGTGGAGGATGGCCCAAGTGCTTGGGCCCTGCACCCACATGGGAGACCAGGAGAAGCACCTGGCTCCTGGCTTCAGCGGCCATTGGGGGGTGAACCAACGGAAAAAAGAAGACCTTTCTCTCTCACTGTCCACTCTGTCAAAAACAAAAACAAACAAACAAACAAACAAACAAAAAAAAAAAAACTATGTTCTTTGATGAGGAGAATTAAAGATGTATTTAGTTTCAGAGTTAGAGGGAAAGACAGAGGGCCCCATCATTTCCTCCCTAGATGGCCACAATGGCCAGCACTGGGCCAGGCTGAAGCCAGGAGGAGCTTCTTCCAGGTCTCCCATGTGGATGGCAGGCCACTCCATCTGCTGCTCTCCCCAGGCCATGAGCAAGGAGCGGGATCAGAAGTGGAATAGCTAAGCCACAAACCTGCATCCATATGGGATTCTGGCACGGCAGACCATGGCTTTACGCACTATACCACAAGGCCGGCCCAAGAAGACAATTTTTTTTTACTATGTCAGTACTACCCAAACTAATCTACAGTATTAACGAAATCTCCATCAAAACCCCAGTGATGGGCTGGTGTTGTGGTGTAGTGGGTAAAGCTGCTGGCATCCCTGCTGCTCCACCTCTGATGCAGCTCCCTAATGGCCTGGGGAAAGCAGTGGAAGATGGCCCACGTCCTTGGGCTCCTGCCACCCATGTGGGAGACCCAGATGAAGCTCCTCGCTCCTGGCTTCTGCCCAGCCCAAGCCTAGCCGTTGTGCCCATCTTGGGAATGAACCTTGTTTCTCTGTAACTTTTTTTTTTAAGGATTTATTTATTTACTTGAAAGTCAGAGTTACACACACAGACACAGAGAGAGAGAGAGAGAGAGAGAGAGGTCGAGATCTTCCATCCCCTGGTTCACTCCCTAATTGACTGCAATGGACGGAGCTGAGCCAATCCAAAGCCAGAACCAGCAGCTTCTTCCAGGTCTCCCATGTGGGTGCAGGGGCCCAAGGACTTGGGCCATCTTCTACTGCTTTCCCAAGCCATAGCAGAGAGCTGGATGGGAAGTGGAGCAGCAGGAACTCAAACCGGCACCCATATGGGATGCCGGCACTGCAGGCAGTGGCCCCATGTAACTTTGACCTTCCAATAATAAATGCAATTTTTTTTTTGAAATAGAAAATCACATCCTAAATTTCATTTAGAATCTCAAGAAACCTTTAAGATCCAAAAAGATCTTGACAAATAAAGGACAAAGAAGAAACTATTGCACTTAGTGATTTTAGAACAAATCTACCATTATCAAAACATTTTTTTTTTCAACAAATGGTGTTAGGAAATAGGATAACCACATATAAAACAATGAAGCAGACTTTAACTTGAACCATATAGAGAAATTCAAAAGGATCTGAGACTTGAACCTAGGAGCCGGTGCTGTGGTCTGGAAGACCTGGACCTGTGACGGTGGCATCCCACATGGGCGCCGATTTGAGTGCCGGCTGCACGCATGGGAAAGCAGAAGATGGCCCAAATCCCTGGGGCCCCTGCACCCGCAAGGGACACCGGAACAGGACTTAAATACACATTTCTCCAAAGAAAACACACAGTTGACTAACGAGCACATGAGAAGATGCTCGACCTCACCAATCATTAGGGAAAAGCAAATCAAAGCCACACCGAAGCACCGCCTCACATCCACGAAGATGGTCGGTATGTATAGAGGCTGGAGAGACGGGAAGGCAGAACGCACAGACACCACGGGATCCACGTGGGGGCGCCTCAGACACCTAACAGAACTGTCATCTGATCCCGCAACCCCGTTTCTGGGTTGAGAGCAGGGCTCAGGAGATCCGTGCACACCCTCGGTCAGGCAGCGCCACCTGCAGGCGCCAAGGTGGGAACACCCCGCGTGCGAACCAAAATGCAGCCTGCACATAGAGCGCAGTGCACTGGAGGCTGCAAAGGGAGACATCCGACAGCTGCAAGCGGCTGAGCCTGAGGGCGCACAGGCAGAGAGACACACGGGACTCCATGCCAACCGGTGCCCACCGCGCGCTGGTCACCGCCGCAGCAGGGAGAGCGGAGCAGCCGGGGGCGAGGGCGGAGCGGGCACGGAGTCTGACCTCGGCGCCGCGGGCGCGCCAGAGCGTCAGTGTGCCTAACCGTACCCTGCCACTGGCTCAGAGGCCCACAAAATGCCACAAAAAGAATGTGAAAATTTCCATAAACCTAATAAACCTCACGAGGCATTTGTGGCCAAGGGCAGCCAGCGAGGGGAGGGAGACGCAGGGGACTCTGGATCAGCTCCGAAGACCCCGAGGGCCCCGCACCTCACTTTTCTCTAAGTCCACTTACACGCATGGCTCCCTGGAGGGGCGCAGGGACGTAGCGGGCAGCGCCAGAGCCAGCTAGGGCACGGCCCAGCGCGCGTCCTGGGCCCGGGTGGCTGCCCTCGCACACAGCACCCGCCCATGCGTGCTGCCACCACGCGGTCGTTAGTTTCCTGTTACTGATTCTCTTCAAGTCACAGCAGCCGGTTCTCAGGCCCAGGCCCACACGCGGACGGGCTAGCCTGGAAATGCAGTGGAGGATGGCCCAAGTGCTTGGGCCCCTGCACCCACGTGGGAGACCCTGATGGGAATTCCTGGCTCCTGGCTTCATCCCGGCCCAGCTCCAGACAACTGGGGAGTGAGCAGCAGATGGAAGACCTCGCTCTGTCTCTCCCTAACCCCACCTTTCAAATAAATAAAATAAATCTTTAATAAAATATATGCGATTAAGATTCTTCCATGTGTTTTCACGGCCTGAGAACTCACTTCGTCTCAGCACTGAGTGACACTGACTCACATCGCCCGTACCTGCTCACCGACTGCACCCACAGTTTTGCATTGACGCACAAATACCTGCCGGCACGCTTCTGCAGGGACGTTGGCTTCCCAGTTCCTTTGGGGAAATCCTGAACAGCACAGCTGCTCTATCCTTGGTCAACATCCGCTTCGTCTCAGAACAAACTGCCGGCCTGTGCCTTGGCCTTGCTCCCCACTGTGCAAGCAGAGCCCAGACAGCACGTGGCAAATGGCAGCCACTGGAGGAAGCAGCGTGTAAAGAAGGCGGCTCAGCCCAGAGAAGGCCGAGCTCGCGGGAAGTCAGCCAGTCTCTCCTGGCCCGACCTCGCAGACCATGGACCATGCCTGCTTGTTTCCTCTGATCCCAGTTTGACAGTCCCACGCACCTCTCTGTTCTAGCACTACAGGACGGGTGCCGAAGGCGTTCTGATTCCTTTTGCTGCGTAAACAATCTGACAGTTAAATGAAGTAACCACCAGTTAGCAAGCGCAGGGACTCCAAGGCTCAGGAGCAGCGACAGGTACCGCTGTGTGCTGCCTGGCGACCCGACGGCCAGGGACAGACAGCTCCAGCCCGTGTGCTCCTCTTCCCAGCCAAGAGCACTCGGGACAGACAGCCTTCCCCGAGCGCCATGCACAGCCTCTCCTGGCGGCCTTGCCGCCCGCATGCCTGTACGCCCGTGCTGGCTTGAACAAGGCTGGCGCGATGCTGCTTTGCACGCCAGCCCCGGGGGCCCACAGTCCACCGCGCTGGAGGCTGCAGCTCTGGGGCTGTGTGTGGACTGTGTTAACCTGTCCCTGCCACTGAACCTGGGTGAGCCCCGGGACTGCTGAGCTGAACACACTGGGGTGAAGAGTCACAGCGTGCCTGCCTCAGTCCCAGTGCACAACCTTGAAACTCAACTTCAGGGACCCCAGGAGACCAAGTCCATGTGGACACACAGACAGGTCCGCCAAGCCAAGGTCTGGGACTCAGGTGAGCCAGCACTCAGTGGACAGGAGCCCCCGCCCCGAGCCTTTAGCCAGGCCCTGTCCTCGCATCTGGTCCCTGAGCAGACGTCTCCGTTGCTACGGAAGAGACGAGCCAGCTTGACTAAGCACTGCTGTGCTATGAGCAGTAACACGAATGGCAGTCTCGTGCCACCGAGGTGAGCTGTTTTGTCACACAGCCACACTGAGTGGGCCACCACATTCTCAGAATAGAGGCAACCAACCATAGCTATCTCGGCAGATTCAGAAAACGCATTTGGTAGAGTTCAACATTATTTATCGTTAATAAGGGCTAGCAAACTAGACATGGAATGCAACTTGCTCAAGCTGATAGCAGTGTACACAAAACCTTACAGCACACCCTACTTAGTGGCGAAATACAGACATTTTACTTCTCAAATCTGCAACCATTAGACTGAAAGCTCCAGCCAGTAACAGTAAAAAGAATTAGGAAGAAGCAGAACTGACGTGAGCTGGGAATTATGTGTCTAAAGCCCGTCTAATTATTACTTTAGTAAGAGGGATGAAAGCGCGACACTGAACACTTTCACTTTTTGACAGGAATCAACAACCACCCCCATCAAACACACACACACAGACAAACCCTTCACGAAAGCACTTAGACCAAGGAAACAGACGGCAAGGCAACATCTAATGACGCAGAGCAACATGCCTGCTTCGCTAAATTTCAGGACGCTAATAATTTCCTTCGCACTGATTAACAAACTCAAGATGACTCCAGTCAAAAGGCTGTGGGCACACGTATGTGGGCTGAAAAGCTGGTTCTGAAGTTTACTTGGAAATGCGGTGATGTAAGTAAGGCTAAGCTATTCCCGAATGGGGAGAGGCGGCGCGGGGAGCTTCCTCTACCAGGCGGTAGTACGTGTTCCAGTGTGAGCGCGATGAAGACGGTGCTGTGCCGGCGGATGGAGAAACAAGTGAAACACCGGCCCCAAGTGTAGACTCGCACACATACAGGGGACACCCGATTCACTGCGAGGATGGCGCAGAACTGCACGGCGAACAGGCCTCCCGACAGGTGGCGCAGGGTTGCAGAATGAGACCTGCTGCTTCCTCACCCCACACACGAGCAGTGTCACAGCTGAACCTAAACCACAAAACGCTCGAGTGCTTACACTGCAGCACAGAATGTGCTCATGAACCTGAGCTGGGAAAAACTCCTGAAGCAGAGCACAGAGTAATAAATTTTGTTAGCTTAAAACTAGGAACTTCTCTTCAACAAGAGACACTGTTAAAGGATGTGTCAACACACACACACACACACACACCCCGCAGCCAGAGTGGGAGGAGCCAAGGCAATCACATGCAGAATTTATAAAGAGCACCCACAGGTCAACGAGGAAAAGACAGACTTGCGAGGCATTTCCTGAGACAGGAAAGGAAGTGGTCCATAGGAATATGAAAAGCTCAACCTGTGCAAACTGAAACCACAAGGAAACATCACACACCGACTGGCACGGCCAAGGCAAACAGGAACACCTTGCAGGGATCTCCCGAACACGCGGCTGTTCAGTGCATAGTGTCACACGATCCCTACCCGCATTACCTGCTTTCCCATTCCTCTTCAGAACGCCACCTCTTGTATTTTCTGATACATTTCTCTTGGGACCCCTAGAAAAGACCAACAATGAACGTTTCTAAATCTTAAGCCCAAATTTAGGAAGCACAGAATTAAGGTTGTAGCAGGCTGTCCATTCACAAGTACGCATTCTCTACAACTAGAAGCTGCTTGAAATCCTACAGCACTTCCCACTGTGGAGACACTTCAGGTCTGTTCCCTCTGTAGAGGAAGACTCCTCTCAAGTATTCCACGGGGCGGTGACGTATCTGGAAAGGTGGCCAGGTGCTGATTCGAATCCCAGCCGCTCCATTTCCGATCCAGCTCTCTGCTGTGGCCTGGGAAAGCAGTAGAGGATGGCCCAAGTGCTTGGGCCCCTGCACCCAGGTGGCAGTCCCAGAAGCAGCTCCTGGCTCCTGGCTTCACACTGGCCTAGCTACAGCCGCTGTGGCCATTTGGGGAGTACACCCGGGGCTGGAAGACTTCTTTCAAAAAAATAAAGCTTAAAAAAAAAAAGTTACCTCACTCTCATTTCTTTATAGAACCGGTCATATAGTAACATGGCGCCACCTGCTGGCCCTGGTGGATCACGTTTCTGAATCTTTCAAGTTTCCTGCTCAGGATCATCAGCCACCACGCCAGGCAGCAGCACAGAACACTTGCTCCTAGCCGAACCCCAACCCACCTAGAGTCTTTCTCACCATGGCATTCAGCATCTCTCCCTACGTTGGATGAACAATTTTCTTTTAGGAGGTGTCTACGTCTTTGGCCCATTTTTTTGCTGGGTGTTGTCAATTATTTGGTATGTATTAATATTATGAATTCTGGAAGCTAGTCCCTTGAAGGTCATAATTAACCACAATGTATTTTCCAACTCTACGGCCTTTTTGTTTTTTAACTGGTAGTTTCTAAACATGACTTTAATTTTTATCGCTTATTTTCACTTTAACAGTGATGTAGAAGCGAGGCGCCTCCATTCACGGGTTTACTCCTCGAATGCCCACAGCAGTGCAGGTTCGGCCAGAATGCCATCTAGGTCTCCCAGCTGAGTGCCAGCGGCCCAACTACTTGAGTCATCATCTCCTGCCTTCTAGAACGTATGAGCAGGAAGCTGAATTGCCAACAAAGTAGCTGGCACTCCCCAGGCACACCAAACAGTGGCTTAACCAGCTGTGCTACAAAGCCTCTTCAGAGAAGTTTGTGGAAAACGCAATTAAAAGTTCTGATGCACATCTCTTAAGGCATTCTGGCCTGGTTGAAAAGCCCATGAGAACAGTTCAGGCATGGAAAGCCAAGACACTGAGGCAGTAAAATGTCCTACATGAAGATCTCTGAGGTCCCAGTGGAAAGAAGGGGCCATGAAAGGATGGACTTCTCTCTCTAGGGAGGAGAGAACTTCCACTCAGCTTACAGCCTTGTCTGAATACTGACAGAGACTGTAGGTTTAAAAGGCTTCCAGAGCCTTGGCAGCTCACGTCAAGAGCCTCGGGCGATCAATGACATCATACATCAGAGTGTCAATTGTTAAATCAACAACAGGAGTCACTGTGCACTTGCTCTCCATGTAGGACCTCTGTCCTCAAGAAGTTGTACTAGGAGAATTAACTATAAAACTTGTTCTCAAACAGTGTTTTTGTGTGTGTGTGTCTTTGTGTAAATTGTTGAAATCTTTACTTAATATAGAGTTGGTCTTCTCCGTACAGCTGTACTTATGAAATTTGTACTCCTTAAATCAAAGATTTCTTTGGGGAAAAAAAAAGTTTTGATGCCAGGGTGTTGTGGTACAGTGGATGAAGCCACCACCTGCAACACCAGCATCCTATTTAAGCACCAGTTCAAGTCCTGGCTGCTCCACTTCTGATCCAGCTCCATACTAACGCACCTGGACAAGAGCAAAGCAGCAGCAGACGGCCCAGGCACTGGGCCCTGCCACCACCTGGGAGACCTCGATGAAGTCAACCCTGGCCGTCACAGCCATCTGGGGAATGAACAGTGCAATGGAGGCTCTCTCCCCCACCATGTTACTCTGCATTTCATTAAACAAGTTTTGGTGCAAAAAAATTTTTAAATCCATCGTTTTAAAAATTATTAAAGACTTATTTATTAGAAAGGCAGAGTTACAGACAGGAAGAGACAGAGAGATCTTCCCTCTGCTGGCTCACTCTCCAAAAGGCTGTGATGGCAAGAGCTGGGTCAAGCCAAAGCCAGGAACCTGGAATGCCACCTGAGTTGCCCAAGAACCCAAGCACCTGGGCCACCTTCCGCGGCTTCCCCAGGCACATCAGTAGGGAGATGAATCTGAAGTGGAGCTGCCGGGGCTCAAGCCTCTGAGTGACAATGCTGGCCTCTCGAAAAACTTTAAAATCCCTCAGATGCAAGAATTTGCAATTTTTTTTTTTTGCGCTTAAACCACACCTTTTAATTCCATTTTCCACAAACTTTTTGAAGTACCATATACCCTATCAACCTACTGCTTTGGACATCTTGTTATGTAAGTTCAGAGTTATCTCCTCCATGTTTGGTGGAACTTTCCAGTAAAGCCATCCAGGAGTTTTCTTTGTGCAACGGCTCTTACATTACAGATTCAATTTCCTTAATAATTACAACTTTCCCGTCATGGTTTTGGTAAGCTTTTTCCATTAACATTTTATTTCTACGCACATTTTAGTTATTCAAAATGTTTTAAATGGCGAGTGAGTAAAGCCGCTTCCTACAACGCCGGCATCACATTTGGGCACTGAGTTCAAGTCCCACATGCTCCGCTTCCAATCCACCTGCTTAGCGGCCTGGGAAGGCAGCGGAACATGGTCCAAGTGTCTGGTCACCTGCTACCCATGCGCAAGATGTGGGTGAAGCTCCTGGCTTTGGCCTGGCCCAGCACTGGTCACTGCAGCCATCTGGGGAGTGAGCCAGTGGATGGACGATCTGTCTCTCCCTGTCTCTGACTTCCAAGTAAATAAATCCTAAAAAAGATATTGTCATTAGTCATTAATTAAAAACTAAAGTACAAAACATGGTACCACACATGGCACACACTTACCAAAATGCTTGAAACGATAAAACTAACAGGCTGATAATACTTGCTGCCGTGGAGGGCTCTGGGATAACGTCTTCTTCTCTTAGCTTCATCCAGTGCTTCCTGGAGCTAGAAGACAGGCCCTGTGGCACGTTACCGGGCCACCAGAGCCTTTAGCCACAGCGACTGGACTTCAGGGGGTAAACTGCATTCCTTTCCTAGAGCTGCTAACCAATCACCACAGCTGGGTGATTCGTGAAATGTATTCCCTCCCAGTCCGCAGGCCAGGACAGTGTGCAAGCAAGCGCAGCGAGCAGGCTCAGAGGGCAGCGCTTTCCTGGAGGCGCTGCAGAACTCCCTGCCCAGCTCCGGGGCTGTGGGTGCTGACTCACAGCTGCATCTCTCTCTGCCGTCTTCACGACACTTAGCTCCTGTGCCTGCTACCTTCCTCTGTGTCCCTTGCAAGGATATTTTAGGGCCACTCAGATAATCTAAAGTAACCTCATCATTTCCAGATGCTTAATAACATCCGCCAAGACCCTTTTCCAAAACAGAGAAGCAAGCTCCAGATATTAGGGTACGCTATCTTTCTGGTACCATTACTCCATCTACTGCATTTCTATTGAGTGTTTTCTAAATAATGGAATGAATGGTGAGACTGTGGAGAAATGGCCACGAAGTATGTGTGTGTTTCGCTGGGAGGAGTGAATGGGGGAAGGTTTTGCACAGGGCCTTACAGCAGATCTCCTCCTTGGCCAGAGTCCTGGGGGGTGATCCCCTAGACTGGGTGGCTGCGTTTGCATGCACTGCCCCACACGGTGCACGCAGGCACGTGTGGCAGCCCCTCCTCAGATCTATTCTCTCCTTCATCACTGACACCAATTCTCATTTTGTTTGGACACCAGCTGCTCGGCTAAAATAGATCATTTCTCAGGTTCCCTGCAGCTACTGGTCACACAACCTGGTTCTGATGAGAGGTAAGCAGAAACACATTGACACCTTTCCCCCTAAGACTCCCTTCTCTGTCCTTCTGGAAGCACTGAGATGATGCCTTTGGGAGTCAGGATGCAAGTCTTCCACAGGACTGGAGCTACTATCTGAGCCTGGATAGTTTGCCTGTGAACTTGTGTGTCCCAGTAGAGTTTAAGCCACTGTTCTCTGGTTGGCAATCAAACACGACTGCCTTTATCTAAACAACAACTAGGCATTTCACAGATTCTGTCTGACAGTAACTGGGCCACTCCAATTTCTCTAGAGACACAAAATACAGTGTTCACATCAACGCGGATCACAGACTGGAACCACTAAATGACGGGTACAGTCACTCAGTCGGGACCACCCATTTATAATAAGATATGGAGAAAGTTAATGTAGATTCTTTATTGATTCCACCAATGTATTAGATATGATAATAATAAATGGTACTTTTACATTCTCTTAACCAAAAATATAACAAATATTTACACTCAGTAAAAATACAAAAAGCATACAGAGGCACTGTCTTTCTAAAAGACATAAGTTTAAGAGGTATCAAAAAATAGGAGACAACATTGCTTGTTACAGGATACCTTACAATCATGGAATTGTGCAGTACAATTGTTATTTGATTATTACAACTGTGCAATTTTATTTTTGTCTTTTGCTGATAAGCTTACATGTTTCAATTTTAAACAATTAAGTTCAACTGCATCATGTGTATGAAAAATAAAGAAGCCTTAAGAAAGCAAAACAAAAGCTGAAGGTGAACTAGGATTCAAGGTTAAGTTTGAAAACTTTGACACTTTTCTGGAGATTCAGCCCCTCTTCCTAGCCTTTAAGGCTATACTAAGTGGACACACATTCCTTAACATCACATTTTTTTTTGAAACTTAAAATTCTATCAGAATAACAAATCATTATTTTAACCAAACAAGGCAACTTTCCCCTTTTCCTATGTAGGGGAAAGAACTTGATAAAATTTAGGTTTGTTCTTAGATATCCTCAAGAGTATTGCGACATTTGCAGCCTGGAGATACCCTCTAGGAGGGGACACAAATGATGATGATATGGGAATTACCACCTTTAGGAAAATCCATAAAAGGGTTTTTTCTCCCCAAAGATTATTTTGAAAGCATTTGGAGAAACTGCTGATCTCAAAAGACTAACGAAAGTATGTAACGCAGTAATCGGCAGGAGTTTGCACGAGGGTTTACTGCTTCAGTTGCTCTCATAGATGCAGAGTTGTCAATGGGAAGACAGGGCAACTCGTCTCTTCATTAAAGCCACAAATCAACTAAAGACAAATGGGGACTTGGAATCCGAGAGAATACATGTTAAGGCTTCCCTTGTTTTAGTCCTATGAAAAACCCAAAGGGGTAAAAGTTACCCCAAATTAAAATACAAAAATCAAAACCTCATGAGTTTTTGAGAGATTCAAACATACCAAACCACAAAGCATTTGGCTTTAGTTCCTGATCAATGTGATCAGCTGATCCAAACACTCACACAGTTAAAGCAAAATAAAACAAAGGCAGCTATAATGTGCAAGTCCAAAACCAAAACTCTCCGCCCAGGGTATTATTTACATCAGTAAGGATAAAGACACATAAGGCTTCCATTTGGTTTGAAAGACCTGCTAAATAAACAGATACTGTGCACAAAGCACATTTTTTCTTGAGTACTGGATATAAAATGGCAAAAATAGATACCCAAAGTTGATTTAAAAAAAAAGGTAGTTATAGCAAAAATATTTTCCACTTTGTTTTGCTGTGGACATGAAAACAATACTGTGTAAAGCAGTGAAGGAAAAAAAAATCTGTAATGGAAGACTGCTGATCATGGGCCACATCACCACAGTGTGATATTCAAACCAGGATTTTTGATTCAGGATACTGCCCACTTCAAAGGGCCAAGAAAGCTATGGAATCTGCCTGCTTCCTTCTATCACACTGAATTTCTAAGGCTTATGTTTCAGGGCCATGTTCCTCCCCGCCCTGCCTCCTTTCAGGGGGATTTTTCAGGCATGCTATTTTTCCTAAAATAAAGACATAATCATTTTTGATGGGGACGCAAACTATTAACATTTATCATTTGGAAGTGAGTCACTATTTTAAAATAAAGGAAACAGGCAGGAAAACAGAGAGAGGAAGACACAGCTTGGGGAAAAGAGCAAACTATTACAACAGAAGTCATGTCTGACCAATCTACTATGAAGCAGATCCATTCCAGCTCCAAGTTTAGCTTGGGTAGTGAGTGTACCTCTGTGACTTTGGCTTTTCTTTTTCTTCTTTTTTTTTTTTTTTTTTTTTTTTTTTTTTGGCAGTCACTGAAGTCTATGAGACTCTTACTTGGCTTTATGCTTGAAAAGCAAATGAAAAATTTTAAACTTAATACACACAGCAAGTGTTATATAAAAATGTGAGGAATCTGCCTCATCTAGTAAACAGTTACAGAAATTTTAATAATGAAAGTAAGAATGCCATGCCCACGGAGAATGGAAAGGTAAGTCCTCTCAAGGCCTAAATGAGAATCAAGACAATCATTTCTGCAATTCTAGCTTCTGTTTCTCCCACGTATTTTCAACCAATTCTACCCTGGCGGGTTCCTAAGCACGACTCTCGGGAGCCGAAAGCTGCAAGCTTTATTATGCAGACTGGGTACGAGGTGGGGTGGTACGTACGCTGCAGAAGACACACAAATTCATCTTTGTGACCCTAACACCTATGAACATCTAACACCTTTTCTCCTTTAAAAAGAGAAAAGAACTCCTTATCTGAGAGAAACTTCATGATAGGTTTTCCATAGAGTTCTCTACTGAATGGGTGTATAGCTTTATACTTTCAGTTACCATTAGATACAGCATGATTTTTCACTTCAAGAATTCAGACATGTCATTAAACATCAAACATCAACATTTGGATTTCTGGAAAGTACAGTTCCGACAAGCTCCATTGTATCACCTCCCTCTTTTCCCAAAGGACTGATCAGAAATCCTGTGGCAGCCGCGTCTGGCCTTCCCACGAGCAGCAGGCTCCCGACACCTCAGTGGCAAAGGGCTTCCTGTCCACTCCACTGAGCCCTACATTGCACGGTGCTCCGGAGCAAGTCACATCTCTGCACAGGCAAGCGTGCCGTCTCCCTACAGGTGACCTCTGTTGGGTCAGACCAGAGACAGTTTTACAGCCTCAACCCTAAACATCAACTAGCAAGAGCTCCCAAACGCAAACACAAACACAATAGCTTAAATAATAAGTTACTCTTCAAATACCTAAGAATATCCTTGGTATTGGCAGACATTCTGAATATGTTCATAAGCCCAAGCTATGGCTTGGAAAAAATAATACCACTATTAAAAAAATTACTTGTTAAAGGAAAATCTACAGTGATATACACGGGGATGACTCTGAGTTTGAATTTGTTCTGTAACTGTGGTCCCAAGGCAGTTCTGGCGTGCAGCGTCTCCAGGCACAGCATCTACAGCTGAGGAAACTGTCTGCAGGGATTACATGAAAGAAAGGATGACTCGGGTCTATCTCACTGTTCAGAGAACAGGGGACGAAACCTCTGGGTTAGTTGTAGCAGCAAGCTATTGGTTGGCAACGGCCTGTGGGATGACGTGGTTCTGCCAGCTCCGCTGTGTCTTTCGGTGGTCTTCAAAAGGGGCATCCAAAGGCTACACTGCTGAAACTTGTTCGTTTTCTGAAAATAAAAAATAAAAACAAAATTTACTGGTAGAGCAGCATACTAATGAAGAAAATAATCTAATTTTATCTGTTTATACAATTATGTCAATTTCAACCAAGAGATCCTCTTGAATATCCCGTATCAAGGCCCAGGTTTTACTGTAATGACATTTCTAATTTTTGACCACACTGAATGTTGATGATAAACTACAGCCTCATAAGTGTTTTCACATCACTTTATTACTTGTTTAAAAGGGTAAACTTCATTTTTAATAAAGTCAACCACTACTCAGGCTGTTGCTACAGCTGCAAAGTCAAGGTGGCATTTACTGTTAGGAGGCAGAACACTAACAGCATTATTCCAGGTCTCCTGGCACCTGAAGCCCAGTCCTAAGTTTGCACGCATTAACATAAAACACACTTCCACTCCCATCCAGTGCCTTCTCTCCACGCATCCTGCTGGAGGGCGCTGCTGCTCTACCGGAGGCAGGAGGGCTCTGTGAGAGCCGGCACCAGGGTGCTGGGCACACAGACACCAGCAGCCTGTCAGCTCCACCTCAGAACCACACCACCACATGGGGTTTTCTCATCTTTTTTACCAGAGATTTCTAAGGCACTTAAGGAAAACATTACTAATAAAAAGTATCAGAGTAAAGAGCATCTAGTGTCTTCAGCAGTTCATTTAGGAGCCATTAGGGTGCTGTGTCAACATACCATCTGCTTCGCTGTCTGCATCAGTCACATCTGCTAACTTGGGATGTGATGGCTGTGGATTCTGCCTCTGAGGCTGAGTTAGAATCGTTGATGAAACACAGGCCACAGGGTTGCTACTGGGAGAAGCTGGTGGCAGTCTAGAGAGGCTGTTTTGCATCATCTTGGACCTCTGCACTGCCACACTATAATCTGGAGGTTTTAGGTGCGGGTGGGGTCCTTCCTTTAGGTCGGCTAAAGAAATTCCCATATATCCTGGAGGAGTGGGAGGTGGCTCCCTATACCTATTGTCCTTCTTGGGTGAGGTGACACAGTACACTGGTATGAAAAATAAACAATGGAAATGTTAATGAAAAATATGAGAAACAAACAAAAAACCATGAGACTTATTATGATGGCAAAACAGAACTTAAAGTGAATAAATCTGAAATCAATGAAAGATTTAAAACATTTTTAAAAAGCTTAATAAACTTAATATTTAACCCTATTTGTAAAATACATAAACTGCATTATGGTTTTATAAACATCAAGTTAGAAAAGAGATGAAGGTGATGCTGATGACAAGCTTCCTTCTTCATTATCACACAAACGTCTGATAAACTCTTGAACACTGGCCCTAAATGTAACCAAGTCAGAAACATTTAAAAGTTCACCCTAGGGGCTGGTGTTGTGCTATAGTGGGCACCCCACATCATACCACTTATTCGGGTCATGGCTGCTCCACTTCTGATCTGGCTCCCTGCCAATGGCCTGGGAAAAAAGAAGATGGCCCAGGTACTTGGGCCCCTGCCACTAACACGGGAGATTGAGATGAAGTGCCAGGTTCCTGGCTTGGATCTGGCCTAGCCCTGGCCATGGTAGCTATCTGGGTGGTAAACCAGCTAATAGAAGCTCTCTCTCTCTCTCTCAGTCATTCACGATTTAGAAATGATGGGATCCATGGGGCCATGGGGCCATGTGGTTCAGGGTCTTTTCACAATCTTCCTGAAACAGAATCCATTGTTAGCTGGCACTTCTCGAGACCCATTACCAGTCTGGGCAATTAACTTTACCACTCTTGATAAAGAAAAACTCCTTCAGGTACCTACTAACATTTGCTTTATGATTAAGTGGAGAACAAGGAAAAAAAACCTAATTTTTGGAAATTCACCTTAAATTTCTCTGATTTTTGGTGGACACTAAAGACAACAAGACTGGTGCTGTGGCGTAGTGGGTAAAGCCACTTGCCTGTGGTGCCGGCATCCCATACAGATGCCGATTTGAGTTGGAACTGCTCCACATCTGAGCCAGCTTCCTGCTGATGTGCCTGGGAAGGCAGCAGAGGATGGCCCAAGTCCTTAGAACTCAGCACCCATGTGGCAGATCTGGAAGGAACTCCTGGCATCAGCCTGGCCCAGCTCTGGCCATTGGGGCCATTTGGGGAGTTAACCAGTATACTGTCCCTCCCTCTCTATAACTCATCTTTCAAGTAAATAAACAAATCTTAAAAAAAAAAAAAAATTACTTGGGGGCCGGCACTGTGGCGTAGTGGGTTAAAGTCCTGGCCTGAAGCGCCGGCATCCCAAAAGGGTGCTGGTTCAGGTCCTGGTTGCTCCACTTCCGATCCGGCTCTCTGCTATGGCCTGGGAAAGCAGTAGAAGATGGCCCAAGTCTTTGGGCTCCCGCACCCACATGGGAGACCCAGAAGAAGCTCCTGGCTTCAGATCAATATAGCTGCAGCCATCTGGGGAGTGAACCAATGGATGGAAGACTTCTCTCTCTCTCTCTCTGCCTCTCTTCTCTCTGTGTAACTCGGACTTTCAAATAAATAAATAAATCTTAAAAAATCCAACGGAGGAATGGATCTGAATACATGTTGATTGAACAAGTGACTTTTACAATGCAACTACCTGTACAGACAAAATACTTTAAAAAATAACCATTAGGGGTCATTGTGACAGTGCAGGGACTGAACTGTAGCTTGCAACACCGGCATCCCATAGAGTCCTAGCTGCTCTGCTAGTGCAGCTCCATGTCAATGCACTTGAGAAAACAGCAGAAGGTGCTCTAGCACTTGGGCCCCTGCCACCCACGAGGAGGGAATTCCTGGCTCCTGGCTTTGGCCTGACTGTGACAACCATCTGGGAAGTCATCCAGTAGATGGAAGCATGGGCACACTTGCCCCCCACCCCTTTCCCAATGCTACCTTTTAAATAAATGAATGAATCAATGAATAAATACATCTTTAAAAAAGAAATAAGTACCATGAAGGGTGGGCATTTGGCCTATATCAGATATTGGGAGTACTTGGGTTTGATACCAGCCCTGGTTCCTGACTCTGGCTTCCTGTTAAAGACCAGACCTTCATTTGTTCCTCAGTAGTGTATGTCTGTACATAAGCTGCCTTGGGAATAGTCTTAGAGGAAGTCTTAACTGTTGAGTGATTGAGTGATTACTGTGTTTTAGGAGTTAAATTTTATTAATCTACAGATGTAAAGGAAGTCTGGGTAATAGTATTGCTAAAAGTAGGCTTTAATAATAATAATAATAATAATACCAGTACAAGTAATAATAATAGTGGCTTGTGTGGTGGCTTAGAAGGGAAAGCCACAGTCTATAATGCTGCCATCCCATAAGGGTGTCGGTTCATGTCCTGGCTGCTTCACTTGCCATCCAGCTCCATGCTAAAGGCCTGGGAAAGCAGTGGAAAACGGCCAAGTACTTGGTCCTGTGCCACCCATGTGATAGAACCAGACATTTTCTCACCCCTGACGTCAGCCAAGCCCGGCCCTGGCCGTTGTGGCCAACTTGGGAGGGAATGAGCAGATGCAAGATCTCTCTTGCTTACTCTGTCCCTTCTTCTCTTGTAACTCTGACTTGCCAAAAATAAAAAAAAGCTCTTTTATAATGAAAAAATCCTTGCAAACATGAATGAACTAAAATTCGACTTCATAATGCAATCTGACATCTAAAAGATCAGTGTGTTTCTCTTTAAATTTTAATAACTGAATGTAACCATCCTGAATATCCTATAGAATTAAGAGAGACTATGATAATACTGATTCAAAGTAGGGGCCAGCATTGTGGCCCAGTGCGTTAAGCCACCTCTGTTGACACTGGAATCCTCTATCAAGCTCCGGTTTGAGCCCTGAGTGCTTTCCTCCTATCCAGTTACCTGTTAATGCTCCTGGGAAGTTAGCAGAGGAGGAACCAAATAACTGGGTTCCTGCCACCGATATGGGAGCCCGGGATGGAGTTCCTAGTTCCTGTTTTTGGCCTGTCCCAGACCTGGCTGTTGCAGCCATCTGGAGAGTGAACTAGCAAATGAAGATTTCTTGTTGTCTCCCTCTCTGTTGCTGTTTCAAATAAATAAACCTTATTTTAAAAGTAAGGGAGGGAGAGACAGAGATCAATCAGGAGCTTCAGCCAGATCTCCTACAAGGGTGCAGGGGCCCAAGCACTGGGGCCATCTTCTGCAAACCAATTAGCAGGGAGCTGAATCACCGACGGAGCAGCCAGGACTCAAATTGGCACCCAAATGCAATATGGGCGTCATAGGCAGCAGCTTAATCCACTTTGCCACAATGCCAGCCCCTAAAGAAATCTTAAAAAACACAAAGTATGTATAGTCATTCTACATTAATAGAAAACCAGGAGCTGTTCTATCCAAGTATATACACATCACAGAAGACACACAAAAATATTTGATGGCTAAATACCAAAATGCACTAAAAAAGCTTAGAATGAAATCACAAACACTTATGATGTACATCCAGGCAAATACATGCAAAGTGTTTTGGACTTCATCACATTTCCTTTTATTTTCACTAACTACCAGTAACAGAAGATATAAAGCTCCTATCACAGGTAGCAATCGCAGTCAAAACACTTGAAGAGGTGACAAAAGGGAATAATCCCTGCATTATTTCTGCATAGTACTGTGATATTCTTCAATTAGAACAAACACATTTTAAAAACAATAGAAACCAACCTATTCCCTTAATGAAATACCTTCATACCAAACTTTTCATTTGAACTCTGGGGAAATAACTTGTGGAAAAAGTTCAAAGGAGTAAAATTCTAAGCCAAGATTTCCCAATGCCATATTTTTACCACTTAATTTCTCAATACCAAAGATGCAATTAAAAATAACACAACTTACCAATCAGGCCCTTCTCTGTACTTGAAGTGACAGTTTTATAAACTGGGTCGGTGGCATCCTTGGAGTCCATGCCTTCAGTGGACTCGGCAGGGCCACTCTCCAATACTCTCCGTTTAACTGTCCCATAGTTTGGCTCGAATGTGTCAGACAGAGAACTGGAGGAGGCCCAACTCTGTCTCGAGCGATTACTCTCAAGGCTTCCTTTACACTGACTGCAAGTTCTAGAGCAACCTTTAGGACAGGAATATGACTCACAGTCAGTGGGTTCCACTTCAGCAATGGGGTCATCCAAATGGGTATGTCTGTAAGAGTTCAAAAAATCCCAGCTTTTTGGGTTTGGAAGGCTTTGGAAATTGTCATGTGAACTGGAGGAACAGGAAGTCCAACTTCCACGACCACTGTCAGCTGCTTCTATAATGATATGTTCATGAGAAATCTCTTCACTGCTCATGGAAGATGACACAGCTAGACCCTTGATTAGAGATGGCTTCGAGAGTGTGCCCCTAAAATTGGAAATAAGATCCAATTAGAAGTAATTTATTGGCTTACTGGAAAAACTTTCCTTTCTCCATGTGTGTACTACTTGCTACAACAAAGTATGAAACATGCATAGCATAATGAACAAACTCAAATGCTTGTCAGCAAAGTTTTCTCACAATCTCTCAAATACTAAGGTGAGGTTTGAAATGAATAAAATTAAGTGCACATCTTCAGTCACGGTCAACAAAACAACTGGTGAATATACTGTGTCCTATGTATACAGAATTAATAATTTCCAACTTGAGGAACCATATTTTATTTTAGCTTAGCCTTGTAGAATGCCAAGCAATAATAACTTCCTCAACTACTCACCAAATCAGTTTATCATTTTTAGGAGGAGGGTCCTCAAAATAGGGCTTGTAGGCCAAATTTAGCCAACAGCCTGTTTTTGCATCAAAACAAAGAATGGTATTTTAGATTTTGAAAGGTTTAAACATAACAAAACCCAACAGAGAGATAAATACCTTGCTAAAGCTAAAATATTTGCTGTCTGGGCTTTAACAAAAAACAAACAAAAAGTTTCTCGATCCCTGACTCAGAGCTATACTCTATAGGCAGGGGGTCAGGAAACTACAGCTAAGGTCAATTCTGGTCCTCTGATTGTTTATTAATAAAATGTCTTGTTTTCTATATAGTTGATGCTTGTATTGATGTAACAACAGCAGAAGAGGTACAACAGAGATACTATAATCTGAAAACTATACTAACTTTTAAAGAAGAGTCTGCTGAACTTTGGTTTACAGAAACAGCATTTATCAGTGTAGAACCAAGTTTTTTTATGTTTTCTCAAAGATTTCCATTTTGTTTAACTCTAAACAGAAACGTAGAGTTAAAAATTTTTCAAATTAAGGTGGCCATTTAGCCAGTGGTTAAAATGCCAGTTGCGATGCCAACATTCCATATCAAAACCTGGCTTTGATGCACAGCTCAAGCATCCAAGTCCAGCTTCCTGCTAATGAAGACACTGGGAAGAAGCTCTGCTGCCTCAGCTGACTGACTGGGTCCCTGCCACCCATGTAGGAGACCTCCACTAACTCAAGATCCTAGCTTTGGCTCAGACCAGCCAGGGCCACTGCAGTCATCTGGGGAGTGAACAAGTAGATAGGAACATGCTCTATGTCTGAAAAAAAAGTAAAATAAATAAAAAATTTAGCCTTTGCTAGCTGATTATTTTTTATTCTCCAAATTACACTAACAGAAAGCAAAATAAGCACTACACCTAGTCACCCAACCTGTTAACAATGCACACAATTGGGTGTACTTCACCTAACATAACCTCTACCCTTACAGCCAGAATTTCAAGAACAACCTCCCCTTTTAACAATAACAAGTGCAATTTTGGGTTAGTGATTGAAAATATACATAATAATAGGAAGCTAACTGAATTCATTAGCACTTTAAAAATTAGCAACAATACATCTTTCAAAAGAGTACTTATGTCTATATTCAGTACTAAAACATGTTCTTGGCACTCTGTTTTTATGGAGCCTGCATAGATACCATGCAGAAAAGGAGGGAAAGTTCCAATGGAGGAGCATTTTTGACAAAGGCCACTTGACTTGGGTTTTGTGGTCATACAGACAAGGATTTTTTACCCAGGACCATGATGACTATGGTCTCCTGTTCCTGAGGGGTGCTCTGTCTTTTCCAATGTTCTGGTGGATTCAGGGACTGTCAGGACCTGCGAGGAACACCGTTCATCCTGAAGAGCTGCAGACATGGAGTCCACAGAACAATTGCTCACGATGCTGGACCGTGAAGAAATCTCACTGTGGCTGGAGTCAGAGAAGTTGTCAGATTTAGCTGATGGAGTAAGTGTGTAACCTGAACAAGAAAACAACAATTATCAAACTACAAAACAGGGAATAAGTGATGGGGATAGCCAGAGAGGATAAAGAAAAAAAGAAGAAAAGACAACAGCAGTTTCAGTTTCCATCCAAATAGACGTAATGGTGTCAATTTTCTCCACACATTTCCCTACACAGCCATTAACCTATCTACCCATACCACATCAAACCAACTCCATATTCAAGAAAAAGAAAATAAAAATACAGTATCACTAAGATTAGCCTAGGGAGCCAATGGTGTGCTGCAGTGGGTTAGACAGCTGTTTATGATGCCGGCATTCCATACTGGAGAGCTGGTTTGTGCCCCAACTACACTGCTTTTGATCCAGTTTCGGGTTAATGTGTCTGGGAAGGCAGCAGAAGATGGTCCAAGTGTTTGGGTCCCTGAATCCCATGTAGGAGACCTGGACAGAGTACCTGGTTCCTGGCTTTGGCCTTGCCATTTGGGGAGTGAACCAGTAGACAAAAGACACCTCTCTCCTCCCCTCTGTTTCATTCCACCTTTCAAATAAACAAATTCCACTTTTCACTAGGGATGAGGATGGAAGTCAGGATTCAAGGGAAAGAATTCTATTTTTGCTTTTTCAAACTAATATACTTACCCTAGGTACTCTGCTTATGCTACCTAAGAAGGCTTGCCTCAAACTGAGAGCCACTGTTTTATTATTTTTAAATTAATTATTTTAGATTTGGACCTAATTTTACACATTTCCCTTTTCCTCATCAACATGTAGAATTAAACAGTTGAGTTGACAAATTTAAGAATGTGTTATGAAAAATCCAGTGTCTACATGTTTATGTTTTTCTCTGACACTGCACAGCAGATGGTTAGAGAGATTTTCCTCTGCATTTTTTGGAATGAAGGGGTAAGGATGGAGTGAGGTGGAAGGATCCAAAACCAAGTATGCAGCATGATGGTTAAATGTATGTAATAGTCTATTTTGAGAAATGAAGACACGACGAAACTTTTATTTAGGATTAAAAAAAATGCTCTCATTAATCTTGACAAAAGAAAAGCACTATTGTCTTGTTCACAAATGGCAGTGGGCACAATAGCCGCATGACCTTTGAATCAAAAAAGCCTGCCAACCTCACTCAGAACTACAGGCTTTGGTTGTGTTATTGGAATTCTCAGGGCCACAGTTTCTACAAGCTAGGAGAACCAAGATAACAACCTGCGTGCACAGGTCTTTCTCTGCTTTAAGGATCTTGGAATTTATTCACATAAAACGCAAGCCATTATGGACAATAACTGTCGCACAGTAACCTTATTAAGTAGTTTCATTAACTATTTCAGAGAGAAAAATTCAGACCCAGAAAATGTGATTTAGACCTGGTTCATGGGGTCTGGAGCAGGGTAAATCCAGACAACTCAGTCCCTCCTGAAATGTATCTCACAGCTCTGAACACGGGATCACTGCCATCTGTCAATGTTGCTTTTTTAAGATAACCAAGAAAACAGATGCAATTAATTTTGCAAAAAAACAGGAAAAAAATTTCTACCTGTAAAGAAAAATCGTTTTTCTTTTATTTTATAGAACAGATTTGCTTCACTGTTTGCATCCCATACTGGAGTACCTGGGTTTGAGTCCTGGCTCACCTTTTGATTCTAACTTCCAGATAATGTGTACCCTAGGAGGCAGCCAGGGATTGATCAAGTATTTGGGTCCCTGACACCCACTGTGGGAGACCTGGACTCAGTTCTCGGTTCCTAGCTTTGGCCTGTCCTAATCCAGCCTTGGCTGCTGCTGGCATTTGAGTAGTAAACTGGTGGATGAATGGATCTCTTCCTCTGCCTTTCAAATAAAATGAAAATAAATAAAAATTTAAAACAAATATAATCAAGTCTAAAAATCACCTAGAGAGCTTATTAAAATATATATATATATACTGCTGGGCCAGTTTTGAAAATTCGAATTTATGATGTCTGTGGTTAGACAGAGTAATTGTAGTTTTAGAACAAGTTTTCTAGATGATTTTGAACCTGCTATATTGAGATTAGCTCCTCCTCCCCCAATCAGAAAAATGTGAAAAGTATGTGATACACAAAGTGTACGTGAACAAGGTGCAATTTCTTGCTCTTCCATACTTCTATTGTCTTTAGCTTATAAAGCAGCTGAAGCACTACTGTGGCAATAAAATTCTCTTGAGGCAAATTCTGACCAGATTGTCATTGGAGGTTTCAGAGTGACTACTGGTTCCTAAAAATTCCCTCTAGTAATTTCATTCACACACCCAGTTGCTAGCAGGAGGAAATAAAGGCAACTACAAAAAATCAGAACACAAAGTTTACTAACTCAATACATTAGAGAAATAACATGTACAAATAAGGCACTTTCAATCAATATGACTGTGCTACAGAACCTGTATATTAAATATAAAATGCTTATAAAAATAATATCTTTTATTTTTATTTGTATAAGTAATAGCATTTTACTGAGTTGTCTCCCAATCTTGGTTTGACAAAGGGCTTAATTTAAGCTACATTTACATTAATAAACTGAAGGAACTTCGTCAGAGCGTCTTTCTCCTCTTAGACTTGAACCGTGTGTAGAAGCAGTTTAAACTGTTACTGTTGCCTCGGCTATTTGAATTGCAGATGTCATTCCCTTTCTCATCTTTGATGTTGCTTCCAACATCCTTCACTTGCTCACAGCTGTCTGCAGCTTGCTTGTGATCTGCGTCCTCTTTTTTGCTGTTGACTAGTCTCTCCCTTGAAAGAGTTCTTTCCCTAAATCTTCTAAACGGGGATGTCATTCTTTTCCTGCTTGTGTTCTCACAACTTGTCCTGTCTCTATTCTCCTCAGTGGCCTTCTTGGAACTGTCTGGTCTTTTGGCTGTGCTCCTGGTAATCTGAAGGATTTTCTTTTGCAAGTAAACCCCACCTATTCCGGGGCAGCTCAGGCCACTGATGCTGGTGCTGGACTCACGGGGAGGGGCTGAGGAAGACCCTGAGAGGTGCAGCTGGAGGCTGGGATCAGAGAGAAAACTGCCAACTGGAGGGAAAAATGCAAAAACCCTGTCACGGTCATTTAATTCTTTCCAGTCAATCACAATCAGTCTTGTTTTTACATACTTAACACTTAACTATCAATTACTTTGTGTCAATAAAAACCAATACTCTAATAAAAAAAAACACTACAACATCTTGACAATATAGGAAAAACTGAAATCCAGCAACCTTTTTTTAATGCATGGAAAATGTACTACACCATAAACACAATAGCCATTGCAAGAAAACATGGGAGAAAAGACTTTTCTCCTGTCAGAAACTATCAGAAAACAAGCCATGTTAGTAATATCATAATGAAGAACATGACAAGTATAACAATATTTCGCAAAAGTCAATAGAATTTTCAACTAGATTTTACTAAGTAAAAGCTTACTTAAAACCAAGTAAGACATAAAAATAACATACATAACTGCTGTATTTATAAAGCAAAATTTCTGATCCTACTGTAAGTCCAAGGTAGCGAGGCTGCCATTCTTAAACATTAGGGAAAATGAATGTTTAAGACTTCTTGACTTTTTACTTCTTAAATATTCTTATTTAAATTATCTTTTAACAAAACACACAAATAGGCTTTTTTCTTAATTGTTAGCAAACAAAGACCTAATTCCAAAATTGAGAAAAACTAGGAACAGATCCTAATAAAGTACTCAGTGTAGTGACACTTTGTTCAATCACAGACCATGAGCAAGAACCTGTGTGTGCAAACACAAGTATCATATTCATTTGTGGTTTTGATAGCACATTTGTTGGAAAAATCAAGCAGTTTTGAGTAGAAGAACTTCTTTTGATCTCTAAAGATTCTAGACCTGACTGTGACAGGCTCTCGAATCTATAAAAAAGATCAATTGTTGGCCACACACTGAAGCCATAAAGGAGAAGAGACTTCTCTGTTCCCGTGCTGAGGGGGGTTTTCTGTTGCAAGGAGGAAGCAATCAATGGGTGTTTTCCTATCCTTGATACTTCTATTTACATGCTACATTCAGGCATAAAACATCGAATTAGATCCGACCAGGTTTTCATTCGACAACTGTCGACACTAGGATAATGCGGTGGGGGACATGACAGTCTTCCTGAGCATGAGCATTAGGGACACATGGGCTCTGTTCACCTGCACTACCTGTCTGACTAGAGGTACTTCTGCCAGTCTCATTCACTAGGATCTGAAGAGGGGCACTTTGGGTAGCACTGCATGGACAGGTAAAGAGACCAAAGAGTTCCGAGTGTCTTACAAAGCTGTGTACAAGTATATGACTCACAGAGGATTAGAAACCTGTTTTAGAAGCACACGCATTTTATGCACTATCTGTTCTGATTGTATTAAGCTTTCCTTAGTAAAATCTAAATGCGCATTATAGACAGTCTCAAGCATATGAGGCTGGAAAGGGCAGCTGAGCAAGAGAGCAGGGAGAGAAGACAAACTCCCACACACTTAAACACTTAGCATGCATCAGGCTTCACATATACTATTTTATTTAAATCTTATATGAGGTCCCTAAAATAGATGGATTGTTCCTCATCTTACGGGCAGGAAATGTGATCTCACAAATAAACTGCCTGAAGTAACATAGTGTTAGCAGGGAACAGAATCAATTTTGACATCACTGCCACACAAATGGCACAAATAAGAATGAACCCCAGGGTAGGAGATTTAATTTAGACCACAGGAGCTGAGACAAGTTCTGGAAGCTTATGGTTCCTGCTAGAACTCATAAGGTTGTCCTCCCTCTGCTCGGGTACCATCCTGTGCATTATTTAGTTTGCCACATTTGCCGCTTCCATGAAATGGCATCTACATGCATGAAATGAATAAGGATTTCATGTTTTTCATCTTGAAAGTTCTCCCTAAGCTTAATTGTAAAAATCCATAAGGGTATAGGTTATTTTAAATCATGATTAATCAAAAGATAATACTATATTACTTTTAAAAAAAGGAAAACATCAAGCTAATATGCTTTTTTCTAAACCTTAAAGTTGTTTAAAAATAATTTCCTGTAGAAATTTTTATTTATAAATATTCTTTTTTTTTTTCTTTTTTTTTTTATTTTTTGACAGGCAGAGTGGACAGTGAGAGAGAGAGACAGAGAGAGAAAGGTCTTCCTTTGCCGTTGGTTCACTCTCCAATGGCCGCCGCTGCAGCCGGCGCACCGCGCTGATCCTATGGCAGGAGCCAGGATCCAGGTGCTTTTCCTGGTCTCCCATGGGGTGCAGGGCCCAAGCACCTGGGCCATCCTCCACTGCACTCCCTGGCCATAGCAGAGAGCTGGCCTGGAAGAGGGGCAACCGGGATAGAATCCGGCGCCCCGACCGGGACTAGAACCCGGTGTGCCGGCGCCGCAAGGTGGAGGATTAGCCTATTGAGCCACGGCGCCGGCCTTATTTATAAATATTCTACAGAAAACTTCAAATGTATGACAACATCTTGAATTTTCACAGATAAGGGATGGTGCTGTGATGCAGTGGGTTAGGCTGCCATCCCCTATCAGTGTCGGTTTGATGGGGCCTGCATTGTGGTGCAGTGGGTTAAGCAGCTACCTACAATGCCAGCAATCCATGTGAGTGGTGGTTCCAGTCCTGACTGTTCTACTACTTCCTTTCTAGCTCCCTGCTAACATGCCTAGGAAAACAGAAGATGTTGTTCCAAGTACTTGGGGCTCTTCCACCTACATAGGAGACCTGAACGGAGTTCCAGGCTCCTGGCTTTGGCCTGCCCCAGTCCCACCATTGTGGCTATCTGGGGAGTGAACCAGCAGATACAAGATTCCTTTCTCTTTCCCTCTAAGTCTGCCTTTCAAATAAAAAAATCTTTAAAAAAAGGAGGGGGGGGATACTGGTTTGAGCCCTAGTTGCTTTAGCTTCCAATGCCTCCCTGCTAAGGCACCTGGGAAAGTAGCAGAAGACGGACCAAGTACTTGGGTCTCTGCTACCCATGTAGGAGACCAGGACGGAATTCTGAGCTCCTGGCTTTGCCCTGGCCCAGCCCTAGCTGTGGAGGCCATTTGAAGTGAACCACTGGATATAAGAATGCTCTCTTGGGGTCCAGCACTGTGGCACAGCAGCTAAAGGCACCACTTGTAGTGCTGGCATCCCATATGGGCACCGGTTCAAGTCTCGGCTGCTCTACTTCTGATCAAGCTCTCGGTTATGGCCTGTAAAAGCAAGCTGGCCCAAGTCCTTGGGCCCTTGCACCTGTGTGGGAGACCTGGAAGAAGCTCCAGGCCACTGGCTTCGGATCAGCCCAGGTCTGGCAGTGCGGCCATTTGGGGGGGTGAATCAGTGGATGGAAGATCTCTCCCTCTCTTTCTGCCTCTCTGTAACTACCTTTCAAAGTAAAAAAAAAAAAAACTGTGTGCAGATCAATGTGGTGATGTCTTCTGCCTCCATTCCTATCTTTGCTTGCACTCTGTGAAAGTTAAGGATCACAGTTTGCATAGGAGAGCTAGCTACCTGAAGCACCATACCTGAAAAGCATCTGAACACTTCAATACAAACATGAGCAATCCAAAATAAGCACCAGCAGTTATGCTTTTCTTTGTGCTTTCTATTATCTGCTATAGACTAAACAGTGCAAAATACACACAGAGAAGCATTGCTGGCCCTGAGAAGAATTAGCTTGAAATGGTTTGTCTTACTTTTGCGAGGGGAGCCTTGAGGTGAGGCAGGAGGACTAGAGTGTAAGGAGGATGCCACAGAGAGTGTGTCTTCCGTATGTTTCTTACTGCTTGTTTCATCAGTTGTTCCTAAAACTTTCTGAGGTAAACTTGTACCTGAAAATAAAACCAAAGAAGCAGATAAGCATCATTTCACAATTAAAATGTTTGTCACTGCCTAAATCACTACGTAACTAAAGCCATGATGCACAGTGGCTAGTGTAGGGAACTGAAATGTGTAAATGACAAACGGACCGAATGACCAGGTAATAGCACACAGAGATTCTCACCTCCAGGTTACTTGTTCAACAACATAGCTGTTAGCAAGGACCAGACCAAAATAGTTCAATCATTTGCTTCTTTTTTTGCATAAGGGAAACCAATTTAACAGTCTGCATATGGTGCTTCACCCTCCAAATCGACATACTTGTTTGCAATCTGAATACAGAAGGCATGGATTCCAACTCTTCCCCCCCTTTAGAGGTGGCCTCTCCAACTCAGAACGAGGCACGTGGCAGGGGCAGTGCGGAAACACTGGCACTGTCATTACCTGCGGTGTGTCTGTGCTGAGAGTATACAGAAGAGGTGCAGGGCTGCCAGTCCAGCCCTTTTCAAGAGCACTAAATTCACATTACAGGAGAGAAGTAAACAATAGAAACAATCACGAATTTAGAGTAAAGTAGTATGGGGCCCACTGGAAACATTCCCTCATTACTCTGGATCCAAGCTGGTCTGGGTTAGCATAGGTCAAACTTAGCAATGGTTTTGTTCAATGTACTGATGTTTTTACATACGCCTTCTGTAAGAAATGTCAGAGAGCCACTGATGCACTTCTTAACTAGGAAAGTAAGCCCAACTATGATGACAAGAAGCCTTGGAATCATGAAAAAATTTAAGTCATAGTATATCCCACTACTGTTCATTAAATAAAGTTTTATTTATCCATAAAAGCCACATTACAGCAAGATTAAGAAAGCCACCTGGTACAAGGAACCCTGCCTCTCCATTGAGGATATCCAAGACACCAGAGTTAAACTTGTCCCTCTTTCAGTTCTTACACTTTGCCAATTCTGCATACAATTCTAAATTTCAAAGACACTGAAGGACTCCAAGCCCCAAGCAATTTCCAATTTAACTGTTAAACAGGTCTTGGATCCAGGTCCTCTACCTCCAGTCTCACTGTGCTTTCTTCTCATCTTTTTCAAACATAAACTGGATCTTAATTTTCCCTCGTTCCAATCTCTTCAATGGCTTCCCACTCACAACTTTCCTTTAGCATGGCAAGTTCTAACTGTGGCCTACCTATAACCACTCCTTCTCACCCTAGAGAGCTGTTAAATAGAGTGGTAAAACCAAGTACTTCAGAGCTAGCGGCCAGGGTTCAACTGCTAGCTCCATGACCTACTGGGAGTGTGTGGGCTACCCTGACCTTCCATGAAATAAGGGCAAAATATCACTGATGCTGTACAACTAACCTAAAGATGACAAGAATATACACAGTCAGGAAGGCATGTGAATGGTGTCCAGCACGAAGTGGCCTCTCAGTCTTAGGTGTCATTATTACTGTCCATCAACACTGCAAACGCAAAGGACACTCAGGCAGCAAAGGGCCCCCAACACCCAGCCAGCACTCAGCAGGCACCAACTTCTTGCCTCCGCCTGTTAACCTCCTTCCTCAGTGACCTCGGAGACTGACTTCACCTTCTTCTTCCAAAGTCTTACCTTATCACTGCCTCTGCTAGAAGTTCCTCTTTTGTTCTTTCCCTGGTTCTGTAAGCAGCTATGGCATAACAGCAAACACACTGCACTCAAGGTACCTGCTACGTGCCTGTATCACCAGACTGAAAATCTGGCAAAGGAGGGGATATTTCTTACTCAGTCTTTTTTTTTTTTTTTTTTTTTTTTTTGACAGGCAAGAGTGGACAGTGAGAGAGAGAGACAGAGAGAAAGGTCTTCCTTTTTCCTTTGGTTCACCCCTTAGTGGCCGCTGCGGCCGGCATGCTGTGGCCAGCGCACCCTGCTGATCCAAAGCCAGGAGCCAGGTGCTTCTCCTGGTCTCCCATACAGAAACAATCATGAATTCTGCAGGACCCAAGGACTTGGGCCATCTGCCACTGCACTCCCGGGCCACAGCAGAAAGCTGGACTCTAAGAGGAGCAACCGGGACAGAACCCGGCGCCCCGACCGGGACTAGAACCCGGTGTGCCGGCGCCGCAGGCGAAGGATTAGCCTAGTGAGCTGCGGCGCCAGCCTCTTACTCAGTTTTATATCTCAAATAAGATCGTTAATATTCACAAAATTCTACTGAATATGTACTATGCATGAACTGAATAATAACGATGTTAGGAACCAAAAGTAATCTAGCTTTCCATCTAAAAGTTTAAGTTATGATACTGTGAAAACAATCAAAAGAAGTAATTTTGGTATTTAAAGGACAGACTGTACTTTCTAGACAGAAAAGCTGGACCCTTTACATATTTTATACTCTCTTCTTGACTCTAAAGTTTTCAGAAGGAGACATCAATGAAAAATCAATGTACAGTCATTCTTAGAATGATTAATTTCATTCTCAGTTTTTGTAGTTCCATCTGTACTAGATATCTGATTAAACTTACTGAATGCAGGGAGCCCTTGGTTTTACAAGATGTACTGCTTTAAGCTTTCTGGTTTTGAATGGATTTCAGCATTACAGAAAGAACAATATCAGATTTAATAAAAACATATATGTGGTCCTCAAATGCAGGAAGAAAATCAAACATTTCTGACCCACGAAGTGATGATTCTATTACATGGCCTACAACAGCTGATCTTCTGAGCACCTGAAATGATTTGTAACTCTAAGTCTCCTGGAAATTGCAATTAGAAGAATGCAATATTAACTGTGAATACTCACTCAACGCAGAGTCTTTAGTTTGTCCCCTCTTCCTGATAGGATGCAAATTCACAGCTGGCACCTGAAGGACCTGGCTTACTCTGTGGGGCTGATGCAAGTGGACTTTAGCAATCTGGCCAGCTGATCTCATAGGCACTGGAGACATTTCAGATGATTTAGCAGATCTTTTCTCATTTACATTTTTGGGTACTAATAGGAGGGAATAAAAAAAAGGGTAACTGTTTGTTTAGGCAAGGCTACTGTCAATGACAAAAACAACAGCTTGCAGTATGTCAATAATCTTTTGTGAAACAAACTTAACAATTTATTAGCACCACAGCATAATTTTGGAGAAGTTTCCATGCTGCTGTGCACCTTAGTGTCACATAAATGCAAACCTGTACTCACAGGTACCATATGCAGGCTCCCACTGCAAGGACATCATCTGGAACTTCTCCTCATCTGTCTCTACATCCAGACCAGAAAGATACTGCTTTACTTTCCGTGCCATTTGGGCATCCTCGTACAGCTTCTTGGCATTAAGCAGAGAGCTGCGGCGTGCTCGTTTTTTGTGACTACCTCCTTGAATATCCAGCATGTTTGAATTTGTGCTGCCTTGACTCAGTGACCTGCAGGAAGATGGAGATCACAATAAGGGGCTATAAAGATGATATTCAGCAAGGAGATGGAAGAGGAAAAGATTTTGTTCTGTTAATGCTATTGCATGCTGATACAAATGAGTTAAAAGATGAAGAGCATTAATGCAAAGTAATTTGGTACACAAGGCAATGTTCTGGATTAAGAACAGGTTTGACAAAGTGTAGAATTCAAAAGAGTGACATATTTTAGCTAGTCAGTGTTTATGCCTATGCAATTCATGGCACAACTGTGAAAAGAAAAGGCATCCCTCCAGCTCTGGAGGCCACCTATACTCCTGGAGATATGGCAAGGGGCAGTATCAGGACAAGTCTATCCACAGTCAGATCTCTACATCAAGGCTGTTAGGTAAGCTTTTTGAGTGGCTTTGCTTTTCTGTGCTGCTTTGAACACAATATTGTAGTCACCATTCTTGCCTATAGCAGCAGACTCACTCAGAGGATGTGAATCAATTTTACCAGTAACCAGATTTTAGTCAAACTTCAGAGAACAACCAATAAGATATCTTACATTTAATTGCATATAGTCAAGATCAGAAATGCAATAAAAAGCTACTTAGTGCTTCCAATAACATTTGGAATAGTTAGGCAGTATTTGGATTCTACAACTGAGGATCTTAGATTTTACTTTTGCAATGCTTCTGAATATACCGAACTGCAAGCTGGGTGGAAAAAAAATCACAATTCACACAAGTCACTGCTGCACCAAACTCTGTATTTCTTGGCAAATCCCCTTCCACAACAACTACATGCAAAATCAACAGAAAATACCAATCACAATGCTGCTCCTGCTTCTAAAGAAGGCCAGCAAATATAAGCTCTTACATGCTCTTTATTATGAAGGCAGCTGCTGTTCCAAAATGCTAAGGGTACCACCTATGAATTTTCTCAGCTAACCTATTTATATACAAATATTTTAAATGTCAGATCTCCATCATACAATTTGTTCTTCAGTATTCACATACCTAGTTTCAAACAAACACTAGTATCCTAGTTTTCATAATAAAGTAAGTAGAACCTAATTGAAAAGGTATTACAGTTATTTTTTTCTTTCACTTTTTTTTTTTTTTTTTTTTTTTTTTGACAGGCAGAGTTAGAGAGAGAGAGAGAGAGAGAAAGGTCTTCCTATCATTGGTTCACCCCCTAAATGGCTGCTACGGTCAGCGCACTGCGCCGATCTGAAGCCAGGAGCCAGGTGTTTCCTCCTGGTATCCCATGCGGGTGCAGGGCTCAAGCACTTGGGCCATCCTCCACTGCCCTCCTGGGCCACAGCAGAGAGCTGGACTGGAAGAGGAGCAACCAGGACAGAATCCGGCGCCTTGACCAGGACTAGAACCTGGTGTGCCGGTGCTGCAGGCGGAGGATCAGCCTAGTGAGCTGGGGTGCCAGCCTTTTTCTTTCACATTTTAAGATCTTTGAAATAGAGGTGTGTCTTACACTTAACGGCAATCTTCAATCGCTACTTGTCTGGCCAAAACTGTGATAAGATTGTTACTACTTCCACATGCAGAAACCTTAAGACCCGCAGAATGATTTGGAAGAAAATCTGATTAATGAATTACCCTTTTGACTCTCAGGAACCAAATGATTATAAAGGTGTAGTGAATCTGACAAGTTCAACAACATTCTGAAAACTGATATCAAAAATAGATTTGCTCTAAATATTTGCAAAGCCAATCTAAAAGCCCAGTATATCTTTCTTCAGGACATGTTTTAAGAAATGCTGCATTACTAAGAGATTGGGCACTACTATGCAGGAAACAAAAACCAACCAATCAACCAGCCAACCAATCAACCCAAATAATCCCAGGGACTAATGACTCAAAAAGAGATTCATCAGATTCATATTCTGAATATGAAGTTTTAGAAAGACCTAAACCAAATGACTTGGCTTGTATTTTCCTGTTTATGTATGCACAAGAATATTACACAATAAAAAACCCAAAGCTAAGGCTGTAAGAGCACAGACTAAAAATTCTCAGTGGTAACTTGACACCATAGTGATTTTTCTTGGTGCTACAAACAATAACACATTCAACAATACTGATGTCATGCATTCAAAGAAATGCACTAAAGTTTCAATATTATAATACAAAACTTAAAGCTTTTAGTTGATATGTGAGGAAAAAAAAGGGCAGAGTATTGAAAAATCTAGGATAGATATCAAATTTAAAAAACAGAAATATTGCAGTCTCCTAAACTACTTCTAAAACAAAAGGTACTACTATGGGAAACCAAAATACCTAGTGTTTGCAAGCATCAGTCATCACACAAAGCAACTTTAAACCTGAACAGTCAATGTGTTAACATTTCAATCACTCCAAATACCCACTAAAATATACTGTCAAATATTCTTTACAATTACAATTCATTACAATTGTAATGCCAGGTATCAATTTCTATTTTCAGTGAGAAAAATCAGAGAAGACCAAGACACCAATGTATGATACAAAAATAATAATAGTACATGAGAAACACACAGAAAGAGAGAACAAAGAATAAAAGTCAAGTTTCATCAAACTTTAATGAAAAAACAAGACCACAAATAAGACAAGACTCAAGTAAATGAGGTGGCTCAGAAAAAAATTCTTTTAACATGGACTAAAAGCCATCTAATGCCATGACTTACTAGTCTTAACATAATTCCTCCATCAAGAAAAGTCATATTTTTATACCTAAAAACAAAAGGACTAAATATATAATTTTATGAGATTTTTAACCTTTTAGGATTCCAAATAGCTAGGCGATGCATGAGCAGAGACTTCAAACTACTTTAAAAACAAAAGGTGGCAGTTTCTGATTCTGTAACAATTTTAAAGGGAGGTAAGGAGTCTTTCATTAAAGTTTGTAAGAATTTAAATGGAGTTCAGTCAATGTCTAGTGGCATTAGTAGATCTAGTTCAATTTTAAAGTACAGCTTAGATAAAGGTTGGCTTTTTTTGGAAAATCACTGCAAATATGCAACCTTTATGAACAGATCTTTCCTCCATTTCTAGAAACTTACAGGATGTATTCACTTTCGCAAAATATGGCATTTGACTAAAACAAAGTGGTGTAGACCCTGGAATCAGACTACTTGGGTTGGATTCACCATTAATAAGCGGTAAGATTTTGGACAACTTTACCTTCCCCATGTGTCCCATCAGAATAATAGCATCTACTGACAGGGTGGTAGGAGAATTAAGTAAGATAATTCATTTGGAGTGCTTAGAACAGTATGGAACAAAGCAAGCATATAACAAATATCCACTATAGTTACCATCTAACTGGATCCTGTTACATTAAAATTTGAAAAGGACTTCAGTATGTCAATAACAGAAAAGTAAAGGGAAAAATAAAGCTAGTTCTATTACTACTTTCACCTTGTTAGCAAAAGGCACTTGTCAGGAATGTGGGTTGACAGGGTTAATAGAACGCATGCTGTTTTTTGTCGTGCATTAATGAAAAGGATGCAGTATATGTTAAGAGTTGCACAACTCTCATTCCAGTTGCGTTCATCTCTACACTTACCCCAGACTCCGCCACCTCTTCTTCCTGTAAGCAAGAGCCACAAACATTGAAGCATGTGTTTGAATAGGAAAGCACAGAAAAAAGACAACAAGTGAGAGTCAGAGAAACTATGCAGACAGAATAGAACAGACAAATTTTACTAGGATACAAAGTAGCTTAACAGTTCAATGACTTTAAAGATATGCAGGGGGAAAGATGATGAGTTCTGATACATACTGAACATCAAACACTCCACAATGTCTTTTAAGATATGCTTTAGAACACTTTTTTTTTTTAAAAACAACTCACTGAGAACCCTAAATTATTATGACACTTAAGGAAAATCATTTACTTACTACAAATTTGGAATTAAAACTTTAGGTAAAAATAAACTTTAAAAGGAACAGAATTTTTGAACTTCTCTAGAAAGGATTTTTAAGTTATTTATTTAAATGACAGGATGACATTATGAGCAACAGAGACTCAAAATTTCATTTTTAAGTGCTGAAGTTTCTCTAACAGTGTATCTTCAAAGAAATTTTAACCAGTAAATCCAACTTAAAATATCAGTCAAGTGGTGAGCATTTTGGCCCAGTGGTTAAATAGTTAATACACCACTTAAGATGCTAGGTTAAAAACAAACCAAAACCTTTTTAACACTGTTATCTTTATATCCTAACTGATCTAACTGATCAAAGGCTTTCTCTAAAGTCAACTGAATACTGCTAAAATAAAAGGAGTTATTTCTGTCCACAATAAATTATACAGTAACAAAATAGACAATCTGCTCAAGGAAAGATACTACATTTCAGTACTAACAAAACTAATTCACAAAAACTTCAGCTGAAACTAAATATAAATGGTTACTTCTCCCATACATTATCTACTCAACTCTTTCCCAAGAAAAAAAATCAGGCTTATTAATCTTATTAATTTTCTCCCACATGTATTATGGAAGCTCAGCTGGCAATTATGGCATTATCAGCTGTCTGGCAGGGTCACAAATCCACTGTTTCAGGGACAAGGTGATAACATGAGAGTAAAATGGAGGTTCATGTAAGACAACAAGGATTGGGAGGGCCACAAGACAAGGACATACAACAAAAACAAAAAACAATCAAGCCCTCCTCAAGGTCTGCTTTAGTCCCTGGCTCTTACTGTTTTCTGATTCCACACTGTTAACAGTGCCATCTCTCATGCAATGATTCTCAAGGGGCAGAAGTGGGCTAGGGAGGGAATAAGAGATTTAGCACATTGCTGTCTCCATATCTGGAGGATCTCAACTACAGCAACCACCAGATTAACTGTTTACAAAACAATAGCACTGAACACCAATATTAAACAAAACAAATAAAACCAAAAAACAATCCTGACACACCCTGGTTCTGTTTGGTTACAAAAATTCTCTGGTTGCTAAACTACAAAGTATTCTTATATCCTTAATACAGTATATGCTTTGAAGACACAGGTTTTGTGTCTGCCTCTTTAAGTCCTTGCAGCTTTAATCCCTTATATATTAGAAGGCATACACATAGACTCCAAAGAAAATCAGACCAGAAGTTAAAAACCACAATGTCTATTTACACCTCAAAACTCAGAGTTCAATAACATACTTTTTATAAACTTTACACATACATATGAAGAAGTCTTTTTAACTACATTAAAAATGAATTTTAAAATAATTCCTAATAGACCAGGTTAATATAGAATTACAAGTATTTTCCATTTTTAAAGAAGACAGAACATGATTAAATTTGTACTTCCTAAATGCCTAATGCACTTATATACAAATAAACAGCAGGATTATAAACTGCAAGGAATATGTTTTAGAAGACTGTAAATATGAATTACATGTAGAACCTTAAAAATATTCAGCAAAAAGACACATGCAGATTAATATCTTATAAATTAAGTTAAAAACAAGATGAAAACATTTGTTGTAATAATTTGTCTAAAGATCATCTTGTTTTTAGTATCTGCTTCTATTTTGAATAATGAACTATAATGCATTCAAAAAAGTAATATAAATACACAGCAAGTTTTAGCAAATCATGTAAAAATTGCTCTGAGCTTCAGCTCTTATATAAAAGGCAAGCTATAACCTGTTAGGGTTATTCTGATGGAAAAAAAAAACCCAGACTGTGTAAGGCACTTAAGTATAAAGCACAACAAATGGCAGATGATGAATAAATGGTAAAAATAACGGAGAGTATGTACCACTCCGTAACACTGTACACACGTGAATGCCATACCTCTGTCTGAACATCATAGCTGGGTCCATGTTGGCAGAAGTCATTCGAATAACTTGACGGATTTCCTTGGCGATCATTCTTAATTTTTCAAAGTTTACTAAACCATCTACTTTGGAGTCATTTCCTATAGAATAAAACCAATTTCATTTTTATATGAATATCTATACAACATGCACACCCTAAAACCTAACTCTCCAGATGCTCAGCCCACTCTCAGGCAGGTACCCCCGTGAGCTCTTGGGGACAATTTGAAAACTTGAAAACGTAGGTTTTACCAATAGGTCACAAGGTCATCTTTGGGCTTACTTAACTCAAGCGCACCAAGTATTCTTTGATTTATAATACTACAAAAATTGTTAAATGAATTGTAATTATAAGATATTCCGTAAATACAAGAATTTGACTTTTCTTGGAGTGGGGAAGAAAAAAACGTATAGGATGAAAGATTAAATAATATCAGGTGTGTTTTTCCCAAAGGCAGTAATTAAAACTAAGCAATGGCTGCCTCTTCGGTGAGCCATCTACCTTTCTTCTCCCAGAATTTGACTTTACAGTCCTAACTTCATTCACTAACACAAGTCTGTTCATAAGTTCCATTATTTTTGTTTCTGATGTTAAGTAGTTCTCTTAAAAAAAAAAAAATTCATGCAACTTTCAAAATGTTCTACTTTCTGTTGAAGAAATCCAGCACAAAGACCAGATGCAGCCCGTTTGCTAGCTTACTCAGTCCAAAGCAGAAGAAAAAGACCACTATGTTTAAAGGGTCATGTGTTTTTCCCATCTTTTCTTTTTAAAAAAATATAAAAAGAACAGATCTTTATGCATTCCACAGTTACAGTTCCAAGAAGACAATCACACTTTCCTCACTTCCCTACTCTTCCCTGAACTCCACCTCTTTCCTCTCTTCACGAGTTTTTGCAAAGACATAATTTTAATCTATTATTCATAGGCTTAATTAATCACTAGTCATATTCAACAAGTAAAAAGTAGGAAGACCAGATATCTGCAGGAGTACAGCCAAGGGCTTAAAATGACAATCATATCCCAGAATCACCACTTGATTCTTATACATTTTTTTGTATTCTGCATTAACTGCTACGTATCAGAGAAAACAACATCTTTGTCTTTTTGAGACTGACTTATTTCACTAAGCATAATGATTTCCAGTGCCATCCATTTTGTTGTAAAAGACAGGGTTTCATTCTTTTTAATGGCTAAGCAGTATTCCGTGGTGTTTATATACCATATTTTCTTTACAGTCATCAACTGATGAACATCTGGATTAACTCCATATTTTAGCTATTGTGAAACCAGGTGCAAAAAACATGGGGGTACAAATAATCTTTCATTTGCTGATTTCATTTCCTTTGGGTGAAGTCCCAGAAGTGGCATGGCTGGGTCATAGGGTCACATGGTCTATTTTCAGATATCTGAAAACTATCCACACTGTCTTCTACAGTGATTGTACTAATTTACATTCACACCAACTGTACATTAGGGTACCTTTCCCCTCACATCCTCACCAGCATTTACTGTTTTTTGATTTTTCAATGACAGCCATTCTACCTAGGGTGAAGTGATACCTCACTGTGGTTTTTATTTGCATTTTTTGGAAAGCTAGTGATCCTGAGCATTTTTTTATATGCCTTTTAGACATTTTTATTTCATCCTTTGAAAACTGTCTGTTAATGTACTTTGTTCATTTTTTTAACTGGACTGTTTTCTAATTGCTGTGTTTCTTGAGCTCTTTATAGGTCCTGGATACTAATCCTTTACCAATTACAGAGTTTGCAAGTATCTTCTTTTCTGTCGGTCGACTCTTCATTTTGCTGAGTGTTTCCCTTGCAGTGCAGGAACTTCTTAGCTTAATCCAATCCAATTTGCCTATTTTTGTCTTTATTTTATTGCCTGTGCTTCTGCAGTCTTTTCAAGGAAATCTTTGCCTACACCAGTGTCTTTAGCTGTACTCCGGAAGTTTTGATACGTTGTGTTGTCATCTTCATTTGTTTCCAGTAATTTTTTAAATTTATTCTGCCACCCACTATTCAACCAGGAGTGTGGTTCAGTCTCCATGTGTTTGCGTATTTTCTTGAATTTCTAGAGTTGTTCATTTCCAGCTTCATTCTCTTGTGGTTAGGAAAGATATATAGTATGACTTAAATTTTTTTGAGTTTGCTTAGACTTCCTTTATGACCTACTAATGAAAATAATGTATATTCTGTACTACAGGATGAAAGGTTCTGTATATATGAACTGGATTCATTTGGGCCATAGTGTAGGTTAACTCTGTTGTTTCTTTGTTGATTTTCTGTCTACCTGGATCCATCCATTTATGAAAGTGTGATGCTCAAATGCCTTGTTATTATTGAATTGGTGTCTATGTCTCCCTATAGGTCCATGCAAATTTGTTTTTTTTTTTTTAAAGATTTATTTTATTTCAAAGAGTTACAGAGAGAGGTAGAGACAGAGAGAGAGAGAGAGAGGTCTTCCATCCGCTGGTTCCCTCCCCAGATGGCCGCCAATGCCTGGAGCTGCACTGATCCGAAGCCAGGAGCCAGGAGCTTCTTCCAGGTCTCCCATGTGGGTGCACGGGGCCAAGGACTTGGGCCATCTTCTACTGCTTTCCCAGGCCATAGCAAACAGCTGGATTGGAAGAGGAGCAGCTGGGACTAGAACTGGCGCCTATATGGGATGTGGGTGCTTCTAGGCCAGAGCTTAAACCCACTGCGCCACAGCGCTAGCCCTGCAAATTTGTTTTAAATAGCCAGGCACCCTGGCATTGGGTACATAAACATTTACGACAGTGACACCTTTCTGTTGAACTGATCCCTTTAAACATTAAATAATGCCCTTTTTGGTCTCAATAGTTTTTGTGTTTAAGTTCATTTCATTTGCTTTTAGGATGGTTCCATCTGCTCTTTTTTGCTCTCCATTAACACAGAAAATATTTTTCTATTCTTTCATTTTCAGTCTGTATAATTTTGAGGAGGTATATTTCTTGTAGGTAGGCAGCAAATAGATGGGTCTTGTTTTTTAATCCATTCAGCCACTCAGTGTCATTTAATTGGAGAATTTACATATAACGTCATTACTAATAGGTAACAACTTCTTCCTATCATTTTTCCTGAAATATTCCTATTGTTTCTTTGTATTTCCTTTCTACTTTTACTAGAAGATTTTTCATCTTCACATTCTTTCATAATGATGGCTATTATTCTCCGTTTAGTGTGTAGCACATCTTTAAGACTCAACTGAAGGCCGGCGCCGTGGCTTACTAGGCTAATCCTCTGCCTTGTGGCGCCGGCACACCAGGTTCTAGTCCCGGTCGGGGCGCCGGATTCTGTCCCGGTTGCCCCTCTTCCAGGCCAGCTCTCTGCTATGGCCAGCGAGTGCAGTGGAGGATGGCCCAAGTGCTTGGGTCCTGCACCCCATGGGAGACCAGGAGAAGTACCTGGCTCCTGCCATCGGATCAGCGCGGTGCGCCGGCCGCAGCACATGGGCCGCAGCGGCCATTGGAGGGTGAACCAACGGCAAAGGAAGACCTTTTTCTCTCTCTCTCATTGTCCACTCTGCCTGTCAAAAAAAAAAAAAAAAAAAGGACTCATTGTAAGGGTGGACAAACAGTCACATCTATCTTAAACAGTTAGTGTAACCAATTTATCTATCACAGTAGGCCCTGAGGTGCCTCAGTGGAACTCCAAAGTCCTGAAGCCAAGTAGGAAGAACCACATGAGTCTGAAACACATAGCAGTCTCTTTTTCATAGTAAACACCAACTATACACTGGGGACAAGAACTGTCCAGTTTTCAACAAGAGCTGGAAAAAAAGATAATTACCATAGTCTCAACTCATATAATTATGTTTTGAGGCAGCATGTCATAAAAATGTATTAGAATCCTATAACAACATTTCCTTGGGGCCGACACTGTGGTGCAGCAGTCACCACCTGCAGTGCTGGCATCCCATACGGGCACCGGTTTCAATCCAGCTCTCTGCAATGGTCTGGGAAAGCAGTAGAAGATGGCCCAAGTCTTTGGGCCCCTGAACCCACATGGAAGAAGCTCCTGGTTCCTGGTTTTGGATAGGCCCAGCTCCAGCCATTGCAGCCACTTGGGAAATGAACCAATAGATGGTCCCTGCACCCCGGGTTCTAGTCCCGGTCGGGGCGCCAGATTCTGTCCCGGTTGCTCCTCTTCCAGTCCAGCTCTCTGCTGTGGCCTGGGAAGGCAGTGGAGGATGGCCCAAGTCCTTGGGCCCTGCACCCGCATGAGAGACCAGGAGAAGCATCTGGCTCCTGGCTTTGGATCAGCACGGTATATTGGCCGCAGAGCACTGCCGGAGTGGCCATTGCGGGGTGAACCAAAGGAAAAGGAAGACCTTTCTCTCTGTCTCTCTCTTTCACTGCCCACTCTGCCTGTCAAAAAAAAAAAAAAAAAATCCTTATGATAAAAGAGTGGAACTGAATTAACACCAGCTACAGCTACCACATTATCGCTAGGTAATCGGAATCTTTCTGCTGAGAAAAATTAGAAAAGACGGATAAAAACAGAAAACGTAAAATGTTAGAAAGTATCAAAAAAGCTAACAAGACAGTGAAACTTTGTAAGAATAATGCACAGGAGCCCGCTAGCATCTCAAGCGCTGCCCCAGGAATATCTCACGACTTCCGAAGCGGGGTAGATGGGGTGAAAAAACAGTATAGCCAGTCTGTCTTTTCAGGTAAAAGAAAAAGTAACTTAAGTCCAACTAGATAACCAATGCTTTAAGTTTTGGAATCTGAAGGACTATATTCTGGGACTAAGGATGAACTGTATGAGTGCAAGAATAAAATTGAACTGATAAAGCATCTTCATCCATTTGAAAATGCATTACAGTGATTTTGGATGCTGGCACTTCTAGCAGCCAGGTGCAAGCTTTATTTTTCCCTGGAACAGATCATCGTTTGAAACCTCTTATTATTTCTGCAATTTTTTATACAAAACATTCATTACCTTACCAAAAATAACCAGGCACGAGGAGGAAAGCTAACATAATTAAATACAAAAACAACAACAACAAAAAAACAGACCTAAAGAGGATACAGGTTATAAAATTGTCAGAGACTAACTTTAAAAATAACTAATGCGATACTGAGAACTTTGGCAAACAATACAAAACTTAAAATGTTAAATAAACTGTAAAACTGGCCGGTGCTGTGGCTCACTAGGCTAATCCTCTGCCTGCGGCGCTGGCACCCGGGGTTCTAGTCCCAGTCGGGGCACCGGATTCTGTCCTGGTTGCTCTTCTTCCAGTCCAGCTCTCTGCTGTGGCCAGGGAGGGTAGTGGAGGATGGCCCAAGTACTTGGGCCCTGCACCCACATGGGAGACCAGGAGGAAGCACCTGGCTCCTGGCTTTGGATCAGCATAGTGCGCAGGCCGTAGCGGCCATTTTGGGGGTGAACCAACAGAAGGAAGACCTTTCTCTGTCTCTCTCAATAACTCTGCCTGTCAAAAACAACAACAACAACAACAACAACAACTATAAAACTGAAAAAAACATAATAACTTGAATCAGGAACTGAGTTACGTATTTAACAAGACATTACAAGCAGCTGAATAGAGAATTAATAAACTAGACTACAGGGTAGAATAAAGTATCAGAATGAAGTATGGCAAAACAAAAAAATGGAGGGCCGATGCTGTGGTATAGTGGGCTAACTCTCTGCCTTTGGCACCGGCTCACTAGCATCCTGGTTGCCCCTCTTCCAATCCAGCTCTGCTAATGTCCTGGGAAAGCAGTGGAGGATGGTCCAAGTATGTGGGCTCCTGCACCCATGAGGGAGACCTGGAAGAGGCTCCTGGATCCTGCCTTCAAACTGGCCCAGCTCCAGACATTGGAGTCATTTGGAGAGTGAACCAGCAGATGGAAGATCTTTCTCTTTTTCTCTTCCTCTGTAACTCTACATCTCAAATTTAAGTAAAATCTCAAAGACAAAAAGATGAGAATTACAGAGAAGAATATATGAGGTAAGAGAGGCACAGGTAACAGAGGTAAAACCACAGTCCTTATAGGAGAGGCCAGAAAAGGGTCCACATTGTGGTGCAGCTGGTTAAGTCACCACTTGTAACATGCACATCCCCTATCAGTATGCAAGTTCAAGTTCTAGCTGCTCCACTTCCAATCAAACTCCCTAATAATCTGTCTGGGTAAACAGGAGAAGATGGCCCAACTACTTGGGCCTCTGCCACCCACTGTGAAAGACTCAGATGCAGTTCCAGATTCGTGGCACTCTCCTGCCTCAGCAATGGCCACTGTGACCATCTGGGAAGTGAACCAGATGGAAATTGTTTCTGTGTCTCTCCCGCTCTCTCTGTAACTCCGTCTTTCAAATAAATAAATATGAAAAAAGGCGAGGGGGGAGCAGATAAAATATCTGAAGACATAATTACTGAAAATCTTCCAAAACCAATGAAGCATAACATACCATTGGTTCAAGACGATCAAAAAGCTATTTATTCAAACTTCCACTTTTTACTTTTAAGATTTTATATACTCACAGATGGGTATCTAAAGTAATAAGCTACTGAGAAGAACCCAGTAAGAATTAAAACAGAAAAAATAAAACTTCACACCAGCTCTCACATCATAGCAAAATTAGAAACAAAAAAGATGAAAGGCAAAATAATAACAAGCACTATTAACAAAGCAATACTATAATCAAGGGAACAGCAAGTAAGACTAACAGCTAATTTCTGAACCTTAACAATGGGAGCCAGAAGACACTGCAACATTATCTTAAATTATTGAAAAAAGATAGCGGTCAACCAAATATACATCTCTGATTATTAAGTAAAGGCATTTTCAGATAAACAAAATCAAGGTATTTCCAATGAAGAAGACTTGCACATTAGGGAATACTAAGCAGTGTTCTATAGACAAAAACTTCACCCTGACCCCAAATCTACCCAATCATGAGAAATCCGTGAAATGCAAGAAGGAATGAACAACAAAGTACTAATGAATATTAAGTTAACTAATCCTAACAAATATACATGAAATAAAATCTAGTGTACTTTAAAAAAATAAAATATTGTACAATTATCAACTTAATAAAGCAGGAAAAATACTATATACAAAAACCATATCAGGTAGATTATAAGCAAACTCTATAGTAAAGGATTAATAAATCAGGCTTTTAAAATTAATAACTTCTATTCATCAAAAGTTAGAGAGGCAAAAAAAAAAATCACATCATACCCAAAGGTATAAAAAATTCTTTCAAATACATAAAACACGAAGATAATCTAAAAATAAAATATGGGCAAAAAAATCCAAAGTAATAATTAACAAAAGAATACTCAAGGGGCTGGCACTTGGCCTGGCATTTAGACGTGGATTAGAATGCCCTTATCCCACACTGGAGTGCCTGGGTTCAAGTCTCAGCTGCACTCCTGATGCCAGTTCCCTGCAAAGGCACAACATGAGAGGCAGCATGTGATCCATCAAGAACTTGGAATTCAGTCACCCAAGCAGGAGACCAGGACTGAGTTCCAAGAGTCAACTTTAGCAGATAATACCAAACTGTTCTCTAAAGTTGATTATGGGAGTATCAGGATCTACACCATGCTTTTCACCATGCATATAACATATAGCTAACAAAAACACATGTGCACTAAGAAATATGAACAAGAACATTCACAGCAGCACTATTCACAATAGGTCAAACGCGGAAACCACCAAATACCAGTCAATAGAACAGATGGATCCACTGTACTGCATTGTAACTAAATGCTGAGTAATGTTGAAAATCAAATATTGCTACACTCAAAAACACGAAAAATTTTCACAAATCTAATGTTGATTGATCAAAGTAAGCTAAAAATAAAAGACATAAGAAAACAAACATAACCTATCATTCTACTTACAGGAGACTTCCAAAAGTACACAGAAGATGGATAAGATGCCACTTGGGACACCTGCATCCCATACTGGAGAGCTTGTGTTTGGATCCTAGGCCTACTACTGATTCCATGTTCCTGCACTGAGCTCCCTGGGAGATAAATGGTGATGGCTCAAGGAGTTGGGTCCTTACCACCTACATGGAGACCTGGATTAAGTTCCAAACTCCTGGTTTCTGCCTGACCCAGTACTGGCTAGTGTGGGCATCTGGAAGTGAACCAGGTAGATGGAAGCTCTTTTTCTGTCTCTATGCCTTTCAAAGAAAAACAAAGTAATAGATTTTGAAATTTTATGGAAAAATGGAGTTAAAAATACTTTTCTGTTATGGCACAGTGGGTTAAGTTGCAGCTTGGGACACCTGAATCCCATTTCAGAGTGCCTGAAATTGAGTCCTGGCTACTCTGCTTTCAATCCAGCTTCCAACTAATGCATACTGGGAGGCAACAGATGATGGCTCAACTGCTTGGGCCTCTGACTCTCACAAGGGAGATCCAGAGGGAATTCCAGGCTCCTATTTTGGCCTGGCCCAGCCCGGGTAGTTGGAGGTATTTGAGGACTGAATCAACTAATGGAATACGGTTCTCTCTGTCACTCTTTGAAATAGATGAAAATAAGCATAAACAAGAGAAGTTAAGGCAGTAAACTTTATGGTGAAACACAAAAGCAGTAATTGGGAAGGAACATAAACAGTTTCCAGAATGCAGGCAATGTTTTATTTTGGTAAAGTTGCTTTGTCAAAATTCAGTAGTTGCTTATCTGTTTGAGTTGGAAGAAAAATACTACTGGGGCTGTTGCTGTGGCACAGCAGGTTAAGTCGTCACCTGTGAAGCTGGCATCCCATATGGGTGCCAGATCAAGTCCCAGCAGCTCCACTTATGAACCAGTTCACTGCTAATGCACTTGGAAAAACAGCAGCAGACAGCCCAAGTGCTTGGACCCAAGCACCCAGTAGGGAGACCTGGAGGAAGCATCTGGCTCCTGATTTCAGTCCTGCCCAGCCCTAGCCGTTGTGGCCATTTAGGGAGTGAACCAATGGAAGGAAGTTATCTCTCTCTCTGTCTCTCCTTCTCTAACTCTGCCTTTCAAATAAATAAATAAAAATTTTTCAAAAATTACTAAACAATCAATGTGATCAGTCTAACCTTGATGAGTTAAGTTTGCATTTGGATACATAAAATGAACACTCCAGTGAGTTTTTGTTAACAGTATGGGTTTTGGATTCCTAAAATTTGCTGCATTTAGTTGGATAGAGCTCTAGTGACATTAATCATTTAGATGGAATATATATTAAATATAACAAATACAATTCTACAGAATTAGGTGAAACTGAACATGCTAATTTTCAAATACCTTCATGTAGAAATGTCATATCTTTCTTGACAACAGGGAAGAGTGGAATTATTGGAGGTTGCATGCTTTGACTACTAAGGATATTTCTATACTTTGCCATGTTTCTAGATGGATCAAAAAGGTCTTGTAGATCTTGGAGATGTTTCTCATATTTGCTTGGTAACTTTTCCCAAGTACCTCTGAGTCGTGCTACAGGTGCCAAGTTCAAGCCACTGCCAAAGACGAGAATAAAGATGTTAAAACTGGACTTGGGGGAGCAGCTGGGGGTGGGGAGGGTCTCAGGTTAGTAAAGTATATACACCAAGTTCTCTAATAAAGCAAAAAATAATACAAAGGACTCTTTACTCTTAAAACAGTAAGAATTTCTTTGAGGAACTATACTACTTGTGTTTACTTGTATATCTACACAGCCTTTATTTTATAGGTTACATGTAAACAGTAAATGCACTAATTTTCTGAAATAGACAGCGACCTTAAAAATTTCAGACATCAGATTGCTGCTTGTTTCACCTATAAATAACTTCATGTACATGATACTTATTTGAAAGTTCTTTAAGAAATATTGAGAACAACTGTTAAATAACAACTGACAGAAGTTATAGGGCTGAGGCAGTCTTCCTTCTTTGAGATCCTGTCTGATTCTAACAATTTTATATTCCTAAATTCTAATTGCATCCTCCAAGCTTCCAGATATTCAGTATATCCTTTCCCCAAGATATGAAAAAAGCTCAGATAGTCCTTAACTTAAAAGAATAACTCATACCTCTATATATAATATCATCCTAGGAGTAGATTGTCAAATGAAGGAAAAAATTATATCTATATATATATGCACAGCGCCTCAATTTTCTAAGCAGTTAGTCCCTCTAAGACATCTGTCTTTAATCCACACCACAAATGTTCTCTTGACCTTTGATTTTAAGGTGTTTAAAAAATCTCAGGCTGGCCAGAGTTGTGGTGAAGCAGGTTAAGCTGCCACCAGAGACTCCAGCATCCCATATGGGTGAAGATTTAAGTCCTGCCCCAGTTTCACTCCTTCTGATGCAGTTCCCTGATAATATGCCTGGGAAAGCAGCAAAAGATGAACCAAGTGCCTGGGTCCCTGGGCCCCTGCTATCCACATGGGAAACCTGTGGCTCTTGGCTTTGTACTGGTACAGCCCCAGCTGCTGCAGCCATTTGGGAAGTGAACCAGTAGACACAACATCTCTTTCTCTGTCTCTCCTCCCTTCTCTCTGTCACTGTGCCTTTCAAGTAAATAAATACTTTTTTTTAAAAAAGACAACTTTAAAAAGAAATCTGGGGGCCGGCACTGTGGTATAGTAGGTTAATCTTCTGCCTGTAGCACCGGCATCCCATATGGGCACTGGTTCTGGTCCCGGCTGCTACTCTTCCTATCCAGCTCTCTGCTGTGGCCTGGGAAAAGCAGAAGAAGGTGGCCCAAGTGCTTGAGCCCCGGTACCCACATGGGAGACCCAGAAGAAGCTCCTGGCTCTGGATCAGCCCAGCTCTGGCTGTTGCGGTCATTTGGAGAGGGAACCAGTACTTGGAAGACTTCTCTGTCTCTCCCTGTCTGTAACTCTACCTCTCAAATAAATAATAAAATCTTAAAAAAAAAAAAAGGAATATTTTTCCAAAAAAATGTTTCCTTTGTATCTCAGAAACTGTTCCAAACTACAAAGACAAATAACATAAATACAAATTTCATCTCCACTGAAATAAAGGGATATCTAACTCCTAAACACATTACAAAGGTTGCAAAAAAATAGTCAAGATCAAACAACATGCAAATATATTGAAAATGACATCTATAGTTGATGGTGGCAGGGTAAGCTGGCACGGCAGGTAACTAACTCATCCTGAGGGCACAATAATTCCTTATTTTGAACGTAACAGAGTTCACAGGCTGTTGTGGTGAAATGCGGCAGGACCCTCTTCTTTACTATGAGATGTCAGGAAAAGTATGACCAGACTGGTACACACAGAAACATATTCTGGTAGCAAGCTGTATAACAGTGAAGACAGGATCCAAGGAGGAAACTTAAGTTTTAAGTAACCTTAAAGCTGTGAATCTCCATTTGCTGAGAAACAGATAAGGGTTCAATAATTCACATAAAAACCCAACCAACTCCCACTAGTTTGGAATACTGCCCAGCTGCTCTTGACAGAGTACAGAAAACTGACGTCATTTAAAATGAAGGAATGAACACAGGATCGACAATAAGCAACCACAAAGAAAAACAAATAAAAATATGAAGCAGACAAGTGCTGCCAACAATTGGATAGCGGGACAAATCAATGACTGAGAAATGATTTCAAGGGCCAGTATTATGGTACAGCAGGTGAAGCTGCTGCATACAAAGCCAGAATCCCACACTGGAGCAGCAGCTTGAGGCCTATCTGCTAGGCTTCCAATCCAACTCTCCACTAATATATCTGGGAAAACAGCAAAAGATGGTACAAGTGCTTGGGCTGCTACCATCCACGTGGGAGACAAAGAAGACTAGGCTCCTGCTTTGGCCTGACCTAGCTATAGCTAATGCAGACATTTGAGGAGTGAACCAGTGGATCCTTTTCTCTTGTGTGTTTGTGTGTCACTCTGCCTTTTAAATAAACAAAATAAGTCTTAAAAATGCATTAATAAACAGTTTAATGTGATTCAAGAACTTACAAAAAATATGTTAAGAAAAGTTCATAGAAAGTGAACTAGTGAAGTCCAAGAAATAAATGAAAGAAAAATAAAATAAACTCAGAAACGAAGGTTACAGGGGCTGGTGTTGTGATATAGTGGGTGAAGCGGCTGCCTGCAACACCCCAATCCCATGTGGGCACCAGTCTGTGTCCCCGATACTCCACTTCTGATCCAGCTCCGTGCTAATGGCCTGGGAGAGGCAGCAGAGAATGGTCCAGGAGTTTGTGTCCCTGCTACCCACTGTTACCCACATGGGAGACCTTGGTCCCCTGCTACCCATATGGGAGACATGGATGGGGCTCCTGGCTCTGGCCTGGCACAGGCTCCAGCATTACGACCTTCTTGGGGGTGGGCCATAGGACAGAAAGTCTCTCTCTCTCTCTCTCTCTGTGGCTTTTTCAAATAAATAAATAAATACCTCTTTTAAAAAAAGAAATGAATGTCATATTGGAAGCTATACAGATGTCATTTAAACACTGTGCTGGTGACATGGAGGAAAGGATTAACAAAAGCAATAAATGGAAACAGAGTGGAAAGAGACTTGAAAGCAAACAATGGTTACAGAACCCAGGAGATCCCTGAACAGGAAAAATAACTTTACGAGGAAAAAAAAATCAAAGATTCAATCTGAGAACATTTCCCAAAACAGATTTCAATCACAAGATTGAAAAGGCACCACATTCCTTTACAATCTGATGCACACTTAAGAGAGATGCAGAAACATCCACATTAAGGGTAAATGACCACAGAAATTAGAAACCTGGGAATGTAGCAGGGAATAGAAATTCATGCTACTCTCAGAAATTAAACAACAACAAAAAGGTTTATTTATCTGAAAGGCAGAGTATGCAAGAAAGACAAAGAGAAGGAGGGAGGGTGGGAGAAAGGGAGGGAGAGAGAGGTAGGCACAGAAAGAGAAAAGATTGACTGATGTTCCATCTGCAGGTTCACCCCCCAAATTGCCTCCAACAATCAGGGCTGGGCCAGGACAAAGCCAGGAAATCAGAACTCCATGCAGGGTCTTCCAAGTAGGTGGCAGTGATCCAGGTCCTCGGCCTTAATACGCTGCCTCCCAGGGTGTACATTAGCAGGAAGATGGATTGGAAGCAGAGTAGGTGGAACTGGAACCACCAGCACTCTGGTATGTTGGCATCCCTAACCACTGCTTAGCCTGTTGTCCTGCAATGCCTGATCCTACTCTCAGGAATTTAAAACATTCACATAAAATGCTAAGAAATAATTTGTGAAACAGAAGTTTTATGGCCAAACTAACATTAAAGTTCAAAAGCAACAAAAACTGAATGGGGCCTCCATCCCCAAGGCCTGTGATGTAGACTTATCAAGCTCCAGGATCTTTCCCTCAGTTTGCATTCCTTCTGTCTTCTTTAGGATGATTACAAGTCAACTGCTTGCTAACAATTAATTCAATAAATTAAAGGAGTGATACAAGGGTAAGGTCCTTCTAAAATACTTCAATTACCATCATCTCAATGGTAGCCAGTTCTCCAAGAGTTTCACAGGAACTGGAAGGCTCTCCTCAAACACTGCAGCACCTAACCTATCAGCAGACCCCAGACTGGAGAACCCTTTGCCATTACACTGCCCAATCAGAAGGCAAAGAACAACCAAAGATCCACACACAAGCTGACCACACACTGCTGGACTCCCACTTTAATCCCTAAGATTCACTGTACTGACTCCCTGTTTGAGTTTTGAAACTGAGCAATAGGTGCCCATCTCCTTGCTCTGCACATTGCAAATTAAACTATTAACATTCTTCTACCACATCATTGTCAGTGATTGGCTTACCACAGGTTAGGGGAAGGGGCCACGGTTTTGGAGGTTCTGTACAATTCCTCCAACCAGGTTTTCAGATGTTCTATAATGGAAAGATACTTTGAATATGCTCAGGAAATAGAATTCCAATAAGCCTTTCTTTAAAAAGTGACTAGAAAATAAACTTCAACCAAAGGATGATTAGAGAAATTACAAGAAAAACACTGTGATGAGTAGCCTAAGATGAATGAAACAAGGCTTGGTAAACCACAGTTCATGGGAAACAAAAACACACAACAAACAAAAACTAGAAAGATAATTGATTTAAAATCTGGATTAAAAAGATCGCATTTCAAGGGTCACCACACAATAGCTAGTGAGACAAATTACCTCCCTTACCTGTCTTTTAACCCCATTAAATCTTCACCTAATGCTTAAACAAGGAATGAAACTTTCCAAATTTTACGATGTCAGCTTAGTATTGACATTAAAATCCACAAATCAACAAATTACACTATAAACCAATTCACTTATGCAAAATGGTGCAATAATTATATATAACACATAATTTTTGTAATACATCTGAAGAAAAACTGACCACAATTACATAGAGCTCATGACAGATTAGAAGAGTAAGTCATTCTTAGGAAACTACTGAAACAATCTACCATACTAATAAAAACTTTCATGCTTTAGATACTAAAATACTCATTCTTCTTAAAACAACATCAAAACAGAACTGGAGGCATAACATATTTCACCTGAGACATTATTATGTTTAATGGAGAAATACTGGGACCCCCAAAATCATACATAAAAGTCTATAATTACAATTATTATTTAACACAGAAGCATCAACAAATAGACAAAAAAAGATAAGTGAAATGAAACAAGTTATCATTATTTGATGAAAATTATACTGTATAACTCAAAACCCCCAGATATAACTTATTAGAAAAAAATAATACAGCACAGAGCTTATATATAAAGCTCATACAAAATTGACAAATAGTCTGAAAATGTAAGAATTCCATTCACAGCAGCCATAAGACATTAAACATTCAAAGAAATGATCAAGCTTTGATATGAACAAAGCTATAAAACTCCACAGGGTAAACAAAAGAAAACTTGAACAGTGTGTGTGTAATGGTATCATGTGTCTGCTAAATTATCCTATATGTTGAATATAATCTCAATGAAAACACTAAGACTTTTTAAAAGACCTTTAAAGTTCATGTGAAATGAATATGCCAGAAACAACCAGATAAAAAGAATGAAAATAGTAGTGAGTAATCTGATTAACCCTCAACCTCTTTTTTTTTTTTTTTTCCATTTTAAAGTTGGGGTTACACAGAAAGGGAGAGACAGATAAAGAAGAACTTCCACCTACTGATTCACTCCCAGACAGCCGCAAATAGCCAGGAGCTTCAAGCAGGTCTCCCACACAAATGTCAGAGGCTCAAACAATTGTGCCATCCTGTACTACTTTTCTCAGGCCAACGCAGGCAGCTGGATTAGAAGCAGACCAGCCAGGACTTGAACCAGTGCCCATATGGTGTACCAGCTTTACCCACTATGCTACAATGGTTGGCCCCCTAACAGATCTTAAAATCTGAAGTTTTAGAAATTAAAACAGCAAAGTACAGAAACAAAAACAAATATCTACAGAACTGTAGTATATAAGTAGACAGTACCACATACTTTAGGAAAATGGATTAAGGATGCTGGATGACTAAGAAACCATTCGGAACACAGATATATTTCCATTTCTCATTGTTTACATGAAAATGAAATCAAGACTAATAAAGTAACATAAATCAAACTCTAATACAATAAAGGCTCTGAGCACTTTCAATGTATTAACTCACTGAATGCTCTTCAAAATCCTTTGACATTTAAGCTACCATGATTTCTTGTACCATTCAGCTTCCAACTTATGTGCCTTGAAAGGCAGTGAAAGATGGCCCTAGTACCTAGGCTCCCAACAATACCCCTGTGGGGAACCCACATGGAGTTCCAGTCTAACCACGGCTGTTTGGGGGAGTCAACCAGGGACGGATGATCAGTCACTGTGCCTTTCAAATAAATCTTTTCCAAGATGAGGAAGATTTCTAAGTTCCAATCTGGAATACTCCCCCAGATAAATCATAGGTGTGAGAGAGATGTGATGGCCAGGAACTGAGTGGGAGGGACAGCTACTCTACATAATGTATTCTTTCAGTATCTTCTGCATTTTTCCATGCACATACAATTTATATTCAGAGAATTAAATTCTTTTAAACTACAAAAAATATGCTATTTAACTGCAGACAAAACTGAATGACTCACCTACGCCATCTCTGAAAACAGCTGAGATATTGTTTATGATCTTTGATGTATTTGAATATAAAATGTAAGAATATAAAGCAATTATCTTTATATTAACTACAGAAAATATGTCTTTTGGAACAAAAACAGACTTGTTAACCAACGCCTCTGAACTAAATTTCAGGGCTTTCTCATACCCTTCTTGATGACTATTTTCTACCAGATTCTATCAAATTATTACCTTCACTTGGTTGTAGTGACACTATTAAAACTGTGCTGTTGTACTTCTTGAGCTGATACCCCATCTCTTAGGCAGGAATCTTTCTTTTTACCTCTACATTGAGGAAAGCTACTTACGTACTGTTTTTATGTTTGTACCAATTTCTGTCTATATCCTGTTGTACAAAGATTTCATCCACTCTTCATGGAGTACTCTAAAACGGAGCCTGTACAATTCAATTTCGTAACAGATGCTTCCTATGCAAACAGGTTCATTTTCCAGGTTTCGAAATGCTTATTGATGGCACCTCAGTTCCTGTTTTAAAGTCAGATGCTAAGAACTGTGAGATACAGGGCTGCCACCTGCAATGCCGGCATCCCATATGCTTGCTGGTTCAAATCCCAGCTGTTCCACTTCTGACCCAGCTATCTGCTCATGTGCTTGGGAAAGCAATGGAAGATGGCTCAAGTTGTTAGGCCCCTGCACCCACATGGAGACCCCACAAAAGCTTCTGGCTTCAGATCTGCCTAGCTCTGGCTATCGTGGTCATTTGGGGAGTGAACCAGCAGACAGAAGATCTCTCTCTGTAACTCTTTCATATAAATAAAGAAATCTTAAACTATAACATCTAGTTCAACTGCAGCCACCAGTTAATAAAGGAGGAGCTATTACTGTAAAAGTTCTGACTTAAGAGTCCTTATTAAGATTTCATTTACATCTCATGTGAGTAATGGTACAAAACACCTTACATGCTTGTGTGGTTGGTTAAGGTGGAATTATGCTGCTACACATAGACACATGGCCTTATAAACAAATCTCTTCTTTTTTAGAATTAAGAGTTTATTGAAGACAAAATCTTTTGTTGATCACTAGGTGTACAGGATGAGGGTGAGAACCTGCTGGTCATAATGAGTGGAGATTTAAATATCTATAGTTCCTAGGCTCATAATCTCAAATGATTTTTTTGAAATGGTTTCATTTTTTACATTTATTCTATTTATTTGAAATGCAGAGTTACAGGGAGAGATCTTCCATCCATTGGTTCACTCCCCAAATGGATGGGCCTGGTCCAGGAGCTTCATCAAGCTTTCCCAGTTGGGTGCAAGAGCTCAAGGACTTAAGACCATTTTCCACTGCTTTCCCAGGCCCATTAGTGGAGAACTGGATCCAAATGAACAACCGGGACTGGAGCCCATATGGGATGCCAGTGCACAGGAGGTAGCTTAACCTGTTAGACCACAATGCTGGCCCCTCAAGTAATTTTTTTTTTTTTTTAAAGATTTTACTTATTTCAAAGAGTTACAGAGAGAGGTAAAGACAGAGAAAGACCTTCCATCCACTGGTTCACTCTCCAGATGGCTGCAAAGGCTGGCTGTGCTGATGCGAAGCCAGGAGACTCTTCTGGGGCTCTCATGTGGCCGCAGGGGCCCAAGGACTTGGGTCATCTTCTACTGCTCTCCCACGCTACAACAGAAAGCATGATTGGAAGAGGGGCAGCCGGGACTAGAACCGGTGCCCATATGGGATGCCAGCACTTCAAGCCAGGGCTTTAACCCGCTGTGCTACAGTGCCAACCCCTCAAATAATTTTTCAAACAACCTTTTTTTTTTTTTTTTTTAGAGGCAGGAAGATACTACATATATATGAGGGAGGAGTCCTCCATCTGCTGATCCACTCCCAAATGCCTGCAATGGCTGGGGCCATGCCTAGAACAGAGTTTAGTCCAAGTGCTCCCAAGTGGGTAGCAGGGGCCCCATAACTTGAGTTATCGCCTGCTTCCTCCCAGGTATATTACTAGCAGGAGGCTGGAATCATGAGCAGAGTTGGGACTCAATCCAAGGCAATCTGATACAGGATACAGGTGTTCCTACTAGGGGCTTATTTGTAGGCTTGTCCCTTCAAAGGAATTTTATAATTCTAATGTCTTGGTTTGCAGTGATACCGTAGTACAGTGCCTGGCAAACAGGAAGTACTCACCAAATGGGCACTACTGTTATTGTTAGTGTCATTTCAAAATAGCAATTTTATGTCAGAGCACAATATCATGTTGTGCCTCACAGTGAGGCAGTACTTAAATATGCACACTACCAAAGTCTGAATATAAAGACCAGCAGCTGCATACACATCTATAGAGTGTACAATCATCCAAATAAGGGAAAGAAGTAAAAATGGGAAGGCAATAACCCACACTACCAAAAAAACCTAATTTTTTGGGGGAAAAGTTAATACCATCAGAACATGTTAATATTAAAGTACCTAATGATATTTCAATAAAGGCAGAGTTAAGTGAACTTTTCGATTCCTAGACATTTAATACTTAAGTATAAAATCAACTTCATGTCTAATATGTTATAACAAAACCATATACAGGTATGGTTATCAATTTGTATAAACTTACCTTATTATTGCAAACATGGAATTGAAGTTCTTACATTCTCGACAATGAAGTGCGATTTTAATAAAATGCTTAATAATCTTCATTCGCTTGAGCTGATTTGATTCAGTTAAAATCTCTGAGGCAACCCAGAAAGTCTCTTGGTTTACAATATCTTCAAATGCTTTCAAGTGAGTATTTCCTATTTTGGAATCTAACTTAAAAAGATCATCAATGTATTCAGTAGGCTCAATGTTACGGAACAAATCAAAGTCCCTCATTGACAGCTGGGTTGCCACTTCAATGGTACTGAGCTGCAGCATAGATAGCTGGCTTTCCTTAACTAGTTCCTGAGCATCTTCATCTGAACACAAGGTTTCTGTTTCCATGTTATTTTTTAAATAATACCTAAAAGGGAAAAACTGTTTTTATAAACGTGATCATAAATGTGGTTTCAAATGCCTACGAGCATATTCCCTTTGCATTATTAAAATAATATTTAAATACCATTTTCCTTCAACCAGTGCTGCGTTGTGGTAGAGTAGATAAAGGAGCTGCCTATGACACCAGCATCCCATATGGGCACTGGATTGGTGAACTGGTTTGTTTCCTGGCTGCTCCACTTCCAATCCAGCTTCCCACTAACGGTTTAAGAAAGCAGTGGAAGATGGCCATGTGTTTGGGCCCCTAGACTCATGTGGGAAACGTGGATGAGGGGCCTGGCTTTGGCCTGGCCCAATGCCATTATGGCCATCTGGGGATTGAATCAGCATATGGAAGACCTCACTCTCTGTCTCTCCTACTTTTTTTTTTAAACGGATTTATTTTATTTATTTCAAAGAGCTACAGAGAGAGGCAGAGAGAGAGAGGCAGAGAGAGAGAGAGAAAGAAAAAATAAAGAGAAGTGTCTTCCATCTGCTGGTTCACTCCCTAAATGGCTGCAATGGCCAGAGCTGGGCTGACCTGAACCCAGGAGCCAGGAGCTTCTTCCAGGTCTCCCATGCGATGCAGGGGACCAAGGACTTGAGCCATCCTCTGCTGTTTTCCCAGGCACATTAGCAGAAAGCTAGATCAGAAGTAGAGCAGCCAGAAATTGAACTGGCACCTATATGGGATGCTGCTGCTGCAGGTTTGGACTTGAACCCACTGTACCACAGTGCTGGCCCCATGACTTTCAAAATAAATAAAATGTTTAAAAAATGATTTTAAAGGAAATCTTTTTTTGCCAAAAACATTAGAATATGCACTTCTAGATAAAATGGGAAATTTTAAATTTTAAATGAGAAGATTTTTGAAAAAATTCTTATTCCACATTATCTTAAAGAGTACGAAATGATTATGCCACAAACCTAATCATTGTTGTCCAGGAAATAATTTGCCATGTGTGGACAACCAGTTGTACATTTCTGAGACCAAGAACTCTATGAACCCAAGACCAGTGCCTGGATTATTAAGTAATACATAACTGGCAAATATGTAAAGATTTCCTCATAGACAGCATGACTTCTGATTAAATCAAAATGAGTATCTGAAGTGAGCTATCTAAATCTCTTTTCAGAGAGGCTGTTGCTATACTGATTTCCTTTTTTTCCTCCTCTAAATTTCCAAGTGAAGCAAAGAACAGAATCCATAAAAATGGGAAAGTTCGTGCACTGTGTTTTCTCCCTTGTTAAGCACAAAACTGCATTCTAGCAAATGGCACTGATCAGCAATCATACTAAGATCTACAATTTCCTTTTTTCTTTTTAGGTCAAGTCTGTGGCATTTAAAAGCAAAGAGACAGGCCTGCATTATTTAGTATCTCCTACAGAGCTGTCATTAGGTGAGAGAATGTATGTAGATTTATTTCCTTGTTTTCTAATAATACAACTTATTATAAGCCTGAATTTATGATTGTTTTTTACTGTCAACAAATCACATTGTTTTTGCCTCCCTTTACACTGTTTATTTGCCAAACACAATGCTATGTTGAGACTCATTGTATTACAGAGAATACATTATATTTAACTTAAAATCCTTAGAACTGTCTTATGAGGTGGACTCTAATATTGCCATCCCCATTCTACAGATGAGAAAATTCAGGACAGAGGTGCTTAGTAACTTGCCCAAAGTTACACAGCCTGTGCTACGATTTGAACCTGGCAGTCTGGCTTCATGGTCTTAGTTCGCAGACACTACTAGAGTAACAAATCTAGCTTTACCAAAGCCATCATAGGCAATCACATTAAACCCATCAAAGGGTGTTTCCCACATGTGAAACAAAGTCACTAAAAAGATTATTGTCTCAGAAAATTACCAGAGAAAACAACAAATGCACCCTCAAAACAATCTTTTACTTTATCAAGTAATTTTCAGAATATATATTATAAAAATTTTAAACTTTTTCTATATAGTCATATGAGGAAAGCCATTTAGAAAAAGAATTTTGAAAATTATTGTTTGTTTTGCCTGAAGTACATACTGACCATATTAAAAACAAATTCATAAATGAATATATACCCTCAGATACATGTTATTTATTATAATCTATTGAATAAATTATTGATTAGAAAGACTGAAAAAATTATTTATTGATTTCACAGGCTGAGAGTGAATGAGTGAGAAAGCAAGCAAGCGAGTCAAGCACATGCACTCCCATCTGCTGATTCATTCCCCAAATGCCTGCCATGGCCCAAGGTGCTCCAGGGCCAGTGCCAGGAGCCAGGAATTCAATCTAGGTCTCCCATGCAGGCAGCAGGAACCAAGAGAGTTGGCATCTGTTTTTCTAGGCCAAATGACACCTCCCCATCCCTAATACAGATTTGTATCACTCAGTTTCCTGATACATGAGTAATTCTAAGACTTTGTTTTAGCAATCTGATCTCTCTTATCCTCCCACTTTGGGGTAGCCCTTACAAGTGCTAAAATCCTGGGAATCCTCTTATGTAATTAGGGAGACAAGAAAAGCTTGGGAGAGAAAAAAACCTACTTTAATTACAGAGAGGACTTAGTGGCACTAAAATATGCCACAGTATGTGTCTACCTAAAATATCTTTTTGGGTTGGGCGTTTAGCCTAGTGGTTGAGATGTCTGAGTCCCACACTGGAATGTACGCATTTTATACCCAGCTCCAGTGACTGACTTTAGCTTCTAAAACAGTAGCAACGGCTTAAGTAATTGAGTTTCTGCCATTTGGATTCTGATTCCTGACACCTGTGGGAGACACAGATTGCAATCCCAGCTCTGGGATTGCTCAAGTCCCAGCCATCTCAGGCACCTGGAGTGAGAAAGAGTGGATGGCAGCTCTGTCTCACAACAAACCAAACCTCCACACATCTCTTGTTAGCAAAAATTCTTCATAAGGCACCTTACCAAAAGTAAGCTGATTTACCTTCCATTGAGTTGAATTCTATCTGCTAACTTGGAGAACTGGTCAGGCAGTCTTCTCTGCTTTATTACGCCCTCAGGGGTAACAGAAACTTCACACAGAGAGTATGTGTCGGATGCACCAGCCAAACCAAATTCATGGACAGCATGACAAACCACTTCTTTAGCTGTAGTATCTTTACTGATGATAATGTAGCAACTCTGTTGATCTGCTTTGAAAACTCTTATAACTTGATCAGGAATATCTACAGAAACACAAAGATGTGACTTATTGTTTTCAAGAACACGACTTTTAAATTCTCCAAAAAGCAATATGGAATACAAAGATTCTTTCAAACATTAAAAGATACATTTGTATTTTAGGCATGTGATGAACAGAAATCGCTGTTGCATTTATTTTTAAATAAACGTACCAATTTTTACACTTGATCGTAGCCAAAAGACCAAGAAGCGATAAATGTACCAATTTTTGATAAGTGACAAAGCATATATTTTACATAGATAAAAACTGAGATTATATATTTACAATTTGGAAACAAAAATATTTTCACTTAATATGTTATAAATACTTAAGTCACTAAGCAGTATTGTATAATTCTATTTTAATGGAGTCACAGTACTCGATAAAATGACTATTTTATGTCTCCCAATTATCCAAACCACTAATGATAGCAATTTAGATTGTTTGCCACTTTCTATTATAAATAAAATGATTCAGAAATCAACCCTATTGCAAACAAACCAGGGGTGGAATATCTGGCTCATAGACCATTTAGGACCCTCGAAATAATTTGGTCTAGCCCTGCCAAAGCAACCACAGGTGGGACTTGAAATTCAATACATGCATAGCAGGTTAATTTTTAAGTTGATTTTGTATGGTCCATGAACGATGCTTTAACTATACAAATGGCACTTGACAAAACTAAAAAAATAAAAGGTCCCTCACCCCTAATAAACCTTTGTAAACAACCTTGGTGAGGACTCTTAACAACAGAACTGCTGAATTATAAAGTGTACATGTTCTTAAGGCTTGTGAAGTATTCTGCAAAATGTTCCAGCTGGAGATTTAAAAATCATATAGGGGGGCTGGCGTAGTGGCTCACTTGGTTAATCTTCCGCCTGCATCCCATATAGGTGCTGGATTCTAGTCCCAGATGCTCCTCTTCCAGTCCAGCTTTCTGCTGTGGCCCGGGAGGACAGTGGAGGATGGCCCAAGTGCTTGGGCCCCTGCGCCCACATGGGAGACCAGGAAGCACGACCTGGCTCCTGGCTTCGGATCGGCGCAGTGCCGGCCATGGCGGCCATTTAGGGGGTGAACCAACGGAAGACCTTTATCTCTGTCTCTCTCACTGTCTATAACTCTATCAAATAAATTTTTAAAAAATTTATAAAAAAATCATATAGGAGAATGTTTTGCTTTTCCAGTTTTAAAGGCCTCTCCATTTCCTCCTTCGAAAAAATGTCATTGTTTTTGTTTTCATTTGTTGGTTTACTGGGAAGATTCAATAACTGGTATTGGTTTAATGAACCATTAGTCTTCTAAAAAAAAAAAAAAAAAGAAATACCTTTTGGGGGCTGGCACTGTGACATAGTGGAAAAAGCCACCGCCTGCAGTGCTGGCATCCCATATGGGCGCCACTACACTTCCAATCCTATTCTTTGTTATGGCCTGAGAAAGCAGTACAAGATGGCCTAAGTCCTTGGGCCCCTGCACCCATGTGGGAGACTGGAAGAAGCTCCTGTCCTGGCTTTGGATTGGTGCAGCTCCGGCCGTTGCAGCCAATTGGGGAGTGAACCAACAGATGGAAGACCTCTCTCTCTCTCTCTTTGCCTCTCCTCTCTCTGTGTAACTCTTTCAAGCAAATAAATAAATCTTAAAAAAAAAAAATACATTTTGGTAACCTTTATGCTTTTTCCTACTAAATTATACTAGATGGCAACAGAGGCAAACATCCACTAATTTTTATCTCTTATTCATTTTAACACAGAAACATACATATGTTAATGTGGTTGAATCTTCCAATATTTGTCCTTGTGAACTCTGCTATTAGATGACATGCACACATAATGGTAATACCCACCCCTGCAAACCTCAACTCCTTTCTTCTACTTTCTTTTTCTCATTTCAGCACTGGCTAAAACATCCAGAACCATGCTCACTGCAATGAAAGGGGCTGATTTTTATGTAAATGAATGGAAGTGAGAAGTCATTTTGTAACATGAACCAATACTATCTTTTTTCCTAGGAAAATACATTGTTGCAAAAATTAGGAATGTGTGTGTGAGGATGAGAGGCAGAGAGGGAGAAAGAGGAGAGAGAGAGAGAGAAAGGAGAGAGAGAGATAGAGGAGGGGGGTAGATATGACTGCAGGGGTGAGTGCGGATATTCTGGTGGCTCGAGTAATTATATACTGTTTTTCTTGATTACCTTCTTAGCATTATATACATTAATTTTTAAAAAATGTTTCATCTACTTTAATGAGAGGGGGAGGGGGAGGGAGAGGGAAAGACAGACTGACCCTCCATTGCCAGTTCACTCCCCAAATACCTGCAACAACCAGGGCTGTGCCAGGCTGAAGCCAGTAGCCTGGAATTCCACCTGGGTCTCCCACATGGGTCACAGGAGCCCAAGAACTTGAGCCATCATTTGCTGCCTCCTAGGATGCCTTTCCACAAACCCGGATCAAAGCAGAGCAGCTGAGATTTGAACCAGCACTCCTAAATGCAACATGGTTTAATCTGCTGTGCCACAATGCCCACTCCTACATTATTAACTTTTAGAGAGGGGGGAAAAAAAAAGACAAATTTGTTTCAAAACTTCCTGAGGTACAATCCTAGCTAAGGCAAAGACAGTAAGGAGTAGAAATATCAGGAAATAACTGAGATCAAAAGGTAACAAGACTTCTCCCAGAACTGGAAGCTTCAACTGATGGATAAACATGAATCTAATTTCAGGAAGGATCTTAGCTAACACATACTGAACAATCATTCTGGGTCCACTGTCAAGTTGCAAACAGAAGGCCTCAACTACGTCAGGTTCTGCTGAAATGATTCACACAACTGTCATTCCTTGATGTATTCAAAGACTGGAGTCATCAAATGCTTTTTACTCAAATTTCTTATCAATGAATCACTCAAACTGTAGTGCACAATCAGGTTTTTGAACCTATAAGCTTACAATCAGACTGTCTTTGACACACCAAGATCACAGACTTCTCCCTCCAGTGCTACAAGATTACTGCAAACAGATGGAAACCTCAGTTGGCCAAGAGACAGATACTGGACAGAAATGTTTTAGCATCTGGGATGGAACATATAGCTGTCTACCTTGCTGAACACTGTTAGACTGACAATCTATTACAGCCTTTTGTTCCCTATATGAAGGTCAAACTGCCAGGTAATTGCCTAAGAGGGACTCAGGCAGCATAAAAGCAAGGTTCTTCAACAGATCTGCAAACGAGCTTACCCAATGGTAAAAATCCAATCTCTGATAATCAGCCAAGGTAATTAATGCCAACATGGAAAATCACTTGTCAGACTTAGAGAAACAAATGTCTCTACACTGGTAACGCAGTCTAAATCTCTTTTTCCATTTTAGAACAGTTGCACAGATACACTACATGTACATTCTTTACAAACAGGTTTGCTGTCAGTGGGAGAACAACATATGAAGGTCCTCAAAGAATTAATGGAAAAGGCATACTATGAAAAAACTATGCACAGACTTTGAAATTATTTTACACCAAAATACACTTATTTTTAAATTCCATTTCCACGAACTTTCTGAAGTATCTCTTTCAAGCAAATAAGCACAGCACTTGCCATGTATTCAAGTATTAATTGATTGCATAAACTGCAAATATGAAGTCTGAATAAAGCTAAATAAAAATTTAATCATTTCAAACTTTAGGCATGAAGCAAAAAGGTAGAGGCCTGGAGTAGCACAGCATTTATTAAAGATTCATTATTTATTTTTTAGAAATCCTACATAATAGGTAAACAAATTAAAGAGTAAGAACCTCAGGCATTTGGATTTCTGATCCAAGTGCTAACTAGCATCTTGAACAAATAAAAAAAAATACTTCAAGGATTTATGTACTGACCCTGAAACTACAGTAAAAATGTGAGTAAATTTTAGGTATTTAATATCTTTAAAAAAAAAGACTGTCTTTTCATTTTGCTGTAAATTGTTAAACGCTGAACATATCCATACATGTGCCTGTTATGTGTCAGTAGTGTTCCAGATGGTAATGACACTGATAACTCAGAGGTCTCTGCTCTCAGGGAACTCAGTTACATTCAAGAAAGTAAACGACAGTTTGCAGACAAACAGAAAATTTTGCATACAGTGAAAAGTGCCACAAAGAAAACAAAGGGGAGCAATATAATGGGACAGGACACTTATTTCGGAAAGAACAAAAGCAGTAAATATTTTCAGTATTACAGCTGAAAAGACCAAATCTGTATCATTTGGCAGATGCCTATGCAATCAAACACAAATCTCAACACACTTTTAATTGCCAAAATTCAAATTGTAGTAATGCCAACAGAACATTTAAAGATAAACAAACACAAGGAGTTAAACACTACAAGCATCCATTAATGGAGAACTGGCTAAAAAAAAAAATCTACCAGATGACCAAAAATTTGTGGTAGAATGATACACCGTAACATAGAAAAACCTTCAAAGTGTTTAGATGAATTAACCGGGTAAGGGGAAGAAAGTTGTAACATCTCATTCAGGCCGAAGGGAATGGCATACCTATTTGCTAAACAATGAAACTTAAAAGGCCAAATAAGTAAATTAAAAATTTATAAATTCTGGGGAGTGTAGACTTTTATCCTCATTTCCCTCTAGCTTGATTTTTAAAATACTATGATTACATGTTCCTTTGTAATTAAAAACTAGTCACAATAAAGCAGACTTTCAACAGAGAACAGCTGACTACATTAAATAAATCAGATAAAGGTTTGTGCTATTAACTTAAAAAAAGAGTAAATAGGTATAAAGTTCTACATGCAGATTTAGACCAAAAAGAAGTCCCTTTTAGGGGTTGTCATTGTGGCACATCAGGTTAAGCCATCACCTGCAATGCCAGCATCCCATATCAGAGTGCTGGTTTGAGTCCTGGTGGCTTCACTTCTAATCCAGCTCTCTGCTATGGCCTAGGAAGGCAGTGGAAGATGGCCAAAGGGCTTGGGCCCCTACACCTTTGTGAGAGACCAGGAAGAAGCTCCTGGCTTCAAACTGGCTCAGCTCCAGCCATTGTGGCCATTTGGGGAGTGAACCAGCGGATGGAAGACCTCCCTCCCTCCCTCCCTCCCTCTCTCTCTCTCCCTCTCCCTCTGCCTGTGCTCTCTCTAATTCAGCCTTGCAAATAAACAAATCGTAAAAAAAAAAAGAAAAAAAAGAAAAACTTTCAATTTCTTTTTAGCTACACTCTGACATCTTGTGTTAGTTCAAAAATTCCAAAAACACTTTGCAGGTTATAGAATAGCATGCATACTGATTCTATATAAATTTAAAACATATCTAGTCAAAGGAAATGAATAAAAGGATAAATGTCAGTTAATAATGGCTAAATTGCAAATGCAAAGAACAGCTCTGTTTCCTATTTTGTTTGTGTATCATTCGACTTTCAAAAACTAACTACTACATACAAACATGAGCAAGGGAACACCATGATACTTACAGTAAAAAGCAACAGCTGTAGGCAGCAAAATAAAGCAAAATCATAAAAATGTCAGCAATCAACAGCAAACTATTAAACAGTTCTGCAAGTCTGCCTGTCATTTTCATCTAACACTAACTTTAAACACGCAGCAAAAACAAAGCGGAGCTCCAGACTGATCAACAGCAGCCAAACTTGGCTGATGTCAAATGTACACATAACATACATACATATTATATATAACTAGCTTACTTTCAGCGTTTATTGTGTATATCACATAAAGCAATGAATCTGTAATCAACTGGTATTTTTTAAAACATGAACATAAATAACACCACTACTACATAAAAGGTCTTTCACAAAGTCACACATTTGGGGTTTCAAAAATACAAATTTTAAGTTAAATATCATATTTTTGCTCATTTATATTACTGATACGGGCAGTGTTGCAGACTGAGTCATAGCAAGCCTTCAGTGAATAGATTTAAAAACGCATCTTCAGTCCCTTTGCAAAGCTTTCAGGGAGACTTAATGCAACCAATTTCAAATCAAGTTGAGCAGCACCTCCTCTTCAGAGGCCTGAATTTCAGCTCCCACCAGGGTAAGAATTTCTGAATTTTAATAATTTCAACCTCTTTCCTTTGTTCCCCCAGCTAAATCCCAGTATTAGTTCTATCTCTTTTCCTCCTAAAACCCCTTCCTATCCCCATTTACTCCCACTTCCTACACATACATATGGCAAAAATACAGCAATAAGAATAATTAATTCTAGTACTCATGTCACTAAATACTTACTAAAGGATGCCTTTTTAACTTGCTTTTTGGTAGCATGAAAATATTTTATTTGTGAATCTTCTATGCAGTGTAACAAGTATCAGTGTAGACCACACATATACCAACCTGGAAACAAACTCCTATCCTATCACAAGCCAAACAATAGACTTTTGAAAAACCAGGGGGTGACTCTGTGCAGAGAGAGATGTAGTAAGAGAAGAATTCAACACTGATGAGTAAGAAAAATTTCATCACATATGCAGGGAAGAAACCTGAAGCTGGCAAAGCACATGGACAAAGCAAAGAGTTCTGCAGGCACATGCCATCCTCAGGGAAGACAAGGAGTGACCGCCAGGAGAACAGCTGGACAGGAAGCTCGAAAGGAAGGGTCATTTCAGGGACACTTCTCCAGCATGGATGGCGCTGCCTTTATACACCAGAAACACAACCCATTTTATAGAGTTTTCTATGCCTGAATACTCCAATTTGCTTTTATATTGGTTCAGATAAACAGTCAATTAACTCGATACATTGCTAATAATGCTTATATTAACTTCTGATCAAATAACCTTATACAGAAATCACTAGAAGTTTCTGACCAAAGTAATAGCTTATTAAAATCTGTTTTAGAAAGAACTCTGGCATCCACAGAGAGAGCAGGGCATAAAAAAAGATGAATGGGCTTGGTTATCTCTCTAGTGGTTAAGAGGCAACTGAGGGGCCGACGCTGTGGCACAGCAGGTTAAAACCCTGGCCTGAGGCACCAGCATCCCACATGGGTGCCAGTTGTAGTCTGAGCTGCTCCACCCCTAATCCAGCTCTCTGCTATGGCCTGGGAAAGCAGTAGAAGATGGCCCACGTCCTTGGGCCCCTGCATTCAAGTGGGAGACCCAATAGAAGCTCCTGGCTTCTGCCTTTGGATCGGCACAGCTCTGGCTGTTGCAGCCATCTGGGGAGTGACCCAGTGGATGGAAGACTTCTCTGTCTCTACCTCTCTCTGTAACTCTTTCAAATAAATAAAATAAATGCTTTAAAAAAAAAAAAAAAAAAGAGGCAACTGAAAGAAAAAGGAAGAAACAAAGGACAAAACAGCTTTAAATGGTCTCTGTTGTATCTCATTGGATTTTTATTAAAGTTATTGTAAACAAAAGATGAACCTTAGTAGTATTCTCATAATTCCTTTTAATACTGAGATTTATATACTAGTTGCTAGTAACTTTATGAGTCAAAACTGCAACTGAGTCAGAAATACAGTGAATTTGGTAGAAGCATTTTTCTCCTCCTTTCCTCACTTAACTATATATTCCAATTTTTAATTTTGTCTTTTATTGAAAGCTGTATCATATCCTTTCAAATGACTGCTATGTAACTAAACCTTCAAAGTCAAAGGCTTTCTTTCTTATCATGAAATTTTAGATTCTTTGGTTAAGTGAAAACTTTCGCCTCTAGGCAGGAATACTTGTAGATGTGGAAAAATTAATGCTCCACACTGAAGTCTAAGCAACAAAAAAGATCCTTTAATTCTTTGATAATAATACAAGACAAAAACAATTTTAGCTTCAGGTGTTAGAGAGGGAAATCAGCACTTTGGAAATTTCAGCCCATCACAGAGGCAAACAAGTAAGGCCACATAGATTAAAAAATCTACCTCAGGGGCCAGCGCTGTGGCATAGTGAGTGAAGCTGCCGCCTGTAGTGTCGGCATCCCATATGGGTGCCAGTTCGAGTCCTGGCTGCTCCACTTCCGATCCAGCTCTCTGCTAGTCCTTGGGCCCCTGCACTCACGTGGGAGACCGGGAAGAAGCTTCTGGCTCCTAGTTTTGGCTGTTTCAGCCACTTGGGGAGTGAACCAGCAGATGGAAGATCTCTCTCTCTCTCTCTGAGTTACAGAGGTAACTCTGCCTTTCAAATAAATAAATAAATCTTTAAAAAAAAAAAAACTGATCACTTTAAAAATAAATAAATAAATGGAAAGCCGGCGCCGCAGCTCACTAGGTTAATCCTCTGCCTTGCGGCGCCGGCACACCGGGTTCTAGTCCCGGTCGGGGCGCCGGATTCTGTCCCGGTTGCCCCTCTTCCAGGCCGGCTCTCTGCTGTGGCCAGGGAGTGCAGTGGAGGATGGCCCAAGTCCTTGGGCCCTGCACCCCATGGGAGACCAGGAGAAATACCTGGCTCCTGCCATCGGATCAGCGCGGTGCGCCGGCCGCAGCGCGCCGGCCACGGCGGCCATTGGAGGGTGAACCAACAGCAAAAAGGAAGACCTTTCTGTCTCTCTCTCTCTCACTGTCCACTCTGCCTGTCAAAAACAAACAAAAATAAAATAAAATAAAAAATCTACCTTCTTTTCCCACACTCTAAATAACATATTTCTTACCTAAGAAGTGTCTCTCTTTCATTCTGCTGCTTGTAAAAGTATTACCAAAAGAAGCCTACTGTCTGTGAAGAGGTAGGTAATTCTTTTTTTAATGTGGTTCTGTTCCATTGTAGAAGTAGTAACACACAAGTTAAGATAAAAAAGACAATCTTCCCCTTATATATTGCATCACATCAAAACTAGAGGTGAAGAAACCTCCCAGTAGATCTAGTATTTGTTGCACAAAGCACAATTGTTTATTTGTTGATTTGATGTTACCAATATGGCAACATGAAGCCACTTATGAACTTTACCTGAAGGATTGGAAAAATCCAGCATGCTAGTGGTAGGCTGCAGGAGGTCAGGGCTGCTGGACGAGAGTGTCCCAGGAATAGGCATGATAGCCAGGCTGTGCCTACAGTGCCTCGTTCCCACAATGCTGTCATCCTGTGACTGGCTCAGGCCTCCATCACTTCAAAAGAATGTCGTAGATCACATTAAAGTAATTTAGAGTATTTCACAGTCAACATTTATTCTTTGTGCACTAGGTCCTAACAGAACCAACTCCAAATGGTGATGTGAACAATCAGAAAAAAATGTTAAAGTTATTTAAAAAAATAAGATAACTATAATGATGAAAATGGCCATAAAATGTTTGTAACAGATATATTCAAATACAGTTTAACTTATACATTTAAATAAATCTAGATCATAAAAAATTGTCATATTTATTATCTACTGGTTTGAGTAGAGAAATGCAATTTGAGTTCCTTAAAACATGTTAGCTGCAGTTGTACACAAAAGTATATATCCAATAGCACATAGCCACCCCACAGCAAGGTATCCTCCTGCCTCATCCCCTCTCTTTTGGGGACCTTTCAGGCAAAGAATAGAGCTCAGATTAAATCCAAACCAAAAATATGACAGGTTGCAGGTAACAACACAACTAAGCTGAAGTGACAAAATCAGAGATTTTTTAGACACAGAAGGACAGAAAAGAACAAAAACAAAAACAGAATAAAAAAAAAAAAAAACTTGTGTCTCTACCTGTATCTCTCTGCTTTTCGAATAAATAAATAATTTTTAAGCATTTAAAAAACATTTCCATCACATTCCTAGTGAAATACTGTTTCTCTCTAGGGCTGTACTTAAGTTAAAACCAATGTCCTCAGTTAATATTAGTTCCCAGTACTTGCATTTACACAAACCGATGTACACCAGAATACTTACCTATTATCATTGAAAGGATTAAGAAACGGTTGTAAACATGAACAAAATGTAGGAAGTATTTAAAATATGCTACAAGTAAAATACAGAATTTATTCAGATTAGGAAACTAAACAAGATAGGAGAGTAGAGGAGTGTTAGGATGCTAACAAGGACAACAAGGCCAGGACAAGAGAGAAAGGTGACCAGTCAAGGAAAAGCATGACGGCATGGAAGAAAGCAAAGCCAGCTGTCTGACCTCGGGCAAATTTTTCTCTTTTTATGTTTTTGTTTTCTTCTTCTAGAAGTGTGAATAATATTGCTTATGCTGTAAGACAATTTCAAGAAATCAATCAAGTAACAAAGAAGAATGCTTTGGCGCCGAGGAATATAGGGTTCCTGTTTTTTAGAATAAAGGAAGAACAAATGTTCAGCTTTGCTGTTCACAGCCATGGCCCACACAGCAGTCCCTAAGTTTGATTCCCAGCTCTGGTTCCCAATTCCAGCTTCCTGCCAACACAGACTTTGGGGGACAAGAGTAGACTCCGGTAAGTAGTTTCCTGCCATGCACAAGTGAGACCTGGTTCCCCCAGCCTACCTCCAGTCATTGCAGGCATTTGTGAAATTAATCAGTAGACGGAAGCTCTCTTTGCCTCTCATATCTTTTTTCAAAGCTTTTATTTTTTTATTTGAGAGGCAGAGTTACAGACACAAAGAGGGAGAGGCAGAGAGAAAGGTCTTCCATCCACTGGTTCACTCCCTAAATGGCCACAACGGCTGGAGCTGAGCCAATCCAAAGACAGGAGCCAGGAGATTCTCTGGGGTCTCCCACATGGGTGCAGGGGCCCAAGCACTTTGTCCATCTTCTACTGCTTTCCCAGGCCATTAGCAGGGATCTGGATCAGAAGAGGAGCAGCAGGGACATGAACTGGCGCCCATATGGGATTGCTGGCACTGCAGGTGAAAGCTAAGCACACAACACCACAGTGCTAGCCCCCTCAAACAAATGTTTTTAAAAAATCAGAAAGACTTATTTTGTTGATATACACTGAGAAGTAGAGGAGGACAGGGCACTGCAGAAACAGGAAATACTCTGCCAAGAGAGAATGCAGTGTTATCTGACAAGTAAGACAAAGGAAATGACCCTATTTGAGGGCTTGGCCTCATGGCTCAGCAGGAAGCCTATTAAGTCTATTAAAAATTGGTTTTCGAAAACAAAGCCTGGCAATTTTTAGACACAGATTAACTGTATCCACAAAGGCAACCAGCTAAAGGTAAGGTTAGCAGTCCTCCTGATAAAGTAAAGAGAACTGTAATAATGTTAAAAAGTTTGTTTTGGGGCCGGAGCTGTGGTAGCAGGTGAAGCCTTTGCCCGTGATGCTGGCATCCCACATGAGCACTGGTTCAAGTCCTACTGCTCCATTTCTGATCCAGGTTACTTGGCCCCTGTCATCCACTTGCGAGACCCAAATGGAATTTCAGTCTTCTGGGTTTGCTCTGACTCAGACCTGGCTATAGCTGGGCCATTTGGGGTATAAACCAGGGAACAGAAAATGTAATTCTGCTTTTCAAATAAATAAATAATTCTTAAAAAAAAAAAAAAAAGGACAGTTTCCTATTAGGAAATTAGTTGCATCAGTTGTACCAAACTGGAATTGACTATAAAGATTAAGAGAAGTGCATCAAATACTGAAAGTCCTTATACTTATTACAGAACATTAACTCTGCTTTTCTTTCTTTTTTGAAAGATTTTTTATTTAAAAGGCAGAGTTCAAGTGAGGCAGAGAGAAGTATTCCATCTGCTGGTTCACTCCCTAAATGGCTCCAACAGCTGGAGCTGGGCCAATCCAAAGTCAGGAGCCACAAGGGCCCAAGGACTTGTGTCCCATCTTCTACTGCTTTCCCAGGCCAGAGCAGAGAGCTGGATCAGAAGTGGAGAAGCGGGGCTAGCACTGTGGTGTGGCGGGTAAAGCTTGTTGCCTGCATTGCCAGCATCCCATATGGGTGCCAGTTCAAGTCCCAGCTACTCCACTTCTGATCCAGCTCTCTGATATGGCTTGGGAAAGCAGTACAAGATGGCCCAAGTCCTTGGGCCCTTGCACACTCATGGGAGACCGGGAAGAAGCTCCTGGCTCCTGGCTTTGGATTGGCGCAGCTCCAGCTATTGCGGCCAAATGGGGAGTAAACCAGCAGATGGAAGACTTCTCTGTGCCTCTGCTTCTCGCTCTGTGTAACTCTTTCAAATAAAATAAATAAATCTTTAAAAAAAAAAAAAGTGGAGAAGTCAGGACTTGAACAGGTGTCCATATGGGATTCCAACACTGCAGGTGGCAGCCTCACCCACCACGCAACAACACCAGCCCCAACTCTGATTTTCAATAATCAATAGATAAAACACTATACAACTATAATTGAGTAAAGCTGGTTACAAATGCATGGTCATGAAAGCATGAACATGGTGTCATGTACAATCCATGCTATGACATATATAACTGGCAAAATATCCATGCTTGAAGCTGAGTTTAAACAGCCCATTTGCCAAACAATTACATCACTTCTTACCAAAACAGTCTCCTGAGAAGGTGATGCAACAACAGAAACAAGACAGTTTTGAAAAATTCCTCAGTAATTCCAACACTAAATTTACTCAAGAGTAAATATATTTAGTTTCATATTATAACACTAAAAAGGACATATAAATATCAATATGCAATTGAAAAATAACCCGAATATTAAAAGCAAAGAAAATGTATGTTGGCAAAAAATGGAGAAAAAAAATTCCTGATAAATAAGCAAGGCAGGGTATTTCTGAGATTGCCACAATGAATAAGAAAGATGTTTATAACACAACTGTGATTAAAGAAAAAAAAGTTTGAATGATTTTAAAAAATGGAAACCAAATTTTTGAACTGTAATGCTACTGATTGCCTCTTCTAAAGAGCTCTGGCACATTGGAGACGCTCAAATTGTAGAGCTCAATTCATTAAAAATATATTTTTTGTGTATCTCACTTCCCATGTTGGATCATTCTCTCCCTTTTTTATTCTATCAGCTAGTATTTGCAGACACTATTCTTGTTTATGTGATCCCTTTGGTTCTTAGTCCTATCATTATGATCAACTGTGAACAGAAATTGATCACTGGGACTAGTGAGATGGCATTGGTACATGCCACCTTGATGGGACTGAATTGGAATCCCCTGGTATGTTTCTAACTCTACCATTTGGGGCAAGTCAGCTTGAGCATGTCCCGAATTGCACATCTCTTCCCTCTCTTATTCCCACTCTTATATTTCACAGTGATCACTTTTCAGTTAACAGCAAACAAGCAGTGAAAAAATACTATCGGAGTATTCCTTATAATAACTACAATAAAAACCTGATTTTTATCATTTTTGCAGCAGATAGTACTATTTGACTAATATCTTGTATTGGGGCATTCAGGGTCTTCCCAATTTTGTTTTACTACAGCTAATACAACTAAGAACATCTGAACATGTCTTCATTGAATACATTAGTGGAAATGGAATTAATGGATCAAAGGATATGGCTATTTTTAAAATTAATTTAAAAATACTGTGACTGCTTTACAGAATGCTCCAGCAGTGTGACCCTGCTGTCTAACTTACATTATTAATTCTGGTTTGCCAGCCTTTGATTAAGCAAATGGGATCCTGTTTTATCTTGGTGAGTATTGATATAGCAGATCTGATTCATGGTATCTGTTTATTTTTGTACTTAAATTCTAATTAGTTTTCTCCCTGGTTTGCATGAGATCTTTATATCTAATGGAGAGTATAATTTTGTACAGCACAAAGTATTCCCTGAGTTCACTTCAAATGATTAAGTGCAAAGAAATATAATGTAAATCCTTGAAAATACAAAGCAACTACTCTGACAGGTAAAAATGACAAATTAGATGTCCCAAGAAAACAGGATACAGAAATATTTATAACCTCTACTAAAATGTTCATTATCTTTTTGTATTTATATAGCTGAATCATGTTCATATTCAAAACCAATAGCCTCCCTGATAGCAGAAAGCAACAGAGCGAATAAATGTTTCACTAATAATTGAAAAAGTTAATGTAAAAAAATTCTTCTAAGTTTAAAATTATCTCTGCAAGATATTTCTTTGGGGAGAGGTTACTTAAAAATGCTCAGTTCCTTCTGGAGACCTCAATTTCCTTGCTTCTTGCTGTAACCAAAGACAGCATCTATGCACAGTACCTAATTCCCATTTTTGAGAACATAATGTAGAGATGAGACAGATTCAGCTGTCCACAACTTGAGTGCAGCTGTCTGGAACATGACACTGACAACCTGAAGTGAGTTATAATCACAATGTTCTCTGGTTTAGGTGACAGATGTCACAACTGTCCCTTCTTTCCACTTAAAGAGTTGCTCTCTAGCACTTCATATGCAGGATATATCAAGCTTTCACCTATCACCAGTTTCTGTCCCCACCCCCTTCTCTCTGCCTGTGTGCAGACAGTGCTCTCCTTAAAGGACAATGACCCTGCTTTCATGAGAGCTCTTGGAAGTGGAAGCTATTTCCTCTTCTATGAGACTCTGTGATTCCCACTGCTTAAAACATAGCTGCACGTCATAAACTTGAGAGGAGCAGCCCATCATCTCCCAGATGTTATTAGAAATGGCTAAACACCAACAAACTCTCCATGTACTGTATTTGCTGAAAAAAAAAATTAGTTCTTGGTTCACTATTTCCTCTATTTCTTATTCTGGTGGTCATTCTCAACAATTCAAAACCAGCCCAGAAATCCTCAGTGGGCAGTTCTTTACTACTTTTCCTAAGCCCGATTTTCCTAAGCCACAGCCACCTTTTCCTAAACCCGATTCAGTCACCCAAGTCTGGTCACATGATGGACTTTAATAATGACCAGCAAAATTACAAGACCCAAAAAATACTTCACCAATTGACTGATCTTAACCTTCACTGTTATTCAAACTAGAAACTCTACCAATTCCCTGGCCTTCTCATGTATTTTAACACTGTTTTCAAGTGTTCCGTAGCCTATTTACTAGATTACATGGTCTTTATAATCACTGCTCTGAATATCAACAAGTTTGTTCTGCTTTCCCTTGTTCTATTCAGCTGATAAAGTACCAACTCTCACTATAAAACTGTATCTGCTGGGGCTGGCACTGTGTCACAGTGGATCAAGCTGGCACCCCTGACACTGGCATCCCATGTGAGTGCTAATTCAAGTCCTGGTTTCTCCACTTCAGAACCAGCTCCCTGGAGTTCCTGTTTCTTGGCTTTGACCTGGCCCAACTTTAGCTGTTGAATCCATTTGGAAACTGAATCAGTAGATGAAAGAATCAATCTCTGTGACTCTGCCTTTCAAATCAATCAATCTTTAAAGACAAAGCAAGGGCTGGTGCCATGGCTCAACAGGCTAATCCTCCACCTTGCGGCGCTGGCACACCGGGTTCTAGTCCCGGTTGGGGCACCAGATTCTGTCCCAGTTGCCCCTCTTCCAGGCCAGCTCTCTGCTGTGGCCCAGGAAGGCAGTGGAGGATGGCCCAAGTGCTTGGGCCCTGCACCCCATGGGAGACCAGGAGAAGCACCTGGCTCCTGCCTTCGGATCAGCGCGGTATGCCGGCTGCAGCGCGCCGGCCGCAGCGGCCATTAGAGGGTGAACCAACGGCAAAGGAAGACCTTTCTCTCTGTCTCTCTCACTGTCCACTCTGCCTGTTAAAAAAAAAAAAAAAAAGACAAAGCAGAACACTTTCTGCTTCCGATACCCCCCACCCACCCCAGGCCACAATATCTGACTCTAGCAGTCAACAATTGCTGGATATTTCCATTCTACCATGTGATACATGACCAAAAACTCTAAATGGACCCTAAACATGAGTCCAAATGAATTGCTATTTCTTCTGAGATTATCATCTCCCCTTCCAAAACAAGCTCTCTTCAAGTTTCAAACTCTCTCTACCATTCACTATGACGATTTCACTTTACAATGCATTGGTAGGAAGAACATTTTTGATGAGGAAATCTTTGAGATTTTTACTAGAGAAATACTGAAAACTGGGTTTGTGCTTGTTTGAACATGCTTTCATTCTTCCACTGATTAATATCTTGATTTATTCAACACATACTGAGTACCTGCTGTATGCTAAATACTATACTTGATTAGACTTTTTTGATTGCTTTACAAAGCTGATAATGTAGGACATAAATAGAAATGATATATATTAGTCATTCCCAAACATGACACTTCAGTGGACTGATTTCAACAGTTTACAGAACTTAATTTGTATCTAAAATCTTCACACACTCAGTTTTAGTGATATTGTACTTCAGAATAGATAACACATTTGATTAAAAAGTTCACCTTTAGAATCATGGAGGAAATACACAGTGCCAAAAGAAAAGATCAGTTTTAAAAAACAAAAGCACCTGCTGGCAGTAATGTGTCCAATGATTTAGGGTGTCCAAACTATAGACTGGAGAACTGAAATTGCCCATAACACACATAAAAACAATTTCATAAAATAAAACTGATAGTTTCTTCTAAAATTCAAAATAATGCTAATGGAAGATTATATAATCTAACAGTGGTTAACTTCAGGGAAATGACAGGGAGACGGTCAGGCTTTCTTTTTTTTTTTTTTTTTTTTTTTGACAGGCAGGAGTGGACAGTGAGAGAGAGAGACAGAGAGAGAAAGGTCTTCCTTTTGCCGTTGGTTCACCCTCCAATGGCCGCCGCTGCAGCCGGCGCACCGCGCTGATCCGATGGCAGGAGCCAGGATCCAAGTGCTTTTCCTGGTCTCCCATGGGGTGCAGGGCCCAAGCACCTGGGCCATCCTCCACTGCACTCCCTGGCCATAGCAGAGAGCTGGCCTGGAAGAGGGGCAACCGGGACAGAATCCGGCGCCCCGACCGGGACTAGAACCCGGTGTGCCGGCGCCGCAAGGTGGAGGATTAGCCTATTGAGCCACGGCGCCGGCCCAGGCTTTCTTATTTACATATTACTTGAGGCTTCCATGATGCATTAATTGTATTAAAAACAAAACCGACCAAAACTTCCCTCCCCTATAATAAAAACTGTACAGTACATATGAAAATTCCTACAGGAAGGACTGGCATTACCTACCTGAACAGTTTTGGAGGCAAGATACTAAATCGTGTTTTATCCAAAATTTTCCTGATTTTGTTTCTTCCACCTGAAACAGTATTTGCTTTAACTTTCTTACTTCCTTTTTCTTGTGATGTCTGTTCAATATCTCCTGGTACATCCTGGATTGAATGGCGATTACTTTTTTTTTCAGCAATTTTGGGAATATGAGGAATACCCGATTTCTCTTGCTCAGTCCTACTAAGTAACTCTTTGAACACTGTGGAAATAAAAAGACCAGTCAATTTCCTTTTTTTCTCATTATGAAGTTTTTATACTAACAACAAATTTTAAGGATAAACACAGCTGCTTTCTATTATTTGGTCTTTCAAAGCACCATCCACTTAAACATCAAATTTATACCTACCCTTTTATGTAATATCTACATTTGCTTCTTTTTTCAGTTACGCACCTGATGAAATGAAGTCATTTGGGGGAACTGGAAAGAAGTGGGCAGGCTGCTAGCACGCTTGAGAAAATAGAGGTTTTTACTTAGGTAAAAAGCAGTACTCATATAAATGACTATCAGCTAGTTTTGCAGAAGAAGGTGTTCAGATTTTTGTGACACGGGGAATGGTCAAACAGCAGCTGCACATTCCAGAGAACACATTGAAAAGTCTCGGCCACAGGAGCTGTGGGCAGTATCCTTGAGAAAAGCAAAGCTGTAAATCAGCAATGTGCCCAATGGACTCCAACCACAGAGAACGCCCTTTTCTATGTTTGGGAGTTGAAGGAAAACAAGAGCTTCTCACAACATCAAAGGATTGACAAGGTTGATATGAACAAAGCCTTAAGAGTTACAATTACAGCATTAACAGCTTGATGCACAGTTCTAAATCATGGACTTTTTTCAGGGTTTTAATGATACCACATCGTCAAACAGAACAAGCTTCCAAAAAGTACTTTTCCACCACAAAATGAAGGAAATTTTCAGGAGTCATCTTTCAAAGACAATCTGCTTAAACAAAATATTCAGATTCTATTTTTAAAATTTTATTTTATCTTAAAGCACATGGTAAAAGTAATCAAGAGGCCGGCGCCGCAGCTCACTAGGCTAATCCTCCACCTTGCGGCGCCGGCACACCGGGTTCTGGTCCCGGTCGGGGCGCCGGATTCTGTCCCGGTTGCCCCTCTTCCAGGCCAGCTCTCTGCTGTGCCAGGAAGTGCAGTGGAGGATGGCCTGAGTGCTTGGGCCCTGCACCTGCATGGGAGACCAGGAGAAATACCTGGCTCCTGCCATCGGATCAGCGCGGTGCGCCGGCCGCAGCACACTGGCCGCAGCAGCCATTGGAGGGTGAACCAACGGCAAAAAGGAAGACCTTTCTCTCTGTCTCTCTCACTGTCCACTCTGCCTGTCAAAAAAAAAAAAAAAAAAAGTAATCAAGATATTCACCCATTCAAAAAATATTAACTGGGGCTGGCGCTGTGACATAGCAGCTAAAGCCCCTGCCTGCTGGCATCCCATATGGACACCGGTTTCAGACCATGTTGCTCCATTTCTGATCTAGCTGTCTACTATGGCCTGGGAAAGCAGCAGAAGATGGCCCAAGTCCTTGGGCTGCTGCATCCACATGGGAGACCCCGAAGAAGCTCCTGGCTCCTGGCTTCACGTCAGCCCAGCTTCACCCACTGCAATCATTTGGGGAGTGAACCAACGGATGGAATCATGTGCTTGCTCTCTCTCATTCTGCCGCTCTGTAACTCTGCCTTTCAAATAAATAAATAAATCTCTAAAAAAAAAAAAAAAAAGTACACACACACACACACACACACACATTATTACCTGACCTGCGAATGTAAGAAAGGCAATAAACTAGTGTGTATTTCTACTGCTGTAGCACTTACAGAGTTTAAGATAAGGTGCAGAGGGAATATAACTGGAAGAACAACTTAAGATAGTAGAAAAGGAGTAATCTTTCTTAAGCTACTTTCTAAGAAAATATCAGAAAGATGAGAAGATTCTCAACAAGTCGAAGAGGGAGGAGACGATTGTTGATAAAGGAAATCTCAATTTCAAACTCTATGGGAAAAGTAAAGTATCGGGGTCCAGGCATTGTAGTACAGCAGATTAAGCCACTGCTTGTACATAGCAGAGTTCAAGTTCAAGTTCTGGTTCCACTGCTTCCAACCCAGGTTCCTAATAATGCACCCACTAAGGCAGTAGATGATGGTTAAAATACTTGGATCCCAGCTCCTCACATAGAAGATCCAGCCCCAGCTGTTTCATGCATTTACAGAGTCAATGAGAAGATGGATCTCTCTCTTCTCATAAACAAATAATAAATCAATCTTAAAGTAAATAAACAGACCAGAGAGCACTCTGCAGAAGTAGCTAGATAATGCTATTCTACGATATGTGTATGTTATGATTGATACGCAATGTTGGAAGGGTCAGATTTCCTTGGCGGCAGTATGTAAGGCAAGTCAGCAAACAGTTTAAGGGTATGTGTTTGCCTTTGTATTTAAGTCAATATAAGTTAAGATGCCTACATCCCATACAGGAATGACTGGGTTTGAGTCTGACCTCTAGCTCCCAGTTCCAACTTCCTGCTAACGCAGACCCTGGGATACAGCAGTGATGGCTGAAGAGTCTGAGTCCCCGCCTGAGCCGTGTTAGACCTCAACTGAGTTCCTAGCTCTTGGCTTTCACAAAAGAACCAAAAGATAAGGGATTTTGCTCTGTCTTTTCTACCTCTAAAATTAAATGAAATATAAAATAAGTAAAATAGTTTAGGGATCAGCATTGGGTCTAATGATTTTAACTGTGTGACATAAATCAGAAGAGTGGTTCTGGTTCCCAATTCCAGCTTCCTGCTAATAATGCAAATGCTGTAAGGCAACAAGTGATGGCTCAAATGGTTCAGTTCCTGTCATCCACATGAGAGGTTTGGTTGAGTTCTGGTTCCTGGCTTCAGCCTGTCCCTGCCTTGGCAGTTGTAGCTATTGGGGAATGGATCAATGAATGGATGAGAGCTCACTCTCTCCATCTGTCCATCTGCCTCCTGTGGTGCCCATCCCCTGACCCTGCCTTGGACAAATACTTTTTTAAAGAGACAGAAAACTATTAGACTATGAATCAAAAGCCATGCCTTAGTTGAAGATCAGAGAAGGGATGGCAAAAGGACAAGGTTGAAATAGCAGAATGAAAGTTTCCACAATCTCTTAATAGAGCCAAAGATCTACGAGAAGAGGGTCAGCATCAAGCAGATGGCAAACTCTGCTCTTAAAACCTGCAGACATGGTGGTGTAAGCAACTCTGTAATCCAGTCTGATCCAACTCAATCCTTTACCTGATCTGCTTGAACAGAAGAAATGGCAAGTCTTTTCTGTAAGATATGAACTTTTATTCTTCTCTAAAGTTTAGTGCTACACAAAAAATGAAGCACTTAATTAAAATCTTAAAGATGCACTAAATAAGGAAATATGGGGGCTGGTCCGAGTCCCAGCTGCTCTATTTCTGATCCAACTGCCTGCTACAGCCTAAGAAAGCAGTGGAAGACGACCCAAGTCCTTGGGCTCCTGCATCTGCATAGCAGACCTGGAAGAAGCTCCTGGCTCCTGGTTTTGGAATGGCCCAGCTCTGGCTGTAGTGGCCATTTGGTGAGTGAATCAGTGGATGGAAGACCTCCCTCTCCCCTCTTCCCTCTCCCTGCAACTCTTTCAAATAAATTAAATAATTTTTTTTTTTTTTAAGGAAATACGATTAAGAACCGGGGGGAAAGAAAATAAAAGATAATCCAATTTTTGGAGTTAACACATAGGAATTATATAATAATTGGTATGTGTTTGTGCATGTGTGTGCATATTAAAGAAAACAGAGGAAAAGAGATAAAATGGATCCAAGATGGAACTGGACCCTATACAAGAGATTCAAATGGATATTCTAGAACTGAAAAAAAAAAAAATCTAACATTAAACTCATTACAAATGTTTAAAAGCAGACTCAACACAGCAAAAAAACAAGATTAATATGCTCAACCACATGTCATCAGAAAATATGCAACCTGAAGCACCAAGAGGAAAAACACCAGAAAGAACAGAACAGACTGCAAGAGACACACAGGACACCAATCTCTGAACAGCCAAGTAACTCATGTCCTACTTGGAAAGCAGAGACAGGGCAAAGGTAATACTTCTGAAATGATAATGGCCAGGAAATTTCTGAAACCGATGGAATACATCAATGCACAAATATTAAAGCTTTCCAAACCCTAAACAGATAAACACAAAGAACTCTAACAGGGATTGTTGTTACAATTATCATTGCTCTGAGTCCTATTTATATCCTATGGGAAATGGTGGTCCTGCTAGCTTTAGGGGCTGTGGTTCCAATAATCAGTTTTTTACAGACTCAACAGGGATATTCAGATGTTTGCTTTGTGCCCCGTGATGCTCAGTTAGGGAATTGAGCAGACCCACCTCCTATGTTAGTTCTTAACGTTACAGTATGGTAACTGTATTAGATCAGCGCACGTACAGTTAAAGGTGAGCCCAGGAGCTCATGAACAACTTTCTGTAATTGTCTCCTGCCCCTCAGTCATTAACCTGGCATTTTTCATTTCTTTGGGCTCCCTTTTATAGAGTCTAAGGTCCAGCAGTGGAAAGGCAAAAAGAGCAGGCAAAAAAGGAAGTTAGTTCGTCTTGCCTTCTCGGTGTCACAGCCCCAGTAAAGGGGTTACTGCTGCTGTCCAAGGATTCCTTAGGGGATGAAGCCAGAAAAAAGGAGAAAAACAGAAAAACTTGGGGGATCTCCCCAGCAGTGAGCTCGAGGAATTCCCTTTTCCACTCTATAAGTGAAGCTTCTCCTATACCTGCCTGTCTGCACCATTATACTCACACCTGGTTTTCTGGGTTACCTTGAGACTATCCTGGAGATAACAAAAGTTTTCTTCTTTTTTTAATAAAAAAAGAACAACAACAACAACAAAACAGTAGTAAGTTCACTGCTAGTGGTGGTGCTCTGAATATCTGCTTCCTTCTGTGATCTGCCTATTGCTATTTGCTTCTCAGAGTTCTCCAAAGTGTAGATAATGATGCTGTACAAGTTTCACTGTTAAGCTCCATGGGAGATGCAGGAGCTCACGTGTTCACCCCTTCCTACCCCAGAACTGGAACCCTTGTTCTGATTTTCATCTTCAAGAACGTAGGAAAACCACCCGATAGGCTGTGCTTGAATTCTGGTTCACCTCTGCTTCTTCTCTGCTGGTTCTGGCTCATACTGACTTCCAGGAGACCCTCAGACTCTTTGATGGCTCACTTGAGTCTGTTTCTAAAAAATTTTTAGAAATTACCAGGTTGCTGTCAGCATCCTCTGAGGAAGATATTTGTTTTCTTTTGCCAGGTACCTGAAGTTTAGGGCCAGGACCAAAATTTGAAGGACATCTAGAGTATAGCCCACATCCACTTCAGGGTGAACCTTTCAAGGTCCCACTTCTGACAAAGATTGTTATATTCTGGTCCAGTCTTTGGTGTGTACTCTACTAGAAAGTCTGAGTTTACCAAGCAGCTCTTTTTTTCTCAGTTATATCCTATGATTAGGAAAACATCCTTGGAAAAGAAAAAATCCCTCTGGGGTGCAATCCTAGGAGTGGGTAAGAGATCTGACATAACCATAGTTTGTGCTCTCAGCAACTGAGGAATTAAGAGTAACTTTCCCTCCTCCTGGGAATCTGTCTAAAGCAGCTCAGGCTCTCCAGCCTCTCAGCACTGGTAAATGCTTCAAGGAAGAGAAGGTTTCAGTTCCCCTCTTTGAGATCTCACTTCCTCTCAGCTCAATGTCATTCAGTTACTCCATAATCTCTTTTGGATTTTATGCTTGTTCGTAGCTCCTTTTTGTATTTATTCTAGTTCATTTAGTTGTCTTCAGTCAATACTGGATATAGAAAGGCTGTCTGTTGTTAAATTCATTTTGCTCAGATTATGGGTCCTTTGAATTCTAAGATTCACAACCTTCTTTGATTCTGTTATTATTGCTTAAAGACTTTTCTTCCTCACATTTTCCTTTAGGTATCTCAGAATAGTGCTCAATTTTGTCCCTTTCTTCTTTCCTCAACTTTATCATGTAGCATGCTTGAACAGCTCAAGCCAGGGGTGGGTAATGTGCAGCCTAGGAAGTCAATGGGTCGTGCCCTGGCAAGGCAACCACAGGAAAGATTCAACATTCAATAAGACTACAGCAGGCTTTCTGACAACTCGGTATGGACAAATGAGGTTATAAACATGCAAATAGCCCCTGGCAGAAAAAAAGTTCCCTAATCCTAATATGGACAAATGTTTTTTAGTCACAGCTTTTGCTTTTGTAGGTACTCTGCCTGTCAGTTTCACACACGATGACCTAACTGCTCAACTCCACTTCATGTAATGCCAGTTATTAGTGCTTAATTTGGGTATCACATCCAGACTAAAATGCTGTATTTCCACAAATATTTTACAGTATCTCTTTGAAATGCTCCTGATACTGTGGACAACAAAGGATCCTCTTCCCCTTGTTCAACAAAGCTTCCTTGGCATATCAACAGCCCTTAACAGTTCTTTGCCTACCTGTTGCCTAGTGACTTGCAACCCCCTAACCACTGCTTTTGTAAATAAGTAAACTGCTGAGCCCTGATAAAACTGTACAGCAATGGCTGCAGCCAATCTTCTAACAGGTGAATGAGCAGATCAACTCAGACTGACAGGTGGGGTGGAGGTGGGGTCATCTTATGGTTCATGATAATGCTAAATGACACACCTCCAATGACCTATCAGTAACCATCTTTGAACCTGTGTGTTCAGGAGCAGGTGGGCCTGTCAGATAACACTCTTGGGCATCTTGTTTGACTATATTCTACTGGGGTAAAGGAGTAGGAACTGACTGTGGTGGTTCTCCTTTGGAGGGACCCTAACTCTTACCCTCTGCACAACAAGAGTATGGAGGTTATGGCTTCCTTGCCTTTTACATTCCTCACACCTAACTGTTCTGCTCCCATATGCTGTTTTTCCCCCCCCCGACAGGCAGAGTTAGACAGTGAGAGAGAGAGAGAGAGACAGAGAGAAAGGTCTTCCTTCAGTTGGTTCACTCCCCAAATAGCCACTATGGCCGGCACTGCACCCATCCAAAGCCAGGAGCCAGGTGCCCCCTCCTGGTCTCCCATGCGGGTGCAGGGCCCAAGGACTTGGGCCATCCTCCACTGCCTTCCAGGGCCACAGCAGAGAGCTGGACTGGAAAAGGAGCAACCGGGACAAAATCCGGCACCCCAACCGGGACTAGAACCTGGGGTGCTGGTGCCGCAGGTGGAAGATTAGCCTAATGAGCCGCAGCGCCGGCCCTCCCATATGCCGTTAATCACTATGTTATATATATTTTTACATATAATATTTGATACCAGTTAATACTCATTATGTGACAGATACAAGAAGATTTGAAAGTATCAGATCCTTACAAGAACCCTAGCTGGACAAACTGAAGCTTGGAGAGCTAAACAATTTGCCCAAGGTAACAGGGCAAATTCTGCTTTGGTATTTTTCAAAACTGGTATTCTTTTTAACAAAACAGCTGGCATTTCTAGATACTAGTGCAAACCCCAGAAAATCCAAAAATGTGAAAATTTACTTACTCTGTGCTTATTTATTAATGAAAATCTGCCACTGGAAATTCATACACCAGATTTAATATGATGTAATTCAGTCAAAGGGATTCAAATAGAGGAAAAATTCCAAATGTTTCATTATGATTAAAGACAACATAAGGAGGAGTTAATGTTGAGGGCTGGGGTAGGGGGTGAACAAAACGCCAAAACTCACACTTCCTCTCTACCAGAAAGGTTATTAAAGTCAACTTTTACTTCTCCAATTGAAATCTAAACAACTCAAAACAGATTTTTTTCCCTCCTTACTTCTTAAGGACTCTTTACCATTACTTTTCTCAGAATTTCAGCAAATCATATGGTGCTTAAAGAAAACAACTAAAAGCTAAAAATAAAAAAATAATCCAGGAGATTCAGTTAGTCTTTGCTTCATCCAAATATAAACATGATGAAAACACAATACAGGCATCATAAGTAACATTTTTATTTAGAAAGTATGCTGTCATTGGGAGTCTAAATTCAGAACTCATTAAATTCAATGCTTTATTCAATTTATTTCCATAAAACAACTAATCTGGCACTTTCATTAGAAGTACACTGATAGTACATTGTGTGTGTGGGGGGGGGGATGTCTGATAATGACTTCTAAGTTTCACTTAGCATTCCCCAGCAGAGTAGAGTACACACTGCACTGTGGATACTTCAGGACTCAGTAACTGTAAGCATCTACTTAAAAACTTAGTATACAAGATGTAAAATGAAAAGTATAAATAACAAACACTGAAAATTCTAGAACATACTAGACAACACTAAATAACCAAAACACAGCAGCACTTTAGACGATATCTTAGCAATAGTTTATTCTCTTCGTTTGCCTTTTAATGACTTATCTCTATTAGAAAAAAAAAAAAAGCGCAAGCCCAGGCAGTTTTTACAGCAAAACTCACCAAAAATGTTGGTCTTTACAGTAAGCGCAAGATGTGTATTGTTCCTCAAAATTTCAAGGGCCTTCACAATTGTAATATTCTCAAAGTTTTGTCCATTTACTTCCATTATCTTAAGAAAAAAGTGTTTGGAAAATACAAATTCAGATATCAACAGTATCAGTTACCTCTACAACCTTAAAAATTTAATAGTGGAAAAATAAAACAGAAATTGAGTGAAATATACCCTTATGTGAACAACTGTTACATTTCTAAGAATACAGACCACTGTATAATATTTTTCTATACATTCATATTGCTGTATTTCTCAAATTCTCCACTATAAGCCTTTGTTTGTTCTCTTGGGATTACATTAAGGAAAAAGTTTTTTAAACCACAGGATGGTTAAAACTGCAGAAAACAGTTTAATCATGTCAGATCAGCTCATAAAATTCATGTCTTTATACAGATGTACAAATTGGACCAAATATTCTATATGTACATTTACTGCACTTCAGAGACATAATTCATTCAAAAGCAGTCCTCTGAAAACAGTTAGTATGGTTTTCTTTTTTTAAAGATCTATTTTATTTAGTTGAAAGACAGAGTTAAACAGAGAGGTCTTCCATCCGCTGGTTCACTACCTAGATGGCTGGAAAGGCTGGAGATGAGCCGATGCAAAGGCAGGAGCTAGGAGCTTCTTCTGGGTCTCCCACACGGGTACATAGGCCCAAGGATTTGGGCCATATTCCACTGCTTTCCCAGGCCATAGCAGAGAGCTGGTGCCCTTAATGGGATGCCAGGACTTCAGGCCAGGGCTTTAACCTGCTGTACCACAGCACCGGTCCCTAGTATAGTTTTCTACTAGGGACGGGACTGCATTCAGTGGCAAGCAGCACAGAGATGGATTTGTCTTCCACACAAACACTGGAGATCCCTGACGGCACAGATGCACCAGTGTGGCCATTCCCCAGCATGCCAGTGACCTATGTAAAATTTTTCACTGTAAGAAAAAAAAAAAAGCCTAATGTCCCTAAGCAAAGAGAAGTAAGGACTAGGCAAAGAAATCAGAATGATATACATTTCTATAACTTCAATTTTCTTAGGGGAAAATCTCTATCACCAAAGAATTTTGTATTCCAGTGAATAATAGCAGCTTCAGACAGCATAGGATACATAAAACTTCAGTACACACTTGTTTTTCTGGGAAAATAATACTGAAAGTACTACTTAAGACAACTGAAATGTACTTGGGGATTTATGGCATAGTTGAAATGGAGTTGGTCACTGGAATCAGTAAAAGCAGATGAGAATGTCAAAATGATCCCTTTTAAGCTTTTAATGCTTAATTCAAATGACCAAAGTATTCTGGGGACCGGCACTGTGGTATAGTGGGTAAAGCTGCTGCTGCCTGCAGTGCTGGCCTTCCACATGGGCTCCAGTTCGAGTCCCAGCTGCTCCACTTCCGATCCAGCTCTCTGCTATGGCCTGGGAAAGCAATGGAAGACGGCCCAAGTCCTTGGGCCCCTGTACCTGCATGCAAGACCCAAAAGAATCTCCTGGCTTCGGATTGGGCAAGCTCCAGCTGTAGCAACCAACTGGGGAGTGACCCGGCAGATCGAAGACCTCTTTTTCACTCTCTTTCTGCCTCTCCTTCTCTCTCTGTGTAACTCTTTCAAATAAATAAATAAATCTTTTTAATAAAAAGTATTCTGGAAAAAGGATACATAATATTAAGCAAAATTCCCCCAACATTTAAAAAGTAGTTGCGAAGATTAAAGGTCAAAATGAAAGCATGACACGTTTCATTCTCCAGAATAAAATCATGGGAATTCAATAGTTTTTTCCCCCCTGTGAAGAAAACGTGATTTTTCAATGTGACTAAGACAAAATACATGAACAATAAAGGTACTAACTCCAGGACTGTGGCTATGAGACATTCTTAATGAGCAGTTTGGAGTAAGGCACAGAAATATTTGTTTTTTAAAAGCTCTTTTATAGGGCTGGCGCTGTGGTGAAGTGGGTTAAAGCCCTGGCCTGAAGCACCAGGATCCCATATGGGTGCTGGTTCGAGTCCCTGCTGCTCCTCTTCCTATCCAGCTCTCTGCTGTGGCCTACGAAAGCAGAAGATGGCCCCAGTCCTTGGGCCCCTGCATCCGTGTCAGAGACCTGGAGGAAGCTCCTGGCTTCAGATTGGTGCAGCTCTAGCCGTGGCCAATTGGGGAGTGAACCAGCGGATGGAGGACCTCTCTCTCTGTCTCTACCTCTCTCTTTAACTCTTTTCAAATAAATAAAATAAATCTTTAAAAAAAGCTCCTTTAAGGAAACAAAGGAATGGTTGCTACTTTTCAGGATTTTCTTAACCTCTCACACAAATGTTGGTTTGGATCAGCTGAAGGGTTATGCGAGGCACTGCAAGGTGGTCAGTACCATCCTTGCTACATGCCGGTAGTAATCTTCAAGTTATAATAAATAAAAAATATATCCAGACATTGCCAAATGTCCCTCATCAAGCGGTTGAGAATCACTGTTCTTTAGTACTAGTCACTTAAGTCACATTCTAAAAGAATAAACAAATTTTTAAATGCAAAAATGTTTCCTAAATGATTCTTATGAGCTACATTTTGGGAAACTATGCTTTGCACCCTCAATAATAATCTAGAAAATTCTGCTAAAAATAGACTACTAAACCTCATCTCTTAATATTGTGATGAACATGATTCATAGGACTGAGGTAATCTAGAGAACTGATGTTTTTATGGAACGAGGTTGTAAGTCTATCACAGTTTGAAATAAATCTATTGCCTACATGAAAAGCATAAATCACTATGAATTCCTCTAGTGTCACCTTTTTCCTAGTCCCTCACCAGGCTTATGCTACAGTATGGATACTACTAAATCAGATATCATCATTTACAGTAATCATTGCTCACGTACACTTGACAGCACTAAGTGGTAAAAAGTCCCTCTCCTTCAAAACATGCAAATGAGTGGACTCATATGGGTATACTGATCTTTCCAGAATATTCTGAGGCTGCTGGCTGATACTGTTTCCTATCCTCCTAGGGATGTACAGGCCTATGTAAAGGAGGTCATGCTGAGAGACATAAGCAGACCATGATGTTTCTAGCCAACTATGTCAAATTTGCTATAACATACATGTGACAAATACAAGTATATTTTTAAGATAAACCATATTAAATACTAATTTTAAAAAGAGGTTGAGGGGGCCAGCATTGTGGTGTAGTGGGTTAACGTCCTGGCCTGAAGAGCTGGCATCCCATATGGGCACAGGTTTGAGACCCCGCTGCTCCACTTCTGATCTAGCTCTTTGCTATGGCCTGGGAAAGCAGTAGAAGATGGCCCAAGTCCTTGGGCCCCTGCACCTGCGTGGGAGACCCGGAAAAAGCTCCTGGCCTTGGATCGGTGCAGTTCCAGCCATTGCGGCCAATTGAGGAATGAACCAGCAGATGGAAGACCTCTCTGTCTCTCTCTCTGCTTTTCCTCTCTCTGTGTAACGCTTTCAATTTTTTTTTTAAAAAAGAGAGGTTCAGAAAAATATTTCTTTTTCTTTTTCTTTTTCTTTTTCTTTTTTTTTTTTTTGACAGGCAGAGTGGACAGTGAGAAAGATCTTCCTTTTGCTGTTGGTTCACCCTCCAATGGCCGCCGTGGCCAGCACACCGCGCTGATCCGAAGCCAGGAGCCAGGTGCTTCTCCTGGTCTGCCATGGGGTGCAGGGCCCAAGCACTTGGGCCATCCTCCACTGCACTCCCTGGCCACAGCAGAGGGCTAGCCTGGAAGAGGGGCAACCAGGACAGAATCCGGCGCCCTGACCAGGACTAGAACCTGGTGTGCCAGCGCTGCAAGGAGGAGGATTAGCCTATTGAGCTGCAGCACTGGCCGAAAAATATTTCTTTAGAGTGACCAAGCTTACTTGAAAACATACCAGATCTGTCAGCCCCTCCTGGGCTTACAGTGATTTCCACCCTGAGCTCTAGACACCGAGGTTCTAGTCCCGGTCGGGGCACCGGATTCTGTCCCGGTTGCCCCTCTTCCAGGCCAGCTCTCTGCTATGGCCCGGGAGTGCAGTGGAGGATGGCCCAAGTGCTTGGGCCCTGCACCCCATGGGAGACCAGGAGAAGCACCTGGCTCCTGCCGATGGATCAGCACGGTGTGCTGGCCACGGCGGCCATTGGAGGGTGAACCAACGGCAAAGGAAGACCTTTCTCTTTCTGTCTCTCACTGTCCACTCTGCCAGTCAAAAACAAAACAAACCAAAAAAAAAAAAAAAGAAAACATACCAGATGAGAACAAAAGTAACAGACATATCACTTAAAAAGCAGCTTTAATTTAAGGAGTTGGTTATTTACTTACTTGATCGCCACGTTTCAACCCTGCATCAGCAGCTTTGCTACCTGGTTCTACCCCTTCAACAAAAACGCCAAATCCCTTCTCACTTCCTCCATTAAGGCTGAAATGCAGAGGGGACTCCCGGGAAGCTTTCTGCAGTACAACCTGTCTCCACTTAGCCTTTGCAGCACAAGCAATATTCAATAACCGCAGATGACCATTCATTTTCTGTTAAAAATACAAAAAATGGAAACACGCACATAAATATATCTAGTTCTAGGGCTTTTTAGACAATGACTTAATATTACTGGAATTAGGGCTATAAATATAAAGACTACATAACATGTTAGGGTGGGGTTAAATAAAACTGAAGGATAGAAAAGCCAGCATTGAGACACAGAGGGTTAAGCTGTTTGCGATACTGGTATCCCATACTGGAGTAGAAGTTAAGTCCCAGGGCCTAGGAATACAGGAGAAGATGACCCAAGTATTTGGGCCCTGCTACCAACATGTGAGACCCAGATCAAGCTGTTGGCTCCTGGATCCAGCTGTGCCCAGTCCTTGCTTCTGCAGCCCTTTGTGGAGTCAATCAGCAGATGGAAGACCCCTCTTTCTTGCAAATACATAACATACACACACACACACACACACACAAAATCAACCTGAAGGAGAGGACACTCCACCTCCCAATAACAAGTTCTCTTAATATGTATGACCTTTAAAGATTTTCAGATATTTGTAGAGTTAGAGAAGACAAAAAATTACTTCTCACTTCCTGAACCTTTTTAATATACATTCTACTCCTTTCTTGCTTCCAGCTGTTCCATAAAACCAGAATCTTTTTAACCCTTTATTCAAAATGTTTAACTGGAACCACATTTCTAAACATTATATTCAAAGACACATTCACATTTCCATGTCTTCCAGGAAATATTGCTTATACTATTTTAGTTCTTAAACTCAGCAACATTCTAACTTATAATCCCAGTCCATAAAAAGAAGCTCAAGTTTTTATCAGGGCAAGGAGTAAGTCTTAAACTTGTTCTAATTCTATTTAACACTCTTGAATATAAAGCAGAACAAACAAACAACAAAAAGTAAATACTTATGATGGACTGACTGCTGAGAAAAAAATTCCTTGACTGTAAGGCAGCTTCCACATCCCAGCATCCTCAAATATCTACACGGCACTGCAAGAGTCAAATGACGGTAGTGTGCTCCTGTCAGTTTCCTCTCTTCATTTTATACAGATCAGATGTGCTACTGAGAAGTCTAAAGGAACCATGGGCTAAGGAAGCGGAACAAACCTACCGATGTTCCCCTCTTCATTCAACTCAATCCACTTCTTCTCTATGAATAATACAGTTCTTGAGTATTTACCATGTGCCAGGTTTCCATATTGTTATAATCATTAGCTCATTACAATCCTCCTAATAATTTCAATGAAATATGGACTACTATCTTTTTAAATATAACTACAGCTTACAGTATCAGGCAAATTTAGCACAAATTCACACACCTACCAAGAGGTACAGTTTGGATCCTAACTGGCTAGCTGACTTCTAAGCTCTTAAACTACAAAGCTGTACTATTATTTCTTTCCTAACACTTCAAGTTTGCAGCAGACAAACCAGTCACAGTTCAACCTTTTTTATCTGGGGGCAGGTGTGGTGGTACAGTGGGTTAAACCACTGCTTGGGACACACGCATCCCATACTGAAGTGTCTGATTTGTGTGTTGGCTCCTTCATAATTCCAATCTAGCTTCTTAGTAACACGGTTGGGCGGCAGCATAACATGGCTCAAGTACTTGGATTCTGGCCACACATGTGGGAATCCCAGGTGTAGTTCCTGGCTCCTGGCTTTAGAAGGCATTTGGAGAGTGAATCAGCAGATACAAAATTTCTCTCTCTCTCTCTCTCTCCCTCCCTCCCTCCCTCCGTCTCTTCTTCTCAGTCAACTCTATCTTCCAAATAAACAAAAAACAAAACAAAAGCTTTTTGTCTGATGGGGAGAATAAAATGCATTCACGAAAGCTACTGTGTAAGTTAAAAAGACCTTCTATCTTAGGAATGATATGCAGAAAGGTGACCCAACAACCGTTACTGCAGATCTGATATGCGAGATATGAACTGAAGCTTGCACAGAGTTTCAAATAGTAGGACTTAGGCAAACGAATTTCAGTGCAGAACTAGTCAAGAGTACAAAACAGTCTCAGTGGCCTATAATCTAAGGTATACAAGGAAAATGCTGAAAAGGAAAATATGGCTGAATATACGGGTGAGAAACTACTTAGGTAGGAAACATGGTTTACTGACAAGGACAGCAAAATTCATCATATAGGCTGAATATACGGGTGAGAAACTACTTAGGTAGGAAACATGGTTTACTGACAAGGACAGCAAAACTCATCATATTTGTAGTTTAGGATGGTCTTTTGGCTACAGAGAAGAGACTAGAAAGGAAGACTCTTTCCTGGTGGTAGGAAACTGCTAAACTTGAAGATAAATGCTTCTGAACCTTACCGTATCTTCTAGATGTTTTTCAAATTCCTCTAGAAAACGAGTCATGGCAGGATCACCTTCAAAATCATTAAAATGATTATTTACCCACAATAATACAATCCGTGTCACCTGTGGAAACAGAGGAGGTAGCATATGGTTATAAAAGACATTCTTTTGAAAAAGTAGGTTTAAAAGACACATCCAAAACTGAGAGGAACTCAGCTTTATGGCTAACCTTCCTTCTTCCTCCCTTGTACACAAAAGGTTCATTTAAAAGGAGGCATGATTTAGTTTGTGCACCTGCTTCCTTGTGTGTAAAAATAACAGAGCCAGAACTCAGTGAGAAGACAACCTTGTATGCTGACATGTAAGAATTATATGAAACCTATGAGAGGACTTCAAACGTTCGTGGGAAATCCCCACTGTCTTTTCATTCCATTCTACCATACTTTTTTTAATTTAGTTATATTTATTTTCTTATTTGTTTCTAAGATTTATTTATTTCTTTGAAAGGCGGAGAGACAGAGAAAGACAAAGAGAGAAAGACAAACACAGACACATAGGCAGAGATCTTCAACCCAATGAATCACTCTCACAATAGGTACAAAAGCAAAGAAACAGGGATTTCATCCCTTTCCCACATGGGTAGTGGGGGCCAAGTACTGGGGCCATCTTCTGCCTTCACAGATGCATTAGCAGGAAGCTGGATCAGAAATGGAGAAGCCATGAGCTGAACTGTCACTCTAATAAGGGATGCTGGCATTGTAGTCAGCAGCTTAACCTGCCGTGCCACCACGTCAGACCCGGTTTGTTTTCACCTACTTGAAAGGCAGAATGAGAGAGAGAGAGAAAGAGTGACCTCTGAGAGAGAGAGTTCATTTGCTGGTTTGCTTCCCAAAGGCCTGCAACATCCAGGGAGGGGCTGGAATTAAATCTGAACCTGGAACTCCATCCGGGTCTCCCACATACGTAGCAGCGGCCCAAACACTGAAGCCGTCATCTGCTGCTTCCCAGGATACATTGTCAGTAAGCTGATGTGAAGTGGCAGTGCCAGGACTTGAACCAGAATGTCCACATGCAATGTGAGTATCCCAAGCAGTAGCTTCAAACAACTATGCCACAAAGCCTATGCCCCTTCCATGAACCTTCTGAAGTCTCCTCATTTACTTCAGACAGTATTTTAAAATCTAGCTTTGTATCATAAATACAGTCAATTGTTTTTTTTTTTTTGTTTTGTTTTGTTTTTTGACAGGCAGAGTTAGTGAGAGAGAGAAAGGTCTTCCTTCCGTTGGTTCACCCCCTAAATGGCCACTACTGCTGGCGCTGCGGCGATCTGAAGCCAGGAGCCAGGTGATTCCTCCTGGTCTCCCATGTGGGTGCAGGAGCCCAAGCACCTGGGCCATCCTCCACTGCCCTCTTGGGCCACAACAGAGAGCTGGACTGGAAGAGAAGCAACTGGGACTAGAACCCTGCGTCCATATGGGATGCTGGTGCCGCAGGCGGAGGATTAACCAAGTGAGCCACGGCGTCAGCCCCTGTCAATTTTTTAAAAAGGGTTTCTGTAACCAAGAACATATTCAACGAAAATTAGTCAATTTTCAAAGTGCTGAAGTAATTTATTTTACTCCAGAGATTAAAAGTTAAAAATTAATATTAAGATAATTTGAGTAACATGTCTAAATAGCAATGTAACTGACTTTAGTCATATTTTAAAACTGATGGAACACACATAAAATTTACCATTATTACATAAATTTAGGTGGCATTCAGTGTATTTTGTAATGTTGCATTATCTTTACATCATCTAAGATCCAAAATGTTTTTATCACCCCCTCAAAAAACCAACCAAACTTATACTCAGTGAGAAGTCACTTCCCATTCTGCCATCTTTTCAGCCCCCTATATTGTTTTGATATGTGTGTGTGTGTGTGTGTGTGTGCGTGTGTTTTGCCTATTCTGGATATTTCATAAAAATACAACTATCTAATAGTAGTCTTTGGTGTTTCCACAGAGGCTGTAACACTTTACATTGCCATCTTCAGTGTGGAGCCACAGGGGCTGGGGAACCTACGTATTTGGCCTGTGATAGCATTTGGCCTGGCCCTGCCAACACAACTACAGGTAGGACTCAAAATGCTATCAAGCTATAGCAGGCTAAATTTTAAGCTGAAGATTTTGTATGGCCCGCAGATGATGTCATAAATATCCAAATGGCCCTAGCTAGAAAAAAGTTTCCCCACCACTGAAAGTGGATAAGGTGGTCTAATACCTGCAAATCCTTTGCAATTTTTTACTTATTTTTTAATATTTTTTGACAGATAGAATTAGACAGCGAGTGAGACAGAAAGGTCTTCCTTCCGTTGGTTCACCCCCCAAATGGCCGCTACAGCTGGAACTATGCTGATCCGAAGCCAGGAGCCAGGAGCTTCTTCCTGGTCTCCCATGCAGATGCAGGGGCCCAAGCACTTGGGCCATCCTCCACTGCCTTCCCGGGGCCACAGCAGAGAGCTGGACTGGAAGAGGAGCAACCAGGACTAGAACCCGGTGCCCATATGGGATGCAGGCGCTGCAGGTGGAGGATTAACTAAGTGAGCCAGGGCGCCAGCCGCAATTTTTTTTTTTTTTTTAAACAAGCCATTCTAATGGATATGAAGCAGTATCTCATCGAGGTTTTCAAGTGTATTTCCCTAGACTAGTGATGCGGAACATCCTTTTCTTGTGCTTGCTGGCCATCTACACGTGATCTTCACACGAATATCTATCAAGTCTTTTGTCCATTTTAAAATAATGCTGTCTTTCTGTTACCGAGTTTAAGAACTCTTTATAATTCTGGGTACCACACCTGTATCAGATATATAATTTGTAAATATGTTCTCTCATTTTGTGTTTTCTTATCTTTCCTGATGATGTGATGTCTTTGATGTAGAAAAGGTTTTACTTTTGATAAAGTCCAATTCATCGACTTTTTCTTTCATTTTAACTGTCATTTCAGAGACACTATTGCCATATCCAAGGTCATGATGATTTTCATTTATCTTTCCTTTTCAAGGTATGTATTAATAATTTTAGCTCATATATTTATTTAGTTCTCTAATTCATTTTGATTAAAATTCTGTAGATGTGTATGGATGACTTTTCTGAGTCTAATTTCATCTCTTCCATGTGGATATCTAATTATCCCTGTATATTTTATTCTCTAAGCCTGCTTTTATCTTCTCAGCAATCAAATTAGCTATATTTAATTCCAAAAAAGGGGGAAGGAAGGACATGCTTGTGGTTTTCGATACTTTAATTCTCCTAAACAACAGGATTCCAGTCTGCCTCCATAAAAATTATTTCCTTCAAAATGTAACTGAGAGGGGCCGGCATTGTGGTGCAGCAGGTTAAGTGACACAGGTATCCCATGTAAGTGCTGTTTCGAGACTCACCTGCTTGCTTACAATCCAGGCCCCTGCTAATGTACCTGGCAAAGCAGTGCAAGATGGCCCAGGTGTTTGGGCCCCTGCACCCATATGGGAGACTCAGATGCTGCTCCTGGCTCCTGACTTCTGATTGGCACAGTTCTGACCATTGGGGTCATTTGGGAAGTGAACCAGTGGATGGAAGATCAATCTCTTTCAAATCGTTTACCTTTATATTTGTATATACATATACATACACATACATACACACACACACACACTCAGACCCAAGATAATTATGGTCCTATTTTTTATTTTTTCAAGTCAACTTATTTCCTGCTTATTTGCTATGGTATTATTAACTTTTACATTAAATGTACAAACACAACTCATGAAATAAGAAGTCTATTTAAAACAGCAACAACATTTAACATAAAAAATACTCAAAACATAGAATTAAAAATTAACAGGAGAGATAAATTAAGGTTTGACAAATGGCTTTCAAATTATCATAAAGTCTGTAACGCAAGAAAAATCAATTTTCCTATTCTAAGGCTTAAAAACAATGTAAGCCCTGTTTTACAAAAATTCTGATCCAGCTCCCTGCTGATGAACGGGGCAAAGCAGCAGAGGATGGGACAAACACTTAGGTCCCTACCCCCATGTGGGAGACCCAGAAGAAGGTCCTGGCCTCTGCCTGACCCAACCCCTAGCCATTACAGTCATTTAGGGAGTGAACCAGTGGATGCAAGATTTCTCTTTCTCTCTGTCTCCCTTTCTTTCTCTGCAACTGTCTTTCAAATAAAAATTAAAAAACAACAATCTTTTAAAATTATTAATCAGCTTTTGAATGTTTTATGGCCTTGAGAAACAATGAACTATTTTGTTAAGATTCTAAAATACTCTCAAAAGTTTCTAAATTTACAACTACACCATATTCTATTTGTTTTTGTCTTTTAATGCTTGTGTACACTTTTAACATGCTATTATGTCACCAAAGTAGAGGTGTGTCTATACTTATGCATGCTATCAAAGCAAGCATTTAATCAAGTACAAAAGTTTTCATGAATAAAACTTGAAAATTCACACACTTTATATTTAAAAACCAACCTTATCTCTTAAGCTGTCAATCTTAAACCACTCCAGTAGTTTAATACCAACATCCAAAGGACTTTCAAGAAATGTCCTATATGTTAGTAAGAAATCTTCTATGTAAGTTGGATCCACAATTGAATGTTCTTCTATTAAGTGCATGATGAGACGCTCAGGTGTTGCCTAAAAGTTTAAGCACACAAAGAATTAGGAAATAAATAGCTCAGGAACAAAAATCTTTTGTTGGCTTCCTTTTGTACTCCTCTACACAAGACCCCAAAGTAGTTTCACCTTTAAACCTTAGCAATGGGAAAAGTTATTCTCCTTAGCTTGTAATCCAGCAACAGTCAAAGATTCACAGAAAAGGTAGAGGAATAAATACCCAAAAGCATTCAGGCAGCTTTAACTGTTTCACTGGCATTTCATCACTGCAAGGCCTTTGAATATCACTGACTTACCCCTGGTATGGGTAGCTTCATCCACTCTTGCTGTAATCGGTACATATAACAAATGTCTTAAGACAACAGAAGGAAAAGGTGAGAGGTTTAAAAAAAAAGGGGGGGGGGATAAAAGCAAGCTTTCTTCAATTTTAATCCACCTAAAATTCTTTTGTGTTCACAAGCTGCTGGAACAACATCAGGTTCAAGACACCCTACTCTTCTGTAGTTTCTCCACCCTGAGAGGAACTACAAATTCTATAGCATTTGTATTCATAGTTTTTGTCTGTATTCAAATTTATAAAAGTTAGGTAAACATTCTTCTTTTTCTCTTTCAGCTCTGAAATGAGTACTAAAATTTACTAGTCTTGTAGCTGTTTCAGAAGGGACTACACAGAACATAACAGAAATGAACCAGATGAAGTTCTTGGGGCAGGCACTGAACCTATCAGACACAGCTTCCTGTTAATGCAGACCCTGGGAAGCAGCAGCAATGCCTAAGGTGACTGGAATTCTGCCACACACGTCGGGGACCTGGATTGAGTTCCCCATTCTAAGCTTTGATCCTAGCTCAAACCTGGCCATTTACAGAAGTTATGGAGGAAACTAACAGATGGTAGGTATCTCTATATGCCTCTCCAAAAACGAAAACAAAGTGCTGCCAGGGACAGTGCTCTGGCATAGGTTAAACTCTGCCTGCAGTGTCAGCATCCCATATGGGTGCCGGTTCGAATATCAGCTGCTCCACTTCCTATCAAGTTTCCCGCTAATGCACCTGGGAAAGCAGTGAAAGATGGCCTAAGTCCTTGGGTCCCTGCATCCACGTGGGAGACCCAGAAGAAGCTCCTGCATCCTGGTTTCAGATCAGCCCAGCTGCAGCCATTTGGGGGATGAGCCAGCAAATGGAAGCTCGCTCTCTCTCTCTGCTTCTCTCTGTATACCTTTCAAATAAATAAATAAATCTTTAAAAGACTTGCTGCCATCATTCCAAGCTTGACAACCATTCGTTGTCAAGAATAACTGTAGGGTAATTACACATTAATATTAACAATGTTCTTATTTAACAAATGATTTCTTTTTTAAAAAGCATCCAATACTAATAAGGAATCTAACCCATTTCTCTAGAAGGGAGTCAGAAGTCTCCACCACGGCTCTTCAGATAACTCACTTAAGGGACCAGGAGACTACAGGCCATTCCTCTTTCTACCCTCTAAAACACTCTAAGAGTACGAAACTGGTTTTACTGCTCAGGCCAACCACAGGTAGGGCAACTGAAATGGAGTTCTTAGACAATGTATAGCTAAGTCAGCGGTGAGAACTAATCAACCTTAAGAGAGGTGCCTATTATTCCAATTGGTTAATTGATGAGACAGGGTCTTGACAGTAGGTGATCCATTCACATACATACACGGACAAGTCACTAATGAACTCATTAGCACTCACAAAGGTGGGACTCTGGGAGACAGGGAGCACAGATGTGGCAGGCGAGAGAGACAGCTGGCAGGGTTATGCCTGCATGGTATATAGTTAGCAAGTATATAAAATTGCAAAGCCTAACAGGAGCTCTTGCTGGAGAAGATACCTAAATACACATAAGGAAAAGCCTAGAAAAGATCCTGTGACATAGCAGTGCAACTGCAAATTTAGATACAAAGTCACAATTGTTTACTACATACAGACAAAAAAGTTACACATGTATATGTATACACATACAGGCGCTACCCAGCTGTGTCTCATGAGAGGCTCTAAAAGCAAAGATAATTCAGCAGTGAAGAATACAGAGACTGCTTGTGTCTTGATTTATACTATACATCTTTCACAAAAGCATCCAGGGCACTCTGGAGAAACGGCCTCTTCCAGAGCTGGAGTACTGAAAGTTCACAGTAAGTCTTACTATTTGCCTGAAAAGAATGAAGTGCTCTCAGAATAATGGCGGCATGTGAAAATATGGGAGCCAGCCTTAAGAGCGTACTTACTAGTACTGCTGACAAGGAAACACACCACCCTAGTCTATACCAATATAATTAATGAGGGAGCATAGAAAACTGACCTTCAATCTACTAATTAACATAAGTGTAGAAGAAATGACAGAAATAGCTATTTTCTGTAGAATAATAAATGGAAGTAAGGACTAATAAGTTGAGGTTCATACCTCACTTGTGGATAGCGCATTCACACACTATGTCAGGACATATCTCCACCAAACACTTTTCAATGACACAGGGTGAAATGGTGAATTTACAGGAAGAAGCTAGGTAGACAGATACCAACATAACCAGGTCATCAAGGTTAACTATTGGACAGGTTGACATCGTATGCCCCCTAATACAATGCACTGACAAGAGAACAGAATTTCTGTGGAATTCCTGTCAGCAAAGCATAGCCTGACTCAGGTCAGGGGAAACACCAGATACTCCCACTGGAGAGTCATGACTATACGGCATTCTTTACAACTGTTGAGGATACCAATAACAGGTAAAGACAGAGAAACTTGAATAGATGGGAATGACATGATAGCAAAATGTAACTGCTCTTGGCTGGCATCCTGGACCAGAAATGAAAAGACAGAGATTTCTGAGACACTAGGTAAAAATCTAAATAGGGTCTCTGTGCTAAATGGTTTCTTTTTAACAATGTATTCCCAATTTGAAGGATTCTACATCGTTTTATGTAGGAGAGGGTTCTATTTAATAGACTATCTGCAGAGTGCTCTCAAATGATTAAAGACTGATAATGGAGCAAATGCAGTGAAATACTAAAAGATGGGGAATGACTGAAGGCGCTCTCAACACTATTCTTGCAGGCTATCTCTAAGATTGAATATTAGTAAACAGGGATGGCCACTAAAAGATAAAATGGATTAAAATGAAGAAGTATTATAGTAGTCTATGAGAGCCAACTCATATGTTCACCTTTTCTACATTCATCAATTGGGGGGGGGGGGGGAGGCAGCTTTGAGGAACACCCTGATGCCCCTGGGAAGAATGTCTACGACGTTCAGATCATCTCTGATTTATTTCATTCATGCGATTAAATAAACCACTCCACCTGCAATTTATAACAAAATACTTTGCAATCAAGACTAGACAAACAATTACACATGTATTTCCTCTCTCTCAACTGTAACTGCTCTATTTTCCACCTATAGGTCTTTAAAGAAACAAGGAGGGGAAAGGCATTATGGCGGTGGTGGCAGCAAGATACTTAGAGAAGGGAAAAGACACAGGGATTAATACTCTGACTCTACAATTGTGCTAATACTTCAATTTAGCACATTTAGTCCTACAAGACCTGCTGTGTTGACTCCATTTTCAGATTAGAAAAGCAAGTTCAGAGAAGCTGATACCTATCACAACGCTGCAGAGATCTATCAAGTCCTCTGCATTTTCACTTAGGGCTCCTTGTGGCTTTATATCTAGTCCTGCAATTTCCTGTTTTGTTTCTAAATATTACTGCCTTTAATGAAATCAAATGCCATTATCAATGAGTTATAAAATCGAGAAGGAAAACTGTGACTAGAATATTCCAAAATAGTACCTTACCCACACTAACATTAAATAGCAGTAAGTTCTTCATCATTAAAATGCATCAAAACCAACTCAAAAAAGATTTTTAATGCATTACTGAACTATCTTCAACTACCCAAAAAGCGATTCAAAGCCTTTTTGAAGCAAGATGAAGGGTTTATTCTATCAGTGAGTAGAATAATAAATAATAATAATAATAATAACACCTACCTTGATTACAATGTGTCCTTTCCTGGTTCCACTCCGATCAAGTTCACGGTGCTCATGCACCATAACAATTTCTCCCTCTTCCTCGACTTTATGGGTATTTTTTTCCACATGATTTAAAATTCTCCAATAATCCTGCTGGGCTATGCAGACAAACTGTCCAAGAACAACATGGGGACAATTAATGAATCTGTAGTACATAAAAATATCACTATGTACCAAGGCAGAGCACAAAGGTAAGAAATCAAGTGGCATCAGTTCTTTTTCTTTCAATTACTTTAATTCTTAGCAAAAAATAAATAAATAAAAGCAAGACTATTTATACAAAGAGAGCAAAGAAGTAATTCCGTATGATTCTGCTCCAAAAGGAGAAGTTACTATTGAGTTCTCTCTAAACTGACAATTTGAAGCTCCAGTAAGTTAGAAACAAACAACTCAGAAGTTCCCATTTCTTTCTTTTTATTAAAAAAAGAGACTCCGAGCTAGCAAATTTCAGACAGAAATGCAACAAACTAGTATTTATTTAATAAATTCATGGTTAAAAATGTAGCTTACTAAATTCCACAAATATCTGATACAGATATACAACCTGGTTTCTCTTATTATCTGTAAGCTACTGAAACTCCAAATTCTCACATAAAGCTCTTTTGAGGAAGAAACAAACAGGCTTAGACATTTTAAAGTAAACAAGCAAGAGTATCTGACTGTGGCAGAGTGGGTAATGTCACCACTTGCAGCACAGGCATCCCGTATGGGTGCCATTTTGAGTCCTAGCTGCTCCACTTCTGATCCAGCTCCCTGCTAGTGAACCTGGGAAAGCAAAGAAAGATGGCCCCAATACTTGAATCCCTATATCCATGAGGGAGACCTGCAGGGGCTTTTGGCTCCTGGCCTGCCCAGCTGTGGCTGTTGCAGCCATTTGGGCAGTGAACCAGAGGACAGAAGATCTCTCCTTTTATCTCTCTGTAACTTTGCTTGTAAAGTAAATAAAATAAATCTTAAAAAAAAAAAAAAAGTGTTTGACCTAAGATAACCTTACCTGACAATCATCTACTTTCGTCCTGACAACTCCATGCATGTACTGTTTATCCAGAGAGGGAGTAATTCCAAAACTATTTCCCATAAAGAGATTTTCAACTTTCCCATCTGGATGACTAATTTCCACAGTGCCATTTAAAATAACATACCACGAGTCAAGCTATAGAGAAAAACAAAGGTCTTTAGAATATTTTTAAAAAGACAAATAATCTTAATTATGAAGAAGAATACATTTATATCTACATCTCTCTCTATATATATAACTTGCATAACTTTAAAAAGGAAATCTGGTTATATTACGAAATACTTAGTCATTAACACTCTAGGCCTTGTCTATGCCAACCACCAACACTTACTTCACTGTTTCTTCTTTTGGGCATGAAGAGAAAGTAGAAACTTTAATAATTTATAAAATTCTCTGAGGGAAAAATAATGTAGTAAAAACACAAACTCTCAGAATCTTAATCCGGACCTGACTGCTGACTATCTAAGTGATGCCGGTACATGAGAAAACCTCCCCGTGTCTCAGTTCTCTACTGCTAAGATGGCCATAACAACAGTATCTATGACAGAACCACTCTAGTATTTGAATGAGTTAACAAATATTAAGGGCACTCAGCAATTACTGCCTTACTGCCTGCTCCCCTAAAACAGTTAGTGATACAGAAAAACTGTAAAAGCCTGAATTTTAAGGCATATCTAACAAAATAGTCTAAATTTCTAATGTTAACAAAACTTTGCTTTTTTATGGAAGTATTTAATGTTCCAAGGAGTTCACTTCAAAGGTCTACTATTTATCCATGAATATTACTTATTCTCCTTTAATATCCAATCCCTCTCAAACTTAAGCTCAAACTTTTCATAGTTGTAATGTAATTTAAAGGAAATCTAGAAAAACACAATTCAACAAGCACTTATCTTCTTTGACCACTGTGGAATACAACTAGAAGTCAATAAGAACTTAAACAATACAAAGAAATTAAACGACACACTTCTGAATTAACCATCGGGTCACTATACAAAAGAGATTTTAACTATTTCTTGAAACAATGAAAATGGAAATATATCATACCAAGGGTCCAAGAGATATGGGCAGGTGTCTGGCCTAGGAGTTAACATACAAGATAGGCTATCTGTATCCCATATCAAAGTGACTGGGTTTAATTCCCAGCTCTGCTCCTGATTCCAGCTTCCTGATGCTGTGTACCCTTTGAGTTCCTGGCTCCAGGCAGTGGCCTGACTCAGCTCCAGTTGTTGTAGACAGTTGAGAAATGAGCTAGTGGATAGGAGAACACTCTCTCCATCTATCTGCCTCCTTGTCTGGCTCTCAAATAAGCCAAACAAATAAAAAATAAAATTTATTGTTTAAGTAGCACAGAGATGGAAAATTGTTAGCAATTAATGTTTACATTAAAAACCAAAAAGATCTTAAATAATCAACTTATCACTACACCTGAAAGAACCAGAAGAATATGTGCAAATCAAATCCCAAATTACACGAACTACTAAGATCACAGCACAAATAAATGAAACAGAGATTAGAACAAAAGAAAAATATGTGAAAACAAAAGTTGGGCTTTCCAAAAGATAAACAAAATGGACAGACCTTTAGTCAGGTAAACCAAGAAAAAAAGGGAAGATCCAATAAATAAAACCAGTAGTGAACAAGGAGGCAGTACAACTGATGGTAGAGGAATAAAAAAGATTAAGGACAAATTGGAAAACTCAGAAGAAATGGGTACACGTCACACGTCACATAATCAAAGTTGAACCATGAGGACATAGAATGTCTGAACAACATGACAAGTTATCAAAGACTGAAGCAGTACTGAAAAGCATTTCAACAAAAACGATCAGAAACTGACAGCTTCACTGCTGAATTCTATAAAAGATTATGTTATTTCTCAGTAATTTCAAAAAATTGTAAAGGAAGGAACTCAGCCAAATTCATTTTATTAGGTCAGCATTATTCTATCAAAACCAGATGAAGACATAACAAAAAAGAAAACTACAGATTAGTATTCCGATTAACAGACATGTTAACAAATACTTAATACGAGCAAATCAAACCCAACAGCACATCAAAAACACTGAATACTCTCATCAAGTGGGATTTATGTGAGGAATTCAAGGATGGGAGGCCTCAACACACAACGAATATACAACATCCACAGGCTGAAAGACAAACACCATATAATCACCACAGCAGACACAGAGCAAAGCATTCAATAACACTTAACACCATCCCTCAACAAGCTGGGCACACAACACATTTCAACATAATAAAGGCTTTATATGATAAACTCAGACATCATGTTAAATGGAGAAAGGCTGAAAGCATTTCTTCTAAGATCTGAAACAAGGATGTCCACTTTCACTGCTTCTGTTAAATGTGATACTGGAAGCTGCAGGCAGTGAATTAGACAAGAAAGGAAAAAGTTAAATTCTCCTAATTTGCAGATGGCAGTACCTTATAAATAAAAAAAAAACCTAAAGATTCCAACAAAAACCTGCTCATATTCTAAACAAATTCCACAAAGTTGCAGGATATAAAAACAACATACAAAACACAGCAATATTTTTATATGCAAATAATAAACTGGCTGAAAAAGAAATTTAAAAAGCAGCCCTATTCCACACACACACACCCCACCACATACCTAGGAATAAACAAACCCCAGGAAATTAAAGACCTCTATAGTAAAAATTCTAAAACACTGATGAAAGAAACAGAGGACTCAAAAAAATGCAGAGGACACGAAAAAATAATATTGGTAAAATGTCGAAACTACTGAAAGTGATCTACAGATTCAGTTCAATCTCCATCAAAATATCAATGATATTCACAATGACAAAATTGAAAAAAATAATTACTAAATTTATATAGAACCATAAAAGACCTAAAGTACTCAAAGCAATTATGAAGAGAAAAAAATTTAGAGGCATAATACCTGACTTAAAACACATTACAGGGGCTGGCGCTGGGGCATAGCAAGTTAAGTCACAGCACACGGTGTCGGCATCCCAGCCGAGTCCAGGCTGCTTTACTTCCAGTCCAGCTCCCTGAAGGGAAACCCACAGAAGTGGACCAAGTCCTTGAGCCACAGCACCCAGATGAGAGACACCGTGAGCTCCTGACTCCTGATCAGCCCAGTTCTGGCAATTGTGGCCATTTGGGGAGTGAGCCAATGGATTCTCTCTCTCTCTCTGCTACTTAGCCTTTCAAACAAATAATCTTTAATAAAAAACACATTACAAAGCTGTACTACTCAAAACAGTGCAGTCGTGCCATTAACAGAAGACACTCAGACCAACAGAATGTAATAGAGACCCCAGAAACGAAGCCATGTATCCTGAAGCCAAGTGATCTGGGACAAAAATGCTAAAGACATATCCTGGAGAAAGGACAATCTAACAAACAGTGCTGGGAAAACCAGACATACATATACAAGAATGAAACTAGACACCCTTTACCCCACCTCTGACCAAAGAAAAATCAATTCAAAATGCATCAATGACCTAAATCAACAAGCTAAAACTAAGAAACTATTAGGCTAAGACATTTCAAGACTTTGGGATACGCAGCTTTAAAACAAAACAAAACAAAACAAAACAAAACAAAACAAAAAAACAAAAAAACTTTTTTAAAATAACACTCCAAAAATGCAGACAGCAAAAGCAGCACTATACACATGCAAAAAAAATTCCACATTCATCAAATATTAAGAACACATAAGGAGCTCAGTACTAAAAATCCATCTGATTAAATCCCACTACTGGGTATATCTGTATGCTCATGCTGATCACACCACTATTCCAGAACCAAGATATGAAATCAACCAAGATATCTATTTACAGATAAATAGATTAAAAAATGTAATAAATATATATACATACAATAGTATGCTGAAATATAGCAATGAAACCCTATTTTTGTGACAACATGGACAGCACTAGAAGGTATTATGTTAAATAAGTAAAGCCTAAAAGGCAAATACCTCACGTTTTCATTTGCGGAAGTGAAAAACGCTGATTAGATAAAGCAGACAGTAAAATGGGGATCATCAGAATCCAGATGACAGACAGGCAGGGAAACGTCAGAGTGTGGGTAACGGGTACCAAAGCACAGAGGGCTCTAATGCCACATAGCTTAGCAGGGTTAACTACATTCTACAATAAATAGTGAAATGTTTCAAAATAACTATAGTAGAAGACTTCAAAGGTTTCCAACACACAGAATTCTGATATTTGAGGATAAAAAAATGCTAATGACAATAATTTATCCTAACACACTGTATACATGTATTGAATTAGAACCCTGCATCCTACAAATAAGTATAATTATTAATGCCAACCAAAAAAAGGTAGAAATGAGACTTATGCCCTCAATAACTTTCATCAAAGAATTTAAAAATAATTACAGTATCTATATAAGATTAAATTATTGCTTATTCTTGCATTAAATTATGATAATGTCTAATTTTCACTATTATAAATATTCTGCAATGAACATCTTGTGACATACAAATCTTGAGTTTTACATTATGTCTTTAGGCTAGACACTCACAAAATGGAAAAAAAAGGTTAAAGACTTTGAGTGCTGTGACACCCAATTCCTAAATAACTTTCCACAAATACTATTCCAAGAGATTGTTCTAATAGTAGTATATGACATGACAATGTTAATTTACTAACATCTCTACATTAATCTTTACTAATTTAATAAGAAAAACAGTACTGAAGTACTTCTTAATATTGCCTTGTGTATTCTTCCTCTTCCATTCCAAAAGTCACCACCTGAGCATTTTAACATAGAACTGTTTCAACAAATGCCTCCCCGGGCAGGAGTTCACTAGGAGGCCACGTACCAATACACTTTCCTCATTTTTAAAACATGGATGTATAATACAGAAAAGCAGTAAGGAGAATAAATACTTGATAAACATTCTAAAAGATAATGACATACAATTAGGACAAATTAAGAATCTTTTAAATTATCTTACAACCTAACTTCAAAAGTAAAAACATTTGAGCCAATGAAAATTACTTATCTGTTGAATTTATATTCTAGGTAAAGTTCAAGCTAAAAAATAAAAGAGACAAAATAAACCCAAAACAAAAATTTATTCTTAAGAAATTTTAATTATCAGAAACCCAGCTTTAATTTTGAAAATATCTCATAAAATTTCCGAAGTCAAGATACAGGTTTTTGGAAATTACTCTAAAAATTAATACAACACTGATTTCCTAACATACCTCTTGGCCATCTTCAAGAATAATAGCGCCAGCCTGCTCTACCACTTCAAAAATCATCACTGAACAAAGTTCTCTCCTTACAGACATGGTCATGTTTGCAAAAGCAGGCAACTGGTGCATAAACTCCAATAACTGTTCTATAAAAAAACAGAAATCCTAGTATTAATACAATTAAAGACATCTTGACTACAAAATCCAGAATACTAACTTTCCTAATCAACTTAGTAATCTATGAAACTGAAAAAAAAAAAAAGGTAGAATATTACTGATTAAAAAAAATTTAGTTACATAGTTTACACATACATTCAGACCCACATATAAATACGGCAATATTGGAAGATAAACGAATTGACAACTTGCACAGAGAACCAGGACACTGTGTAAGGTCAGATGAGATTTTCTCTAATTTTACCAGCATGAGATACCACTCCACAATGCCTGAGTTTAATGATGCTCTTTAACCTAACAGAGTAGTCTTTTGCAAGTTCTTACTGAGCTGAAAGTATTTTTTTAAAATGATTTTAATAAATGTAAATAAATTAGGGATAACATATATGAATTCTAGCTCAGAATCTGTCAAAGCAACTAGGTAACTTTAATTTAACTAATAAATGTTTATAGGTGCCTTAAATCATTCCCTGGTTCAGAAACATGAGTAATAAGGGAGAAACACATATAAGCTGTGAGCTAGGAGACTAAGTAGATATGGCTGTAAGGTGCTATATACCCAGAGATAACTGGCATTAATTGTATTTCATTTTTTTAAAAAGCTGTGTTATAAACAGCAGCAGACCATAACTATTTACCATAAAAACTCAATGCCAGTTACTAGTTAGACAATCTTCACAAAATAAGTCTTAAACGGCCAAAATCTTAACTGCATAATATACAATTGACAGAAAATAACCTTTGATTTTTGAAGATAACATTATCATCTTTGGCTATCACACAATTTTTTTTTTTTTTTTTTTGGACAGGCAGAGTGGACAGTGAGAGAGAGAGACAGAGAGAAAGGTCTTCCTTTGCCGTTGGTTCACCCTCCAATGGCCTCCGCGGCGGGCGCACTGCGGCCGGCACACCGTGCTGATCCGAAGGCAGGAGCCAAGTGCTTCTCCTGGTCTCCCATGCGGGTGCAAGGGCCCAAGGACTTGGGCCATCCTCCACTGCATTCCCGGGCCATAGCAGAGAGCTGGCCTGGAAGGAGGGGGCAACTGGGACAGAATCCGGCGCCGTACCTGGGACTAGAACCCGAGGTGCTGGCGCCACTAGGCGGAGGATTAGCCTAGGGATCCACAGCGCTGGCCTATCACACAACTTTCAAAAGTATTTCTTATAGTAAGTAGTTCTATAAGAAATTACATAAAGGAAAATTTTAGCCCAAAATTTTATATATCTTTCTAAGTTTCTGAGGAACTAAAAACATATTCTTTGAAAAAAATTTAAAAGCTGATTCATCAACACTGGGCATTCCCAGTACTGTGTTTTAAATATTTTGTGGACATGAAGCAAAAAAAAAAAAAAAAAAAAAAAAAATCACTATAATCAAAGTTTTTGTTTTATAAATCTGGCAGCCAACCTCAAAGAAGGCACTCAAGGATCTGCCTCCTGGTATTTATGTCCACATGCATTCATCTCTCAAGATACAATGAGGTTGGTTGTGGTGACAAAATTTGCCTTAAGTAATGTGGTATCATTCCTGAGACAAAATGATGGAAGATACTGTGGCATCTACCTTATTATTCCTTGGATTACTAGTACTTGCCACATGGAGGAGCCCATATGATGAAGAACTGAGGTCTTGTGCCAAAAGTCATGAGATACCATCCTGGACACAGACCCACCCACTTAGCCAGTGACAGACAATTCAGGAAGACTGCAGCTTCTGGTGACATTCTGGTTACCACTCACGAAGAATTCCAAGTCAGAATTACCTGGTTAAGCCACTTGCTGAATTCCTGACCCACAAAAGCTATGAAATAATAAATATATACCGTTTTAAGCTCTTAAGTTTCCAACTAATTTGTCATCGAGTAAAGGATATATAAATTAAGTTACAAAGTCTCATTGTGAATAGACAACATTTCTTACCAATGTCATCATCAGTTTTGTCTGCAGGTTCTTTTTCAAGACACTCACGAACAAGATCTCGTCCATGCAATGGATCTGTGCGATCAATCTCTTCATCATCTTCTTCTTCATCCTCAGAATCAACAGGTCCTTCTGGAAGACGTGTTAAATCTACATCTCCTACCTCACTCTCTGTGGCCTAGAGGAAAAAAAATCTCAATCACTCGAGCAGCACACTGAGTGTTATATAAAAAAGTTACTATTTTACCAGACTTGACTTTAAATCAAGAAATGGAAGCAATCATATAAACTGTTTTTTTAAAAAAAGGTAAAGATTAGAACTGCAAAGTGTTAAAATAGATCCAGCATAAAAAAATAAATACCCATCTCTTCCTAATATCTTATTGTTGGATCTAACTGTATACAAAGAGCTGAGAGCACTCCCACTTTAAAATTAACTTATACCACTAATCTGAAAACATATTAGTATCAGATAAAGGAGCTAGCAGATTTTTAAAAATTGTAAAATGCTATTTGTAGAAAATAATAAGATGCCTTTCAGCAAATAAAATTGTCATGAAATGGATTATCAGACAATACTTCTAAAAATTACACTCAACTGATTCACTTTAAAAATGAAAAGGCATGACTATAAAAGAAGAAATGAGTTGCAAAACTAGAATTCACAGTAACAAATATGAAACAAGCACTCAACTATGGTTATTAGTGAAGACTGAAATCTTCGTATAAAAATGTAAGTCTCATCTCCTGTTCTGAACATTCACTGTCTGTCTGCCTACAAGATCATACTTCGTCTGGAGATTGCTGTTCTTCTCTAAAGCTCAGATTCCAAGGGACAACAGTGTGCCTGCTTCCTGGCCACATAAGCTGAAGTACAAAGGGATTTTCTTTCTATTTTTATAATCGGAGATGGAAGCAAAGCATCCTTTCTTCTACAGCTCCTTTACTCACAAGAAAAGTCAGAGCAGAAACTTATAGCCACCTGGAAATGCCTCTCTGTAGGGACTGAGAACGGAATGAGCATGTGGAGAAAAGGAAGGGGGGCACTGAGCCACACAGGCAGACACAGAGCAGTAAAGCAATAAAAACTGAGCACACAGGACACAGAAATAAAGAGCACAACACACATAGCAGACTATCCGTGACTCAAAGCATCAGAGAGGGTAGACAAAAAAATCAAGTCACAGGGAGTCCAAAACCAGAGACAGAGAGACACGCAGGGGCAGATATACTATAAGCAATCAGGTTCTCTGAGATCAAAGCTGTCTGCTTTCTCCCTGGGTCACTAAGTTATCCTTAAGGCTTTTGTTATATCAAGTTAGGGCTCTAACGCTTGCGACTCAAAAAGTCCCGATTTATTCTCTAAAACCACGTCTTGCAGTTCTTCTGGATTTCTACACAGCCTTAAGCAATAGATAGCTAACAATCCAGACTCAACATCCAAGTTAAGACCTTGAAGATTAGACAAGCTGGCTCTTAAGGGTCTGCTATGGTCTGAATGTGTCCCCCCTTCTACCCTCCCACTTTGACCCAAATACTTACATTGATATCTTAATTCCCAAGGCAGTAGTACTAGGAGATGGGGCCTTTGGGAAATGACTAAATCATGAAGGAAATGGTTATGTCACGACAATCTTCTTGAATGGGATTAGAGAGAGGCCCACAGTACCTATTCGGCTCCTTCTACTATGTGAGGACACAGCTAGACAGTGCCATTTATGAACCATACAAAGGGTCTTCATTTACTGGCACCTTGATCTTTGGTATTCCAGTTTCCAAAATATTGAGAAATAAATTCCTGTGTTTTTTATTTTATTTTATTTTATTTGAAAGACAGAGTTACAGAGAGAGGTAGAGACAGAGAGCGAAGTCCTCCATCCACTGGTTCACTCCCCAGATGGCTGCAACAGCCAGGGCTGCGCCAATCAGAAGCCAGGAGCTTCTTCCTGGTCTCCCACATGGGTGCAGGGACCCAAGGACTTGGGCCATCTTCTACTGCTTTTCCAGGCCATAGCAGAGAGCTGGATGGGAAGAGGAGCAACCGGGACTAGAACTGGCGCCCATATGAGATACTGGCGCTTTACGGCAGGGCGTTAACCCACTGTGCCACAGCGCCGGCCCCAAATTTCTGTTCTTTATGAGCTACCCAATCTAAGGTATTCTGTAATAACAAAATGAATGAGATACGGTCACACAGGGATAGTCCCATCTCATAACCAGGGACTATAATGAAGAAAAAATCGGAAATATCAATAACAAAGTATAAACCGTAAGGTAAGTAAACTTGAACAAAAGGCAATACAAACTACTTACACTTAAGTAGAGAGAGGGTAGATAAGCCAAAAAGAAAATTTAACAGATGTTTAGAGCCTTGTATAATACCAAGAGTTCGAACAAAAACTGTGAGTCAAAATATACTACATATTCATTAAGGTAGGGTACACAGCAGATTAAGTCCTGGCCTTTCACTTACTTTACTCTAGCACCTGGGATACTGCAAGCCTTCAAAAGATTATGATAAATGAATTAAGCCTGGAGTAGGGGGTGCACAGTATATTGGTGATAGGATTAACAAGAGCTATTAAACTTCTTGTGCTTTCCTTGTCTTGCCATATTAACATCTCTGTGTAAACAGAATTTGGTGAAGCAGACAGTCTGAAATGATTTTCTGATGACCTGGCCTTCCCAAAATAAACCAGAGGATATCCTTTTCCTGTTTGCATCTAGATAAACATGAAGCTTCAACAAGGCAAACTACAGGTTGGAATTAATAGTTAAACATATTTACAAAAAAGCCAGATTTTCATATTTAGGGCAAGTATTAAGCCAGAACTTCAGACCTGCAATCCTTCTTTCTGAATTCCCATTTTTTAGTATTTCTTACAACTCTGTTTATAGAACATTTAATCCTTATTTTTCCTTAGTTTTTCTGGTCAGGCAAGAACTCTGGCCTACTCCATAACCTCTCCAACAGGTAGACAAGCAACATATGTAGAGCTTTATTTATCTTCATACATCTTTTGAATTTCCTTAGAACTTATATTGATTTCTACCTCCAAATGTACTTCAACTGAATTTTTTTCTAGATTACTAAGTGCCAACACTATGCTTGACAAAACATGGGTTATAAAGTTAAGATATAGACAGTGTTACCCATAAATTTGATATTGGAAAAATTTTAGATTCAAGTAAATAACTACAGTAAAAACAGCACAAAAGCCTCATGACCAGAGAAAAACTGTTGCAGGTTTCCAAGGAACAAGATACCTCTTCTTGGTGGAAGAACATGAAAGATAACACAAAAATGTCATCTAAGTGGACCTACAGTTAGAAAAGCACGACTAAAACGCAAGGCTGGGAAAGGCAAACATGTTCAGAGAGTGTTACGTAGTTCTCATCAAACAAAATCTAGAATGCCTAAGTGGCAAAATAGTGGAATATTAAACTAGACTGCAGATGATGTTTAGAAGTCAAAGACTTGGAATGTGGAGTGAAGAATGTAAATGAGATAATGGAGAGGGATTAAGCTTTTTACGGAGAGGAATAATTAAGGTCACAGCATTCTTAAAATTTATTTCAAACAGGAATTTTAAAAAAAAAGAAGCCAGGCTACCACTGTCGTAGAGCAGGTTAAGCCACTACAAGTGACGCCAGATCCGCTATGTGAGCTATGGTTCAAGCCCTGGCTGCTCTGCTTCTGACCCAGCTCCTTGCTAATGTATCTAGTAAGGCAGTAGAAGATGGCCCAAGTACTTGGGACCCTGCCACCCAGGTAGGAGACTAGAAGTTCTTGATGCCTGGCTTTGCCCGCTCTACCCCAAAAGGCAAGACCACTTAGGTAGTGACCTAGCAGATGAAGATCTCTCTCTCTCCCTCTCTCCCTGCTTCTCAAATAAACAAAAATCTTAAAGAGGTAGCTAAGAAACAACAGTTTCTTGGACATTCAGCATTCTTAAAAGAAATATAAACAATAGGTAGAAGAAAAGACAAGGTGGGTTAAAGGTAGATGAGGTGAAAAAGCATTCTGATGGAAACGTAACGCCACAGTTCTGGAGAGACTAGCACTAGAGCTGTAACTTAGGGGATCATGTCAACACACACGTGGCAATTGAAGCCTTGGCCTTTTTAGAAAGTTTATTTCCTACAAAGAAATTTTGAAAAGGTAAATGGGTGATGAAATTCATGTCTTACATTATTTAATAATGAGTTAGTGAAAAGACAAGTGCTTTTATTCAAGTCAATGTATCTCAATTTCTCAGCTCTTAGACTAAAATAAGGATTCTAGAAAGAAGCATTTCTTATTCTCTTGAGTACTCTTTGAAGATGCATAAAATACTCTATCCAAGAATTTTTAACATCTTAATGCATACTCTTAGCTAAATTTCAACCTAATTTGATTATAAACAAAGTCACACTGGAAACATTATCTCCTTTTTTTTCCCCTAGACTGTGGTAAATGCATTATTTTGAAGTTTCTTTGCTAGTCAATGGTTTTCATTTATAAACTAGAAGACACGAACACCGTAAAGAGGAAAATACATGGAAGTATAGCCACACATCTGGACAGAAGCAATGGTAGAAGCAGCTTTCCAATGCTCCAAATTAAAAATTACATCATTTGGGGCTGGCGCTGTAGCATAGAGGGCAAAGCCACCCCCTGCAGTGCTGGCATCCTATATGGGTGCTGGTTCGAGTTCCAGCTGCTCCACTTCCAATCCAGCTCTCTGCTGTGGACTGGGAAAGCAGTAGAAGACGGCCCAAGTGCTTCAGTCCCTGAACCGTGTGGGAGACCAGGAAGAAGCTCCTGACTCCTGGCTTTGGAATGGCCCAGCTGCAGTTGCTGCGACCATCTGGGGAGTGAACCAGCAGATGGAAGAACTCTTTGCCTCTGCCTCTCTGTGGCTCCGGCTTTCATATAAATAATCTTTTAAAAAAATTACATCATTTTACAAGGCACTGTTAATACTGTTACAGGTTAGGTGTTTATCTTTAAAAGCTCTCGAATACTGAAATTCAGATAAACCACACAAATTGACTTGACTGTGTCTGGTTAAGGCATTGGTAATGCACATGCATAACCAAAGCATCCGGCCACAGCTAAAACAGGTACTACAAAGATAGCCTGAGGTCAAGGGGAAAAAATGAGTCCAGTACTCAATAATTAATTCTTCCATTTTAGTCATCAGGATCTAATCAGAACCACATACAGACAAACAGAATTTGGTTGAGTGATATTAGATGACTTACTGATGAATTTTTAAAATTGTAGAGTTGCTGGTTCACTCCTCGACAGGCAGAGTGGATAGTGAGAGAGAGAGACAGAGAAAGGTCTTCCTTTTGCCGTTGGTTCACCCTCCAATGGCCGCCACAGCTGGCGGGTTGCGGCCGGCGCACCGCGCTGATCCGATGGTCTCCCATGGCAGGGCCCAAGCAATTGGGCCACCCTCCGCTGCCTTCCCGGGCCACAGCAGAGAGCTGGCCTGTAAGAGGGGCAACCAGGAAAGGATCCGATGCCCTGACCAGGACTAGAACCCGGTGTGCCGGCGCTGCTAGGTGGAGGATTAGCCTATTGAGACGCCACGCCGGCCAAAAATAGATTTTTAAAAATGCAAAAATACTTCATTTCTGGAAGAATATTTATTGACCTACTATTAATCTGTTCTTCTTGCTTTTACTCTTAATAACTATTCATCATTTTCCACAATGTTTTTAATTTCTATTTTTAACCCTACACTGTGTTTATATCCTCCTTAAAATCTGTTAAATATAGAAATACTAATTTAAAAAACTTAAGAACTACCCAAAAAGCTACCACCAGCAAAACTATTATTTGCTAACAATGTCAGTTGGTGCTCCTGCACTCAGATTTGCATTCAGTGTATATAAAACAAAATGTCTACACAATTAATAACATTTTTCAATTTTTTTCCTTCTGTTTATATTTTTGTTGACTTGCTTTTGTTTTAGCCTTCAGGGTGTTTCTATCTTTTGGTTATTGCTCTACAGCTAACTAAAAGTCAGTTTGGTTTTATGGAATAATTTTGCATATTTTATTTTAGCATTATCATAATTTTCTCTTTTAAATTCCTGAATTTTGGCCGTCGCTGCTCTTTTAAATTCCTGAATTTTGGCCGTCGCTGCGGCTCACTAGGCTAATCCTCTGCCTTGCAGCGCCGGCACCCCGGGTTCTAGTCCCAGTCGGGGCGCCGGATTCTGTCCCGGTTGCCCCTCTTCCACGCCAGCTCTCTGCTGTGGCCAGGGAGTGCAGTGGAGGATGGCCTGAGTGCTTGGGCCCTGCACCCCATGGGAGACCAGGAGAAGTACCTGGCTCCTGGATCAGCGTGGTGTGCCGACTGCGGCGGCCATTGGAGGGTGAACCAACGGCAAAAGGAAGACCTTTCTCTCTGTCTCTCTCTCTCACTGTCCACTCTGCCTGTCAAAAAAAAAAAAAAAAAAAAAATCCTGAATTTTTTTGGGGAGGTCTAGAATTTCAATTGTTTTTTGTTGCTTTTCTTCCTCACTCAACTTCATTCAAATTTATTTTTATATCATTGCTTAATTTATAAGTGTCCTTGCATTTTTTTTTTTTTTTTTGACAGGCAGAGTTAGTGAGAGAGAGACAGAGAGAAAGGTCTTCCTTCCGTTGGTTCACCCCCTAAATGGCTGCTACGGCCGGCGCGCTGCGCCAATCCGAAGCCAGGAGCCAAGTGCTTCCTCCTGGTCTCCCATGCAGGTGCAGGGTCCAAGCACTTGGGCCATCCTCCACTGCCTTCCCAGGCCACAGCAGAGAACTGGACTGGAAGAGGAGCAACCAGGACAGAATCCGGCGCCCCAACCGGGACTAGAACCCGGGGTGCCAGCGCTGCAGGCGGAGGATCAGCCAAGTGAGCCGTGGCACATTTTTTAAAAAAATTATCTCATTTGTGTGAGCTTCTAGAAAATGGTAACTTGTAAGGGAGAAAAAAGACTGGTGGTTCCCAACAGTCGGGTATCAGGAGAGGAGACCTACAGCAAGGGGGATAGGGTACTTTCTGAGGAAACAGAAAGTAAGTTCTATGACTTGATGTAAACTGAAGAGAGTAAATTTCATGTGTAAATTACACATCAGTTAACACAAAACACATACACACAATTGGTGTAGGAGGCAGAATTAAGTCGATCTGAGATTGAATTTGTTGACTGAGGGAAGGGAGCCAATGGTAATTTCAGGAGTCTGGAGCACAAAAAGGAGACTTCTACAATACCTTGCAATATGCAGGAGAGATAGCAACACCTACCCACAGCTGTGTCCATTCTTAAACTGAACTTCTTATAAGGTAGAATGAATTGTATAGTATTACTGAGGAAGGAAGACATATGGACAGTTTCAAGCAGGGCAATTCACTCGGGGTCATAGTCCTGCAACACAAAACCTCCAATTCCAACTTCAGGTTGGTTATCTTACAGGTGGGAAATCTGTAAACGCTAACAGAGGTGCAGTTCTTCAGAAACTTCTCCAGTATGTTCACCAACATATAGGGGCCTAGTCTTCCAGCGCACAGTGAAGTACTGTCCTTTCCCAGCGACCCTGAATTTTAATCTACGCACTCTTTTGTCCCTTCCCTCACAACTATTTGCCTTAGAAATGGATCATTCCAGTGAGACTAGGTTTCCACAGTTTGTCAATGCATCTCCTGTTGTGTACAGTCTCTCTTAGCAAGGTTAAGACATTCCCACCCATCCTGACAGGAATATGCAGCAGCCATATTCCTGAATTTGACCAATTCCAGGCCTATCTTCCTCAGAGTTCCTCTCCTGGAAAAACTCAGAGATGCCACTGCTCTTCCACAAGATACATGTTTTGGGGAAGACCAGAACGTTTTGAAAAGCTACACATAAACTAAAAAATGGTGGCTGGCTGTTTTTCATCTTTCATTTGCCTATCAGCCTGGTTTTTCTAAAATACCTAAATCTGGGTAGCTTAGTAGAACCACAATTTAAATGTTTCCCTCAAAAAACAACTATTTCCACAGTTCTGTGTTTTATGGACACCACTCAGTACACTGGGCAATTGGCCTATTTAAATGTGGCTACTCTGAACTGCAGGGTGCTGTAAAATTAAATGGTTTTCTAAAGAGTTAGCTTTGTGGCCGGTGATGGAGTGTAGCAAGTTAAGCTGTGTCCCGCAGCACTGGCATCCCACAAGCACATCAATTTGAATCCTGGCTGCTCCACTTCCGATTCAGCTCTGTTAATGTGCCTGGCAAAGCAGTGGAAGATGGCCCAAGCCCTTGGGCCCCTGCACCCACGTGTGAGACCTGGAAGAAGCTCCTCTTTTTGGATCGGTACAGCTCTGGCTGTTGCGGCCAATTGGGGAGTGAAACCAGCGGATGGAAGACTCCTCTCTCTCTCTCTCTCTCTCTCTGCCTCTCCTTCTCTCTTTGTATAACTCTTGACTTTCAAGTAATATTAATAAATCTTAAAAAAAAAATGCCTATTGAGGTGCCCATGTTTAAAAAAAAGACTTCGTATGAAGAACGCACATAAATTATGTTAAAATGTTGATTACAGGCCAAAATTATAATATTTGGATATACTGTGCTTAATAAAACATATTACTAAAATTAATTGTGCTTGTTTCCTTCTACTTTTTAAAATATGATTTCCAGAAAACTTAAATATATGGCTCAGTTTAAATTTCTATTAGCTCCAAAATACACTGCACATTTGAAATTCTGAATAAACCAACTTTAAAAAGGAGATTTATTCATTATTTGAAAGGCAGAGTGAAAGAAAAATGGAGTGTGTGCACACCAAGCCAGGGTGAAGCCAGGAGCTCCTCCACATCTCCCACCAGAGTGGAAGGGGCACAAGAATTTGCGGTATCTCCTGCCTTCCCAAGCACACCAGCAGGGAGCTGGATCAGAGACAGAGCAGCCTGGACACGAAGGGGTGCTCACACAGGATGCACGTGTCCCAGGCAGCAGCTTAATCAGTTGGGCAACAAGTATCATGTGTTCTTTATTTTACTGAAAGCCTGTATATTCATGATCACTGACAGAATACAACTCACTCCCCAGAAAAGAGACCACACACAAAGTTCCACTCTGAGGACTGCAGAATGCACTGCTCTGAACTTAGGTTCCACCTCAGCAGAATGTGTAAGGACCCTCCCGGGTGGGGGCCTCCCAAAGCCTGCCCTCTATTACAAGGAACACTGAAAATCTTACTAAATTGGCCATTTCTTCTGAGGTTTTAAAAATGAAAAAGTTAATAATTCACTAATTTATATATTACAGTAACAGAAATCTTTTTTATAATATAAAAACAATGCTAATGTTCCTCATGACTTCTACTTATGAAAGCAAGTTTATATATTTCTAAGGGGTCAGTGAGATAAAAAAAAAAAATGGAAGCTAACACTGGATTATACCTAATCCTTCTCAAAAGACAGATCACCTTTGATTAGGCATACAAATTTGAAAAGTAAATAAAGTATACTTCTCTATAGAACTTATGCTTGAATTTTATACTGCCATAGAATATTTTGAAGTATAAAAAAGCCATAGTCACAGTACACAAACTCTTAAGGTATTACCTGATAGATATCAGATAAACTGCTGCTTCCGGAATCACTGGCAATGCTACAGCCAGACTGACTAGAGGACACATGAGTCACCTGTGGGTGAGGGCTGTCTGTGAGGTGCATCTTGGTAAGATCAGCCGGAAGCTGAAGGAAAAAGAAGAATTTAGTTATTGTAAATGTCAGACTTTACCTTTTTACGAGTTCTTGAAACACTATAACTTCTATTAATACATTTCTGTTTATGCACATTACTATACAACCTCATTTCTAACTTAATTTCTCCATCCTTGGCAAAAATCTTTTGAAATAATAAGAACCAAGTAATATTCTCAAGCTTTGAGACATCCCTACAGTGGTAAGCTCATCAAATAGTTTCCCAAAAGGAACTGTCATTATTAACAGTGTTTCAAAGGAAAAGTTTGATCCCTCCTTTTCCCACATAAAAATATCAGTTGCTTTAACTGTAAAGGGCCAGAATACTATTAAAACACATAGACAGTAAAACAAACAACAGTATCTTGGATTAAAGCCCAGCACTAGGCAGCAACAAACTAACTGCATTTAATATCCCCTAAATTTTGTAAGCATCTTTATACTTACTGTTATTAAATTAGTATATGACTGGTCTCTGAGAAATTACTAACAATCAAAGCAATTTAATGAATGTGTGCTAGGTACTGGGATACAAGAGACACAAGAAGGAAATTACTTCAACAGCCCTTTAATATGGTCACACTCTTGTCAGGTACAGAGGTTATGTAACACACTTCATACTACATCTCAGATAATAAATGTCCTAGGAGTTAAGAAACAAAACACTACACTCTAAGTAATGAATGTGCCACACAGAAGGTATGGTATAATGTCTTCCCAAGTGATTCCTCAGACCATTAAGAGCAATCCAAATTTAAAAAATAGTTTCCAACTGTTTTATTTAGGAAAACATTAAAGACAGTGTCACATAGACAGTACAAGTTAAATATACTCCAAATGAACAAATGGTTAAGTCCGAATTAAATCATCTCAACAGTAATTACTATAATTACAAAAACTACACACCAAAATTAATTATGAACTTCCCCTACTGAAAATGATGGATTAGGTAATTCAATTGCATTCTATAACTAATATAAACAGAAATGTGGAAAACACACACACACACACACACACACACACACATTCTTGAGGGGGTGAGAAGAGAGAAACATAAGAGAGCACAGGGCCTAGAAAACATGCATACATTCACTCGCTCAAGTATGCAGTTACTGGTCTCTGAGGTTGCTTTTCTCCTAAGAGTATCTCTTGATTCCTAATTTCCAAGGTCAGTCTGGAAGGGAAACTCTTGGACTATGATCCTGCAGAGGATACTATGCTCTAAGAATTTTAACTCAAAAATACTTCAACCTTGATTTCATAATGATTTCAATTCCTGATGCTAGATTAAGGGAACCCATGATTACTGGTATTTCCACTCAACGGTTACAGGCAAACACAAATCTTCTGTTGGATACTTTTGTCTTTTTTGGTTTTATATGTTCCTTTTCTTTTAAAATTAATTTATCTACCCACCAGTTTGACAGAGACAGCAACAGAGAGAGAGAAATCTTCCATCTGCTGGTTCACTTTCCAACCCTCCACACCCTAAAGCTGGGGTTGGGCCAGGCACTCCAATATGTGATGTAGACTTCTGAAGTGTCAGCTTAACCTGCTGTGCCATAATGTCCACTTTCTTTTTATCAATATTTTAAAACAATCTTTTAAAAATGTTAAAATCATTCTTAACTCATAGGTCCTACAGCTCCCTGGCCAGAATGGGTCCTGTTTAGTGACCCATTATGTATGTAGAGAAAAGGACAAGACTAACAATTTTAGAAAGGAAAAAGAATGAAAAAAATTCTAAAATACAAAATAGAAATTTAAAAACCTGAAGATGGACTCAATAAAAGACTGATATAGCTATGAAAATAACTACAAAAGACTGAACTGAAAAAATATCCAGAATGAAGCATGCAAAGTAACAAGCATGAAATTAGGAGGGAAGAAGTATGAGTCACAGCAGATCCAGTGAGAACACAACATCTGACAAGCCAATCCCAGAAACGGAAGAGAAAGAAAGCTTACTGCAAAGAAGAAAGATGTTGACTGAGCACTTTCTAAAACTACTAACAAACAGGAAATCACTCTCAATGAGTTTCAGGAACTCTCAAGTCAAATACAAACAAAATCACACCTATGCACACCAATGTAAAACTACTGGGGAGGGGCTGGTGTTATGGCAGAGTGGATAAGGCTGCGTTGCCAGCATCCCAGGCAGGTGCCGGTCCAAGACTTGACACAGTTGCACTTTCCAATCCAGCTCCCTGCTCCTGCACCCATGTAGGTGTGGGGAGCAGCTCGGACTAGACTAAGTTACTGGAATTAAGACTTATTCTATGCATCTGCTCTCCCACAATATGGCGCTGGGAGAGAAGAAAACAGCTTTTACACAGCTGCCTCCAGTTCAACCAATAAACTGTAGGACCTGTTCCTGATTGGAGAGCAGCGTACTCGGCGTGTGGGCAGCCGAGTTAGGATTGGCGGAGGAGGACTATAAAGGAGGAGAGAGACAGAGACGGCATGCACCAGGAACATCTAAGGGGAACATCTAAGGGGAACACCTGTGCAGCCCCCGAGAGAGCCGGCCGGCGGTGTGCCGCTCCCCTGTGGAAGTGGGGAATGTGGCAGGGGGAACCGCCCTTCCACGGAGGTGGAAGGGATAGTAGCCAACCCGGGAAGAACCAGCAGCAAACCCGGGGAGGGCCGAGCAGACAGAAGAACAGCGCAGGGTTCTGTGTCGTTCCTCCACGAAGAGGGGGAGCGACATAATGGTGCCGTGACTCGGATATGAAGCCTAGGCAGGGTTTAGTGTCGTTCCTCCACGAAGAGGGGGAGCGACAGTAGGATATCCAGAACAAACTCCTGGCTTTGGCACACCCCAGCCCCAGCCCCTGCAGCCATATGGGGAGTGAACCAATGGAGAGAAGCTCGCTAGCCCGCCCATCCTTCGTCCCTTCCTCCCTCCCTCCCTCCCTCTCACTCTGTCTCTAGCTCTCCCCCTCTCTCTTCCTCTATTTCTGTTAACTCTTTCATATAAATAAATAAATATTTTTAGAAAAACTGTGGGTATAAATAAAAGACAAAAGTCTTGGGGTAGTCAGGGAAAACAAAACAACTGATGGCTGATTTCTCAACAGAAACTTTGGAAGTCAAAAGACAATAGAGTAGTATCTCCAAAAGCTGAAATTTTATACTTGGTATTAGCAGTCCTCTTTGGTAGTAGAATACAAGAAAAATAAGGGGTAAGACAATTAAAATGCAAACATCAAGACATATTTATTTCCAGATGAAAGGTTGTCTTCAGAGAAAAACAGAAGATGTGTACTCCACGAATTTTAAGATTTTCAATAAGCTTGTTAAAGACAGTATCAACATATGAAAATCAGTATCATCCTTAGGTATCAGATAGGTGGAACATATGAGGGGAAGAAAAATCGGTGCCCTTTAAGGATGTTTTAAGACTGGTTTAAAGAAGAAATGTAAGCAACAGTTAAATCAGGACTGTAAGGTGGATGCTTAACAATTTCTCATTGAAATCATCACAAAATTGCTCTTGTTCGCTGAGAGGAATGAACAGAAGCATTGTTCTGGTGCAGATGGATTCTCTGAAGCTCTCCTGAGTATTTTTCTGCCTAACCTTTAGCTATCTTTCTCAAAACACATAATAAGCACTCATTATCATTTTTTGGCACCCAAAAAAGTCAATAAGCAAAACACCATGAATATTTCAAAAGACTATTTCCATGATCTTTGCTTTTGATTGGTCCATTTTCTTCTATTTGAGAATTTCAACTTCTTGGTAACCATTATTTTTATTGTGCTTTTTCTTCAGGACTGTACTGTTAAAGCCACGTTTCAGCTTCTGTTACAATTCTTCAAAGAAATGCTTAGGATCTTGAACAAACTTATTTAAAATTTCTTTTAAAAGGTCTTGTCTGAAACTGATCTGAGTACAACAGTTCTGGCAGTCATGGCTGTGTAAGTTGAACAAACCGAGATGACTGTAGAGTTTGCTGTTGCTGCTGTTAACTGTAGGTTCTCTTCAATCACAACACCGAGAAGGTCAATGTTTTCCCTGCAAATTGATGTGAATGTGCTAGTGCTGTGGGTTTCATTTTCCATATCATCTTGCAGTTATCCATTTGCAAACTTCTGAGTTATTTGGGGGTATCGTCAACATACACTTTTCAAAAAGCATCAATGATTTTACCATTCTTTCAACCAAGGTTTACTATAAATTTGCTCTGGGTTCTTGATTCAATTTTAGCAGAATTCATGTTGCTCTCAAAGAGGGTCTTTACACAATGATGTCTTATCCTTCTCAGTGCCTCAAACCAGATCTTATCAAGAGTTAGCATCCCTTATGGGCACCAGTTCAAGTCCCAGCTGCTCCGCTTCCAATACATGTCTCAGCTATGGCCTGGAAAGGCAGTGGAGGATGGCCCAAATCCTTGGCCCCTGCACCCTCATGGGAGACCCAAAGAGGCTCCTGGATCCTGGCTTCAGATCAGCTCAGCTCTGGCCGCTGTGGTTATTTAGCGAGTAAACCAGCAAACGAAGACCCCTCTCTGGCTCTGCCTCTTTCTGTAACTCTTTCAAATAAATAAAATAAATCTTAAAATAAATAAAATAAATCTTAAAAAAACCCCACATGTTTCTTATTTATTTATTTATAAGTCAGAGTTACAAAGAGAGATGGAGAGAAAGAGAGAGGTCTTCCATTTTCTAGTTCACTCCCCAAGTGGCCACAACAGCCAGGTCTGAGCCAGGTCAAAGCTAGGAGTTTCATTCAAGATTCCCATGTGGGTCACAGGGGCCCCACTGCTTGGGCCATCTTCTGCTTCTTCTCCCAGGCCATTAACAGGGAGCTGGATCAGAAGTGGAGCAGCTGAGACATGATCCGGGATAGCTGGTGGTGGCTTTACCCACTATGCCAGCCCCTTCATGAACTTTTTGATGATTTCTTATATGTACTACTGTTTATGAATTAGACTCACTATATAAAAAATATCAAATTCACAAAAAAAATCCTAAGGAACAAAAATAGT